CATCTCGTCACTTTGCATTCATTAGCTTTATGCCCTTGTCTAAGACATACGAAACAAATACTCTTACTTTTGACGTGCGACAAACGTTCTTCTGTCGTGAGAGCTAAGAACTGTCTACACTCGTAAACCGAATGATCCCCTGAGCACATACTGCACTTAGCACTTGCGATCGATGCATTCTTCGGTCTCAATACGGAATGATAACATGATTTAGTAGTAACTCCCCCTCTTGGACGTTCAGCCAATCGTCCAAACCTACTCGCAGCGACTCTCGCTTTAGCTGCCACAAACTGAGTGAGTTCGGCGAACGTTGGCTCTCTGTCATCTTCCGTCAATCTATCTACAAGTTCAGCCCATTGTCTTTGCATAGGTTGAGGCAGAAATCTTACTACTCTCTCTAATGTAACCAGCGAATTCAAGTCGGCAGTGTAGTTCATTTGCTCTAGAATCATGCTACAATTTTCCATCCTTATTGCTAAACTTGAGAGTTGCTCTGCGTCATGACAACCATGCTTTACATCATTGAATAAATCCTCTAACGTCTCTCTTGCTATGACATGAGCTTGACCGAACAATCGTTTCAAAATATCTCTAGCTCTATTATACCCAGACGTAGCCTCCATCATTACACATCCTTCAATGGCTGCCTTCGCCTTACCCTTGCAATAATGGAGCAAATATAGTAAACGTTGACTATCGTCAGATACTCTAGCAGCAACGTAAGTATCGTATTGTTTTATAAACTTCCAATATTCTTTCGGTTTTCCATCAAAATAACACAATTCAACTTTCGGTAGCTCTAACCCAACTATAGGAACCTTAGGTGTTGTGCCCGAGACTGCATGCCGAAGTCTTTCCCCCTTATCTAAACTAAGATCCGCTTTCTTATCTAACATTACGTCATTATCACTATCACTATAGCTCTCTTTAAATACATTAGAACCATGAGGCGTAAAGACATCAGAAAAAACTTGCTTTGTACTAAGGGATTTGTCATTAACCTTGTCTTCATCCTCTCCGACCAGCATAGGGATTGACTTTTTTGTACGATTGTTGGGCATCTCGAATTATCGACCAAATTTGGTTCGGAACTGTGAGTGCGGACCAAGCTGCAAACCGACCAATTTTGTTCAGGACTGTAAGCACGGACCAAGCTGCCAACCGTCCGATATTCGTGTAGAACTGTAAGTTCTTCCAAGCAGCCAACCAATATTCGTTTAGAACTGTAGGATCCAAACCTAAATTTCAATAGGTCTGGATGTGGCCGAATAACCGTTAGATAGCTTTAGACACTCGTGTCTCAGTTCAAATCAAAACAAGGTATATATTTGACACGGTTCTGTAATTCATCATATATACAAATGCACAAATTTACCTAAACGAATATTATCACCCGGTTATTCAACCAACAATTGATACAAAAATATCCAATCTAAATTACAATAAATAGCAAGGTGATAAGAAATATATGAAAACTACCAAAAGCACCGAAAGGTAACCGTTATTCTATCCTTTCTGGATAGATCAAGTGAGATTTCGTTTGAGCGGCTATTTTATAACACCAAGTGTTTCAATTTCTGGGAAGGTGCTCCAAATACAACCAAAAATGCACGATCCCAGTCAAGTTCAAACCGCACAATCAAAAGCGAGCAGCCAATATGGCCGATGCCAGAATAGTAGCAATTAAAACAAACTGTATACAATTCAGTGAGGAACGTAGAGACTCAATAAAAAACGATAGTTAAATCAAGAAAAATTGAACGTTACAGTCTTAATTAGCATCAAGAATGTTAACAGCATATACAAATAAAGAAAACGTAAGGAAGAAATCACAAGTGTATGCATGGAGGGATTTTCACTTGCAAAATGGATCCAACAGAGAGAACCATTATAAAATAAGATATTGCCATCTCAAATGACATGAAAAAGACTAACAAAATGTACAACTAAGGAAACCAATAAGAACAAGTTGCAAATGCATGCATAGAGGAATTTTCACACACAAAAGCTTCAAAATGGATCTCACAATGTCTAAGTAGTGCTTACCAGTGGTTTCATTATTGTATATTAACACTGAATATCTAATAGTATTATGAACGTTGTAGATTTCTATCAGATCTCATGTTACTGTAGGTTCATCTACGTTGATGTTCTATCGTCGAAATGATTGGGGGCCTACTATAGTTAGACGAGAATGGTGACGAACCAACTAACGCTGAAATCACACCTCGCGACCAGCCGTTACGTGGATTGAACCATCGACGCATCAAAGGATCGTGGACGCTATGGAGACTGTACAACACAAAGGACGTTATTACAAGAATATATTAGTTAAGGTACAAACACGAAGGTGCAGAAGTGAAAGAACAACCACTGCCGCGTGAGCCAGTCCATGGCGTATTATTTCATTGATGCGCGTTGACTATCTTTGACCTTGACAGGTATCAATGATCTGTTCGATATTCAGTGACCCTACATTACTAATTAAAGTCTTTGAATCCGTTTATTTGGTGCCTGTAGTTTTTTTGTTAATACCAAACGACTAAGTGAAATTCTAGGCGGGTTAAAAAATGAAGAGCACAGTTTACAAATAAAACACTTATAGGTTCATTATGTTATCTGCTATTTCATTAACTTATTGAATTGAAAATTGATAACGAAGTTTAGTCGTTTGTTTCACGATTGATTTGTTGTTTTTCAGAATCACATGAAGTTGAGGTCCTCATACGTTTTCCGGTATGCAATATATGGCTTCTGTCAACTAATTCAAACCTTTCTAAAAATCAAGTCTGTGTTGGTGAACAACTTATGGAAGATTGTGTGGAGAAACAATCTACAAGTTGACAATAACTGCGTTTCATATTGACTACTGCCACGGTTATTAATCTAATGAATTATTTAAATATAAATATAAGGACTGCAGGATTTTGCATTATAAATCTTGTTAGCATGTATAATCATAGTCTGGTTCGGTACTTATACTACTTTGATGATAGACCTAATTCAAGGACGGCAAACTTGTCATGTGATCGCTTAATCTGTTAGATCAGGAGCACGTCTGCAAGGTTGAACCATGCCATCCGATTGAATGAATGTCTCCACGTCTACCATTGCTGACCTTCTCCAAGTGTTACATGTCGAATATAAATATTTTCAGTCACAATATGCTTGGATCCGAAGACCATGCGGTTAAGAAGCAATGCCACCACAAGTATCCATCCAAATATTCTATCATAGTGAAGAAACTTATATATGCGACGCAACATTCTAGCGAAACGTCTAAACTGATTCAGTAAAACAAGTTTTCTAAACGAAACGGGTACTTACAAAGCAAACACTTGGTACTTTTTAATTTTCAATAAGTTACCCGTTATGATTATCGGTATCCTTATGAAACTACGAAGACGAAAATAAAAATTGGGCAAAAGTTTATTGATGCATCACTACTACTGGTATCGAAACGGCAACAATTGATGCAGAAAGATCAGTCTACAGTTCGGATATATAGTTAATTGAAAGATGCTGCTACCAAGAACTTCTTATAGTAAACAGTTCCTGTCATGTCTCCACACTTTGTTGTATTCCGATCCATATTTTCTGTGGTAACGAGTTGTAGTATCAGTTTATATGTTAAGCCCATATACTTTATTCTAGCTACTGGCCAAATCAATTCACCTATATATTAGAGTCATATTTTGACCTTGTCAATTATTCGCTTATTAACTTTGACTACTTTTTTATATGAGCGCATGTGTATATACACTTCGTATCTTATTCATCATATGTCTGTCATTCATTTTTGTCTGACTATAAATGTTTATTAACGCTTGCTTAAAAGGGGTTGGCTTCCTGGACATCTCCAATACGTATTATTTTCTCTTTGATCTCAAGTTGGCTTACCAGCCATCTTCAATGCATGTCGTTTATGTTTCGCTCGCTAACATTTCCCCATGTGCTTATAACCTTCTGGTCTGTATCATTTATTAATAAAAATGTAGTTGCCGCTTCTTTTTGACTTTTGATTTTATACACTATTAAGATTGGTATAATAACGGTTATCGAAGTGAACTATTAATGAAGCACGGCACTACAGAGTACTACATGAAGACAAGGGTTAGAGAAGCTAAAGTCTTACCTACTTATTGATGACTTAAGTAAAAATTGGCTTCGGTGAATCTGTACATACTGTTCGCTTCATCTAGGTAGTGTAATTGTTTTTATTATAGAAGGTGTGAATGCTATCTATCTTCCATCTACTTCAATGTCTATGAATATGGCGAACTATACAATTTATATTTCATAATTGATCGTGCTCACCTGTAAGAGTTCGTCTTCTTATGTATGCCACTGGCATATGTTGGCAAAGATAACAGCATATCAGAATTTATCCACAGTCCAGGTTACATCTGCTCGCAATTTTCGCTTTCAAACAAACAGAACAGTACACTCTCGACCAAACCTGTCGCCGAAATTTATCTGGTTTTCAAAGTGAACAAAATTTTCCCAAAATAGGGAGATTAGGAAGTTACGAAGCAGCAATCAGTCCAACGTGTGCACTACAAGACAGAGGGATCAGTGACTTTGTAGTTTTTCTGCAGCGAAAGACCCCTTAAATATGAGAACACCTGACACTTGTGCAATCCAACGGACACTCAACAAACCCACAGCAATTGTAACATGTGTTATCAGCAGTCACGAAAAGGCGGAGAAGACCTGAAACCGCTCAAGAAATGTTAATCGAAAACTTTACACTAATAGAAAACACGGAGTGGAAAAATCAAAATTAGCGGGGTGTTTACAGAAGAAAAAGCTAGTTAACAAAAGTCTTAAGAATCATCTTGTAAGTTCAGTGTATGCAGGGCTTGTTCTTCTTCTTTCAAAAAGTTTATCCTTGCTCGCCCTGCAATAGAAAGAAAACAGAATCAGTTAACAACATCATACGTGGTGATTGCAACCCCGATACACAATCAGAATACGGAATGACCGCTTCTTGTCAGGCCGTCCAAGGTCGTTGAAACAGAACGGCGGGCAGCTTTGAAAGGACCTATCCTTAGTGTATGAGATTTTCTCAGGCGTTTACATCTAATGTCAGAGCTGTTATTATCGGACCTCCTGGCTCGGGAAAGGCAACCATCTCTTTGCGTCTGCAGAAAGACTTTGCTTTGAAGTATATTTGCTGCGGCGATATGCTAAGAAATCATGTTGTATTAAAAACAGGTATGCACATCTTCCCGTGTATATTTTAAATATTAGATATCGGGGATCAGGTAAGCAGGTTTATCCAGAATGGTTCACTTGTTCCGGACAGTTTAGTCACTAAAATGGTGATTGCTGAGTGTCAAAGTTACACAAGCGATAACTTACTCATTGATGGATTTCCGAGAACTATGATACAAGCTAAAGACATTCAAAGACAACTTCCCATCGCCTGTGTCCTTTGTTTAGATGTGCCTTTTGAAGAAATCATAAATAGAATCAGTGGGAGATACACTCATCTCCCAAGTGGTAGGACGTACAACGATAAGTTCAACCCTCCAAAGCGCAAAGTTAGTATGATATCAGCTTGTAAACTATATTTCTTGGCATCTTTTACCGATTGCTATAACATTATATCTTTACATTTAATTTTTGGGATTAATGCGGCCTGGATCGTTTTTAGCTTTGGTGAATTGTGTGTGTGATAAATCTCCTCTTTCTTATTTTGTGATCATCATTGTCCATGTAGATTTAAGTTAATTGGTCCTGACTTTTGCAGATTTTCCTTTCTTATTCGTTCAGAGTTAGTCTTAAGTTAATTTCGTCTTATTTCCAAGGGGATTCAGTTTAAACACTGGTTAGTCTTTTCCCCTGAGCCATGAATAATTGGGCTCGAAACTGAGTACACAAACATATACTAGGTGAGTTACGTGGTCATTATTATTATCATGACGTTGCCACAAAATCACTACAGTCTACACAGTTAGTTGGCAAATCGGTCCATGATCGTCATCAACTGAAGTGATTAGGTTGTGTATCACGTATGCCTAACCACCATTCTTACTTAGAAGTTGGTTGAAAGCAAGTTAGGGACAGTTAGGGACTTTATCTCATGAAGTCACTGACTGTTGGTTTGATCCGTATTGGTAGGTTCGTACTACTTGATTGAGGGATAACTGCGATTAGTAGTTGGAGACTGGGTGATAAGATGTTGCGCAGATGCGTTCACTGCTTACCTTCTTGGCCCTGAGTTCTAGGATCTATACATGCTTTTCCCATTCTGCCCACCAGTACCATATTCTCATTGTCCAGTCTGTAACCATAGTTACTATACTATTTCGATCGCTTTTGCTGTTCATCTTAATTTCATCTTGTAAAATTATGGTAAGACAACTTGGGCCGATATACATCTTTGCCAGGTTCTACGTTGATGGTAACTGACTGATACTTAATACTAGAATCAATTTTCCTGTTAAATCACCACCTTTATAAAGCGTTGGTCTGGTTAGACACCAAATAAAATGCTCAGATTTGTCGGTTGAATACTTCTAAATCAATCAGGCGTTAAGGTACTACAATCTTTCAGTAGGTTCATGGAAATTAGTGACTGGGATTCTCACCATAAAGATCTTCCCATGTTTTGTTGTGCAGCTTTTTACTCATCGATTAATATTACTAACACTTGTAAGATAAAATGCCATTTCTTGCTGTACATTGATCATACGAATACCATAAAATTTAGGGAGGTTTAACGTGTCAGTAACTTTAACAATTCTAGAAACATACTATTATGTACTTGCTGCTATTTTGATGTCAAAACATTTAGTGAGTGTATTCAGCAGTATTATAAGCGTCTTGGTTCTAACTCATCTAGTGAACTCAATTCGAATATTATTTTTTCATATTTCTTCCACGGAAATCCTGGAAGCACTGGATGGCCGTTCCGTCCTAGTATGGGACTCCTCAGCAGTGCACATCCCGCAGTCCTTCCAGGTTTTCCAATTGAGTCTAGCTTTAATCGACTAAGGAATTCGATTGTTAAATTACTATAATATCCATAAAAACTCCTTTCTGATCGGAATAATCGTATGCTCACTAGTGACTAGCTTCAAGAGGTATTTCCTGGAGTCCTAGTGAGAAGTCGTGACCAGTGGAGTTCAACCGGGTCTGTTGTGAGACAGTAACTCACTGAAGACAATAGTGCACTGTGACGCAATTTCGTGGATTGGTTGAAGCTATACATTAACTGTTGGATGCCGGCTCAGTGGTCTGGAGGCTATGCATTCACGCGCGAATCTGATAAGCCACGGGTTCGAATCTTGCGAGGCGGGGTCGTGGATGCGCAATGCTGTGTCCCACAGTAGGACAAAACGACCGTCTACTGCTTCCAGATTTTCCATGGTGGTCTAGCTTTAATTGACTCATGAATTTAACCATTAAATTACTATATTATCCACAAAACCACCCTTTCTGATTATAATATTTCTATCACTTAGTGATTAGCTGTCTTTCTTTCATGTGTATGTAAGATTTGTCAAATATATATTCGGTCTTTCTAAATGAAACCATTGCTTTGTAGAAAAGTGTTTGTTAGTTGGGGGTTGAATTTACTTTTTGCGAGGACAAGATAATTACTATTGTCATTCACTGGTGGCTCTCTTATTTTAATCCTGATCATATCCACAAAAGAATACCGGGATTAACTTGAGTGCTGTCTTATCCCTAACTTCATTTCGCTGACCGTAAATATTTAATGTTCCATAAATTAGATGAAATTAGTATGTAATCTGATAACTGTTTAGTGTATCAGCTTAAGCATAACAGATGAGATGTTGAAACAAGTCATCTAATATAAATGTTGTGTTACAGCTCCGTTGCAGTCAAAACGGAGTTGAGTTTACGAAGGTTTTTATGTTTATATTTTTGTTATTCTACAATGTCCTATGTTCATATTGGAGACACATAACCAGTCATCCGTTTATAACTTTTAATGTAACCCATGAACCATCCTTTTTTATTACCGCTTTTATTTTGGAAATAGGGATTTGGTTATGTGAATGGAGAACCTTTAATACGCAGATATGATGATGACCCGATAACTGTTCGTAAACGTTTGGATGTCTATCAACTTTCTACTTTACCATTGCTAGATTATTACGGGTATGCCAACTCTGACGTTTTCTTTTGAAAGCGTTTGTAATATATTTGAGCAACTACCTTATTTGTGGTTTTTATTATGAAGTGTATGCAAAAATTATCATTTAATACTTGATTGATGCAAGCTAACATTTTAAATTTACAGTTTGCAGTACAATTAAATAATAGAACGGAGTAACCAAGATGTAATGGCGTATTCAGTTGTGAGCATTCTTGTGTAAGAGCTACCTTAGGTTAAAGATCCCATCCCCAATGAAAGTTAGTTAGGCTAATTTAAAACCTGAAATTTTCAGTGTTTTAACTATCTAACTACTCAGTGATGACACTCACAGGTCCTTATATTCAGATGTTCAGTGTAACACTGTATTGGAGCAAACAGTATTATTTAGCTTCATTATTTAATGTAGTTAATGTATATTCGAAAGCTAACCCTACAATACTTATAAATGTAAGTTGTTAATAATTTCTGTACAATTTTGATTAATAATGGTTTATTTTTTTGAACTCTATTGAATTAAATAACCATTATATGCCACAGAATGTGTCGATTGTTCCTTATAATCACTTTACAGAATTGTGGAGTTAAATTGATAATTTATATTTGACTATACTACCTATTTTAGTTTTCAGTAGTATCCAATAGTCATCTAACTTGAAAATGGTCGGTCAGTCAGTCAGTCAGTCAGCTACAACGTAGGACCAGGCACATCCATGCATCGGTCTAAGTTGCCATACTTCGTTAGCCTTAGTAGCTACATATCTATCTTAAACATGGAGAACATACACCCATTCAAGCTTATACTTGGTTTCACATATATATGTCATATGTATCATTTTGATTGTACTGGTTATCCGTATGGATAATTATTTACTTTCATTTGTGCACACTTTATGTCTGTGATTGTTTGCATATTTGTGTATGTTATTGCATTAACTTCATGGACTATATAAACTCATTCAACAATTCATGCAATGACTAATCGCTACATTAATCCATAGATTAGGCAATTCAGCGCATCCCCACTCGCATGTACTTCTTACACCTTTTAGATCTTACACGTCTAGGTTTGCTGGTTACAGTTTGTCTGAAATATATCCATCTCGACGGATGCTGTTTCAGACTTTTTGACATGGTGTTATCAAGTCTCTATTTGATTATATAACTGGATTAGTCTAAGGATTATGCAAACTTAACACGGATTCGAAACCACGGTAATTAAATTTTATCACACGGTCATCGAGATGTATGAGGTTTTTTTTATCTCGTTACTCTAATATTCAACAGAAATAGGAAAGTGACATATTTCTCTTTTTTTCCCTTCATTTCTTTATATGCCAATTAAGAAAACAGAAAATTTTACATGTATTCCATGGATGTCGTACAAATGAACTTTGGCCTCAAGTGTTTAATATTTTCTCTCAATTTGTCAAACCTATACAGTATACTGAATATGATACGAATTAAAGAATTTCTTTCGTATTTTTATTACCGTTATCATACTCCTATTTTAGTATTATCGTAATTGTATTTTTCGGGATTTGTTTGTATAGGATAGGATAGTTTTTTGTATTATTGTTGTCAAGTAAAATGTGTAACTGATCCCTATTCATTAGTTTTAACGAAAATAGTATGCTTGATTGACTACTGAAGTACAGTATCACAAAATATAGCCAAATGATGTCTTTTCACGGGACTAAACTCTTGACGTAAGTCCCTCTTGAAAGATCGCTATTCAGAGGAATGAGGTTTTTTCATGTAAAAAATGAAATGCTTATCAGTAAAATATCAATACAAAGAAGGCGTAATTAACGTGGAAGATTCGAAAGAAATCAGTTTGCAAGTCACGCTTCAGTCGGTTAGGAGTTAACTGTTAAGCCGGTTGCTTGACTAATCTATAACTGCTCAGTTCAACTCCAGTAGATTTGTTGTTATTTTTCTAATAAGCTGTATACAACATAATTGATTTCGACAAATAAAAATTCATAAAATTGTAATCAGAATAATAGTTGAAAATATAGGTCAAATTGTAAATTGCAAATACACTGTGGCTTAAGAATATAAGTAAGTGTTAAGACGGTCTAAACTGAGAGGGAGAGAGTAAGTTATTAATTATTCATAAGAAATTTCAACCCTTATTTGAGAATAAAGTGAGGGGAAGGTGACTGTCTTGTCTGACACATTTTGACGACATTGGAGTATTTTATCCTTCAGAATTAAATCGATTGTCGTGATTTTCTTCAAAAATGGCTTGCATAATATAAGTGCCGGTCATCAGGTGCATGTTGATGCCGGGTACGTCTGAAGTATTTGCTTTTCGCTCACTATGAAGACTGTCCAAAGTGCTTGTAAGGTAGTTCCACGAAAAACAGATCTCGATTCGTTCTAGTCGTGGGTGTATTGGTTGTGCCTTTGACTCCCGCTAAATTCTTAAACATCACGTATTTCAATGGAGTAGTTTTTGTATCTTTTAACATTAGGAATCCTCTAAGCTCATGATATACTTTCAAGTTACTTTGCAGAGGTGTTTGAGATGTTTATAAATATTTAACAGCTGTTCTTAAGAATACCTGGGGTAACGTGAGGAATTATTATTACTTCTCAATTGTTGCAAATCATTTACTCTATTGTAGCGTCCCATCGACAACAGTTTAGAAATGGTTCTCACTGAGGTAAGGCAATGTGGTTAGAAAACTTGAGCTATGGAGCTTTAGTAAGAGGTGGAAAATATCTTTGTGCATTGTTGACTAATTTCGTATACTAAGAAGCCTTTATTCCCACTTTTTATTGATGTTAATACAACTTGTGTTATTAATATTTGTTTTTTAATCAAACGGTCAGACAAGAGTGTCTCCAGTTACGTGCTTTAGCGCCCCCCTAGTTATAACATAGATGTTTGTGGTTGATCACTCAGATAAGGATTATTCGATCTTAAGAAAAATCTTTTTATCCGTTGACATAAAGATTACCCAAACGTCAAATATTTAGTTGGTGTTCGCTAGTATCATATGTTCCTTAGACCAATTGTATTGAAAATCATTTCTAAATGTCTATGTAAACGTCTATGTATGCCCAAAATTGTCGGTAAACTATAGAAAAGTAGTTGCAAAGTTTGTATTCACGTAGTAGTGTGTATTTGTGGTAGTGTGGTAAAGAATATCCATCTACTTATAATGATATTTTGTTTGACTAGGATTTCAAGCGTACAACGTCGATAGCTTTGGTTTATGCGTGTAAAACCCAGACTACTTGAACTGAAGATGTATGGTGGTTCTTTATGTCGGGTGGGCTGGCTACATTCAGTGGCAAAATTGAGTTGTAAATCCCCTAATTTGATAAAGTACCACAGAACACTAAGGCCTAATTCTCCTCTAATAACCGAATATAGTAAGGTAGACATCCTAGGTATTAGGTCTTATGATTCCTCCTACACGGGATAGTTATATCTACTGCCGCTGGGGTAAAAATAAACGGTAGTCAGTAACAGTCGCTTGCACTTATTTTCTGCTATTATGTGTTATTTCATTGGTGTTCTTTGAACGGGTCCCCTGAAGAGACGCAGCTCGATTGCCAAAAATGCTCTTAGACGGGTCTAAAATTAAGCCAACTTTTTAATGCTCTTGGTCAATAGTAATATTCAATTTTGACAGGATTGAAGTCCATTTTTATTGTTCTTATCTAAACTGTGTTTTTTAAATCTGTCTATTCTCAATTGCTAGTTGATTGTGCTTCATTGTTTTCTCGAGAAATTATCGTTTCACTTCGTATACGTCCTTACGTATGTGTTTATAGAGTGTGAAATCCAAATAGGCATACTGCTATAAATATATCACGGTGTTTTTCGTTAAACAGTTGTTGTATCCAACTGCCAGTTAACTTTCCACTTACAATTGTATAGTATACAACTGGTAGGTATCATCTCTAATTTTACCTAGTTTAATACGAGTTAAGCCGTAAACTTTACAGATTTCCTTATTAATTTGTTGAAAACATTTTATTATAACGTAATGTACTTTTTGAATGTGATGCGACCCGATTACTCGAATCAAACTAATCGAGCTGCAGTTTGAGCTTATGCCCTGTTAGTTGAAGGTCAACTGAACTGACATTAACATTGTTCACAAAAGCGAAAAGTCAGTATACATTTACAATCATATTCCTTCAGAATAATTTTCCAAGCAACTGTTTTTCTTAAATAATAAAATGTTTCTGAAACTATGATAGGTGTATGTTTCATGTATAAAGGAGTATATATATGTGTGTGTGCTCGTGTATCTATACTTTGACTAATTCTTTTACATGCATTTTAGTGTAAAAATGTAATCGCAGTGGTTACGAAATGGTAAGGAAATCGAAAAAAAATGCTTCGAAACTTTAAACATTTATTCTAATGTAGATTAAATGGAAAAGGGACATTTAAAGAAAAAGGTTAGGAATCGGATTTATTAAACAAAACACGGAGAAATATGTTTATTATAAAATTTGAAACAGATTAGGTGATATTTATGCATAAAAGGATTTATCCTGAAGTGTTATAATCATATTTCACTTACTGTTGACTAGACAAAGGAAAAATTGTGGGTTTGTGAATGTCACCATATGAGGCAAAGAATTATATAAATATTTAATATAGGAATTTTTATTGGTCATCAATTGCATTGTTGTCATAAAAGGAATAAAAAAACGAAAATAGGTGAAGGAAAAAATAATTCTGTTTTATTTGTATCAGGATAACTGTAGTTCTTCTGTTTCGTCATTATATGATTCTGTTTTTCGATCTAGAACAATTTTGCATGATCTTAGTAAATTTGTGGGAATGATCACTGAAGTTAAATTATTCACATTGTCAGCATTTAAATTGAACCAATTAGAATTAAGCCAAAAATCAACTGTTCCACGTTTCCTGTTAATATAAAAAGACTGGTTAATACGGGATGTTCTTGGATGTATAGTTTACATCACGGACTAAACTTAGACAACAACTGAAAACAGAAGGCATTAAACAGCTGTTTCGACGCAGTTTGAGACGCACTAGCAAATAGCATCCAGCATCCTATCGGTAGCTGTTGGGGATAGTTGGTTAATATCTCAATGTCAACCATTGGACGCCGACTTAGCAACCTAAGTCTTACGCACTCACTGTCAGACCTGAAAGTTAGATGACCGATAGTGTTGTGTATGCAGTTCCATACAAGGAAGGAACAGATGTCCAGTGCTTCCTGGCTTGCATCGGTTGTCTAAATAAGATCAGCCCGTGATGTACATCATACTATTTTTAGTCGTTTGACTGTATTCATATTTATATTATTATGATTGAATTAAGAAAATAAGACTTGAATTGTATGACTGAAAATGTTTATTATGAGAGAATGTCAGTAATTTAAAACGTCCTCATTTTGAACATTGCTTCGACAACTATAGCTCGTAAACTTTGAGTTATCTGATAGTTTTTAATTTTATCACTCCACTGTTTAATGGGCTCGTAATCCAGTTACGTGTTTGTTTATCTAATTTACTAACCTCACTATGAAGGTGTTCAGTCATTCGCAACATGGATTTGCTTTCGAATTCTCTGGTATGGACAAGAGTGAGGATAGTAAGCTCCCCCTCTCGAAATGCTCTCATATGGCCATGTGCATTCAACCACTGCCAAGGAAGTCATACTCACTGCCTTTTCGTGGCGGGAGTGCTGTTTAACGAAATTGAGAGGACGAAAAGCGGATGTCCGGTGCTTTAACCGAGTTTGCGGTTATGGAGGATCTATCTATTGGAGTTGGAAAACCTTGATTCCAAACCAGTGATGCAGTATGGGCTCAATGATCCTAAGGGGACAAATGGTATATGAACCAATTATCGGTCACCGACTACCGTGATGTCGCATCTCCTGATGTTGCTCTACTGTCTCGTGAACTGGACCTTTAGGTCATAGGCTCGGGTTGTGGCCTCTTAGAAAATCACTTGTTTCGGTTTGGGCAACTGGACAGTATCCCAGCCGTCGCACAAATCGGATGATTTGTGCGGTGCATATCTATTTTGTGGCTCCTTGTACCAATGTTTATGTGTTTAAATGATAATAATAATAATAATCGCAACGTGGAACCTGATAAATATGTACATCGCTTCAATTTGTCATACCACATTAGCACAGTGAGATAGAATTGTTACTCAGAATCCCAGAATAGTAGAGGTAATAACAGTATCAGTGGGTAATAGAAAAGGTTAGGCATCGAAGACGCAATTTAAGAAGCAAATATAAATTAGTGAAATAAAGCTACAAAGAAAAGTTAGGAGAAATACAAAAGATCAGAGTTTAGGGGAAGACAAAAAATGGGTGCGCCTGCGCCATTGTAAACGATTTTGAGCCATGTCATTCAAAGTCTCCAACCACTGATTATGATAATCACGCAAACCCATGTCAGCTAATCTACATCTATTAACATGACCCAGTTCAGTTGTTAGTGACGTCATAGGCTAGTGCTATGTTTTGTTTAGGCCGCCCTTAGCTTCCTTCCAGCCTACTTCTACAGCAAACAACATCGCGCGCCCAGGTAGACGGTGATTGGACAAACGTAACACATGTCTCAATCGCTTCAGTCGATGAATATTTACCACTTCATCAATCAACTTGCCATCTTTACCTAGTACCTTATTCATAACCCAGACATTACTTAATCGGTGGTCCCAAGATACACTAGCAATGTGCTTCGAAGACACCTATGGTCAAATATTAGTAACCTAGGTTTCCTGACCCGAGTGAAGTAGTCGAACGCGTCGACAACTTCACTTATCTTGGAAGTCTGATCAGCCCTAATGGGTTGGTGTCTGACGAAATCTCAGCACGGATTCAAAAAGCTCGTTTGGCTTTTGCCAACTTACGTCACCTATGACGAAGACGAGATATCCGTCTATCAATTAAGGGACGAGTATAGTGCGCAGCAGTTCGTTCTGTTCTACTTTACGGCTGTGAAACATGGCCATTAAGAGTAGAAGATACTCGTAGGTTACTAGTATTTGACCACAGATGCCTTAGAAATATTGCTCGCATCTGCTGGGATCACCGAGTAAGTAATAGTGAGGTTAGACGCAGGGTATTAGGTAACGATGGTAAATCAGTTGATGAGGTGATAAATCTTCATCGACTGAGATGGTTGGGCCATGTGTTACGTATGCCTGAACACCGATTACCACGACGCGCTATGATGACTAGTATTGGGGACGGTTGGAAGAGAGTTAGGGGCGGCCAAACCAAAACATGGCATCAGTGCTTGAAGTCACTAACTTCTAGCCTGAGCCATGTTGGCAGATGCAGACTACCTGGTTGGGGTCCGCGTGACTATCGTAATAAATGGTTGGAGACTCTAGGTGACATGGCTCAGAATCGATCACAATGGCGTAGGTGTATACACTCTTTATCTTCCCTTAAACCTTGATATTAAAATTGCTTCATATCTCTCTTCCTTCCTGTACTATATCCTTATATACAACCTTTCCTTATATACTACCACCACTAAATTAATTACTTCTATGAATCCGGTGTTCATCTTGTTGTGCTAAAGAGGTATGGCAACTTGGACCGATGCATATATGTGCCTGGTCCTACGTTGTAGCTGACTGACTGACTGAGGTTTCCTGAAGGAAACTAAACGAATCATATGAATGTCCTAGGATCGCATTACGAAATCATGGGCGAGGGTCTTAAACTAACACGAAACAGCCGTCCAAAGGTTTCTCATAATCAGTGATGTCCTAGGCAAAAATGTTATTTCATAGGTCAAAGAATTCTCAACTACAGTACACTGAAACGAAATCCCCCTTTTATTGACATAGTAAAATTATGACATGAGTTTTTTCTCTCCACCTACAGATTTATCAGTTGATTAACGGGCATATATATATATATATATAACCGGAAGAGATGGTAAAGATTTGTAGCTCAGAAGAACGATGAAAGCTCCACGACCAAACCGTCCAGCTCAGAGAATAAAACTTCATAAAAATAACCGGAAGACTTACCTTGGGGAAGGATTAAGACAATTGTATATAAATTTTCTTGCAGGCTTGGAAAATCTTTTCAATTTTTTAATATTTAAATGATTTTGTGAATAAGTAGGTATAGTATTATCAGAATTCATTGTAGATGACAATTTATTAGATTGTTTAGTCTCAGATTTTTCATAATGGTGTTTTATTGATTCATCAGATGTTGAATTTTTCCTTTGAACATCGATTTCATTTGGATTTTCACCTGTTAGTCTAAATGCATAAAACAAATAGAACAGGCAATTATAAACCTTAAAATTATAAGGAATGGTAGATCCTTTGAGATTTTATCAACAATATAACATGTATATATTTAAAGGTTTGTATTATCTCACCGTTGATATTTAAGACTGAATTTTAATCGGTCTTATTTGACCTATGCTCATTAACACTAGAATGCAAGTGGATCCAGCTAACGAGTTACAAATAAGATAAAATGTGTCCTAGATCTCACTGTCAGCCACAATCGAAATTAGAAGTATTTTTTATGACTGATTATTAATTTAAAGAAAAATGACTTAAGTAATTCTGACTCCAAATTCAATGTTGGACAGGACAGAATTGAATGCTAACTTGAGCATTAATTTGTCAAGAATGTAGATTCATTTTATTGGTTGGTATCATCTAACGCAAAACAAAGTTGCAGGACCTCTTCATGATTACTTCCAGCCATCAAACAGTATTCAAGCTGAAAACAGTCTTTGCTTGAAAGAGATACTGAAATGAGAAGTTTCAGTTTACTGAAGGCTGCTGGATTCACTATTGGTCTCAAAATTACCGGGATAAAACAAGGTTTGTAATGTTCAGAGGTATTCTGTTGTTAGCATAATTGTTCTGTTTTCATCACAAACTGATGTTAATTGAAGGACTATTTAAAAGTCGTACACTACAAACCTCTCTCGCCCTTGTATAGGATTCTTAAGCAACGCTCAGTCGGTAGGATATAATTAAGCCACAATTTCACTATCTACACCGCGAATTTCTATCAATTTGTGATGTAGAGCATTCTTCATCCAATGCTACTGACTATAAATTCTTGAATCATGAAATGATTGAACTCTACGGATTGGGGCTTAGTGCAATAATTTCGGGCAGTTCAATTCCAGCTGAAGTCGGTTCTTGATGACAATTATCTTGAAATTACATTGCATTTCCATAAACCACCTAAATTACAAGTCATTTGAGTTTCATGAAACTTACAGTAGTCTCATGACAGCTCCAATACTCCACAAATCTGACGCCATTGATTTTGGCTGATTCTTGCGTAACTCGGGAGCCAGTTTATAATAAAATAAAGAAAAATGAATTATCAAACTCAACAGAACAAAACAAGTTAGACAGATATAAACAATCCTAAAGATAAATATTTTTATTATATGCCTTAATCTTTCATACATATGTTCATTCATTTTCCCAACATAGTTAGTTTTTCTGTTCAAAACTGTTACTATTAATCGTAATAACAGTTTTGGATAGGAAACATAGGATTTACGTTTCCTGCTACTTGACATTCATCACCTGGATTTATCTGCATCGTAATGTCTATATTCACACCGAGACTCTAATTTTATACCTTCCGTTACAAATGCTGACGCATTACTCACTGAATTGATGAATCTTGTTGGCAGCCAACTTGTTCAACTGTTTTGAAGGTATTCGTATTCGATCCCGCACTCGCGAGATTCGAACCCAGGACCTACCAGTCTCGAGCCAAAGCCCTTAACCGATAGACCACTGAGCCGGCATCCAACGGTGTTTTTGATTATTCTTATTACAACTACTAAACGTATCATCACCCTATCAATTTGTATTCATATAATCTATTTCATTGTTATCAATGACTCATAAACTTCCTCGATTGGTTTATTAATTTCATATGTATATAAATATTATTGTATAGTAGTGTAAAGCCTGACTAAGGTCTAATTAAAAACATTATTGTTCACAAACAAGATTATAATTTAACTTTAACTGGATTTATGATAGAATGAATAAAACGAATTGTTTTGGGAATTTTTTAAATTTTATTTAATAAAGATGATTGATTACTGTAGCTTTAGCACTGAATATAATGATTATGCAATTGTAAGCAACAAACTGAGTAAATCAAAATGCCTTAAAAATTACCTGAAAAATAGTTTTTGGTTTCATCTGAATCAGATTCATGACCGAACCCAGTCAATACAATATCTGGGAGCGAGGATGCTCGTCGTGCAACAAGTATATGTTCCGGACAAATATTTCCGTGTGATTGTCCTAAAAAGCATGTGTAGAACCATTTTAACGCTGATAGAATCTGTTGACTCCACATCATAACAGAAAATTCAGTATATTCTACTCGACTGCACAAAACATCAATAAGACGTCCACCAGGAATCCACTGCATTACTGTTACACTTCGTGTCGGTTTAACTGCATCATCTTCTAACCAACCAGTTGACCAACCAGATGGTAATAATTGTCGTTGATTAGTGAAAAGATATGAGTTATGTTGTTCATTATAATAATCTTCGAATGAAGAATATATTCCACCACAGGATCCATGAAGAATAGTAAGCATTAATGCTTCACGACGAGCTTTTTTCAGTAGATTATTGTCTTCTGAATTAAGATATGTGATTTTACTTATTAATCTAGGTGGAAGAGATATGTTTTGATGTCGAACATTATTGAAATTCGCTCCTTCATTTAACATTGGATGAGTTTTTCCAAGAATAAGTTTTGTATATGTTCCCCTAAAAATATTAAAGGTTAGATAATAAGTGATTAGAAAGGTAAATTAAATGGATTAAATTTGACCTATGTTTATCGAATAAAACCAATTCACATATGTATTACTTTTATTTATTTATTTAAGCACATACATATTGGTACAAAGGGCACCAGATACATATGCGCTACACAAAATAATGAGAATGGGGGGAGAAAGAGTGAAAATGCGTATACGTAAAGGATGAAAAAAAGAAAAAAGTAATGATGGGGGAATTGCAATGTACAGCTAGAAGAACTCTCTCAGTTAAGAAGGTTATAACCACTTTATGAATAGAGTAAAAGAAGGTTACAACTGGCTCGCCACTGACTTATATTATGAGCCACATCTGATAACGTCTCTAGCCACTGTGTTGCACCATCTCTTGGACCCCAGCCAGGGAGTCGTGAAGGACCAACAGTAGCTAGTCCTTTGCAGCTTTCTTTCATACCACGACACAAATAAATGAAATGACTAATTCTATGTATTACTTATTATTATTTAATTCACAAAACGTCCATACAAACGATATATGATTTTGTAGTTTTATTAGTTTCAATAAATTATATCCATTGAAATGTATTTTGATATTTGCACATGAAATAAGTTATATTGGATATCTGTTCAACTAAACAAGTTGTAAAGATTTAGTTAATTGCGGAACTCCTCAGCAGTGCGCATTCACGATCTCGTTGATAAGTTCTACGATAGGTTGAAACAACCGTCCAGTGCTTTTAGGTTTTCCATGGTGCTCTAGATTCAATTGACTCATGATTTCAACTAATAAAATTACTATAATATCCACAAAAAACCCCTTCTGATATTAGTTAATATCATTACAAAATTTTCAGTTGAAGAATCACTGAAAACAAGGAAACAATGAATAGATATTCTGTCATAGCTTAGAGCTCATCATAAATTCATATTAATGAACCGTATGAAATGTAACTTACATCATTGATGGTGTTATGGAGAGCACGACAATATTCTTTCGCTAACCAGGGGTTTAATAGCCAACATTATCAGAAAAAGCTGACTAGATATATAGCATGGCAGTTGTCTAGTATCATCTGCCTTACTTCCTAATAAGGTAATGGGATTTCATTAAACCTTTAAACAGAAATCTGTAAACAGACCATTGATAAGAGGCTAACCATTTTATATGTTTATAGAAATCAGTTAAAATGAATGTCACATGAAAATAATGACTATGACACATGTTTGAACAACAGTTTCTCCAATAAACATTTTTAAGTCATTAGTACTTACTTATTGATCAGACAAATTGGTCTACATATGGATTTTAATACATCTAAACTTGGAATTATCCCATTATATCGATTAAGTTTCTGTAAAATTTTGTCTGACGGTGGAGGTACATTGATTGACTGATCGATTGCATATTGTAAAGCTATTGGATGATCGCTTAATGCGTAGATATTTTCTGATTGACGCCAGTTGAAGATCCATTTTCGTTCATTGGGCGATAGAATAGTTGATGACTGATCCATAGAAACTTATCAGAACAATGGTAAAACATGAGATCATTAGCGGAGAAAAGATCATTTCTGAAAAATTCAATTATCAAATTAACAGATCTAAGACTTATTTATCAGATACTAATATATAATTTGTTTAACACAACTACTTGATAGAAAAGAAATTGACCAGAACTTATAACTGTGCGATTTATTTAACTACCGACTAGTGGTTATTTGGTGTAAATACTCAAGATATAGTAAATGGGTTGAATATTTGCAAAGCGCAGTCGAATTCTACGTTCTAACCCTTGAAAAATATGTACACAGTTTGCAAATATCTCTATCGTGCCTTAATAATATGGGTTGTTATACTGTCTTCGTTTTTTCTCTCTGCCTAATTTGGTTATTAAAGGACGAGGATTATTCACTGTAGACAGACCAGACAGCATACCACAATAAGAATCGCTACATAACTGTTTTATTAAATGATAGGCATGAAACCTGGATGAATAATGTAATTTAGTAAATTCAATATAAATACTAATCAGATTTGTAAGTCTAATTTACCGTTAAGGATTCGATACACATTTTTATTGAGTAAGGTCTTAACTTACCGATAGGTGTACGGAAACCAGAAGATGCAATGCTGTAATTGCCCCAACCGAATGCATTTCTAGCGGATACACGGACACGATAATATACACCAGGTTTAAGATTATTAATAAGATAACGACAGTCTACTGTGAATCCAAGCCGATGCCATGAAGGTGGTTCATTATCACGGTCTGATAACAGAGAAGAAATTATTAAAAGGTTACGTGTTTGGTAATATTGTTTAAAGAGAGTGTAGAACAAGCGAAACCATTAATTAGTAATTTACATATTCTAACCATGCTAGAATAGTCTTATAAAATGCTAGTGTATGGAAGCATTACGAAAACTCTCTGGAACGTGATTAGAAAGTATATTTTATTGCTTAACTAGTAGAATATTAGTATAGTAATCTCTAGCTCTGAGATTTAAGTAGAAATCGATCGCTAGAAACGTGGATGACGCGAGTTCCAATCCCATAAGATGCGCTGGTTCGCTCAATATTCCAGGTATGGCTTTCTGACAATTTCCAGCCAGCACAAAACCTAAATCCAGGAATACCTGGTGACTGTCATCAAATGACTAACATCTTATCATAGTAAATACAATCTGGGAACACTTGTACTAGTGGCAACAGTGAGACTTGTTCATTTGAGTTTGCTCAGCACTAAAAGACTGGACAAACATGACATTGATTACTACTTAGTAATCAACCACTTAAAACATCTCAGTCTTATATGGGGCCAGTCGCTGTCTGGATATCTTCTAAAGATCTAACAAGATGACAGCTCTTAAAATGTCATCCTGTGTAATTGATATATACTTATTTGACCTCAAAACACAAATTTCTTATTTGCTTACCAATAGTTCTGAGAGGATCTCTGGACAAGTACCTAAAGATTATCAGTTAATGTCCCCAGACTAACTAAAAGTACTATAGACAAACATCATTGATTGGGTTATGTAGCAGATCCTTAAGCAAATCCTTAACAAATAGAAGTGTTGATCATTGTATTTTACAGAAGCTCTCTCCCCCAAAAGAGATTTGTAGTTCACGTGATATAACCATGGTGATTTAATTTTATTCATTGATCTTGGTCATATGTTCTCTTCAACCTCAACAATTGCACAAACATATTCGCAATTCTTTTGACCGTAACAATTATTTTTATCATTACTTAAAAGAAATAATGAAGACTCGAACACTTTAGCTATGAAAATCTTCTAGCTTTTACAAATTTACAGTATAGAGTTGTGAAGATTGTCGAGTTTAGATTGATATCAAATTTATTAATCTACTTTATTGTTATCATTAGAATGATAAATTTAGTAGTTTTATCATTGTAATTGCTGTGTAACAACGTAGGAATCTCGCGTACATTTATTCTTATTGTTCGACTGATATTATCAAGTCAGACAGGATGTAATTAATGAGTCATTTTCATTCTCCTAATAATTTTTGATCTCTTATCGATGTACTTATATAAGTGCTCTTTATCTATGCGTATTTTGATTTATGGTTTACCTTATTCTGTTTCTATTTGAATTATGCGTAAGTTCATAAAAAGACGGCATATAAACAACTCAAGCAACTTCAATTTTCACTCATGTGTACATGAATATATGAAATACTATGTATTCAGCTATATTTAAAATTTGGTTTTTAAATACTGTGACTGTACAAGTAATATTTAATATGTAAGACAGTGTTTGGCAGTAGTGAACAGGGGAAACCTTGAATCTTGAGTCATGATATTTATCCTCTTATTCTTTTAAACTGTTTTCATTATCAACAGTACAAATACACTGTAATCAATTACTGAGAACTAATCAATCCATAATGCTGCTTGAATTCTATAGATCAAGTTACAACGTGACTTCTAGTCAGTTAGTGACTTGACATTGTATGCAGTCCTATAGGAGTTGACTTACGACATGAATTTTTCACTGATAATGTCTCTGTATGTGACAATGGATAGTACAGGTTTAAATATCATGAGGAATATCTATTCCTTTAAAATGCTAGACATACTTAGTTCATGAGTACCAAACAGCTCGAAATCAAGCTTCAGGGATTTCTGGTGACTGTCTTCAATCAAATAACTCCTGAAATAAACGTTATCTGAATTTTTATATACATAAGCACAACTGTTGTCTATCACTGTCGAAATAGTATTTTTTTATATGAGGATATTTTTACCTGAATATTTGATATCAAGGCGATAAATCAGATCTTCATTCGAATTCGATGTTGAAGAGAGCCAACTAATCAGTGCTTCTGTAGGACGAATATCGATAAGACCTGGTCGACCAGGCGGTTTCGGCATATCTGTAATAAAGAAAAATAAGTTTGATGTTAGCGTATTTAATGTATCTCACAAAAAATTTAGAAAGCATAGATTGGGGATAACTTTTACAAAAGCGAAACGATTAGATATTTGAAGTGATTAGGATTTTAATTTGTATGGGTATGGAGAAAACTTGTCACACTAAACTCATGATGCACAATATATTACTTATGGAAAATAGGATTAATTAGATTAAAGGACAAATTAAGAAAATTACGACAATTGAAACTTACCACTAAATAAAAGTCGTGCTTTTGTTCTTGATTTTCCAGCACGATTTCTTATCACACATTCAACAACACTGCGATCTTGTTCCGGATGAAGATCACTTAAACAAAGCCATAACCATCCTCCTTGTTCCACACCTAAACTAACACCTGGACCATCGGAGAGTAAACACCCATCTAAGTACCATGCGGCAGCAGCCGAAGAACTAGTGATTTCATTAAAGTTCCAGCCGATTGCATACATTTCACTGATAATTTCTTCATAATCACTAATACCATCTGGAAGGTAGGGAGCACTAGCAAGTTGACAAGTAAATCTTACTTCCCTTGTATGGACGCTGAAATATGCATCTCGAAGTGGACTAGCAAACACTGGAGCTAAATCAATAGAAAAATTGAACAAAATCATTACTTTACAAAATCACTATTGATTAAAACGGATACAGTTTTTATCAAATTTAAATATAAATGAATGAGGCAAGACTAAATTTTATGGACGACCTTTAACGAATCTCAAACGATCTTGAGAAATATTAGCCAATCAGAAGACAGTTAGTATACAGTAAAAATATATTATACAAAACTAAAAAATTAAAGCGGATACCGTTCTTTTACATGGCTCAAAAACTTCTCAAGGTCAAATATAGGTTCAGAAGTTCTAAAATAATAGTGCATACGGCACAGGAACTCATCCATATGGCTCCATAGTAGTCGACCTCTAGATCCATGATAAGGTCTCAAAAATTCTTTTAGCCTCGACCACATAGCTTCACTGTTGTTGATATGTTGGTATGGTTTAGGGTTTAGAGTTAAGGGTTAGAGTTAGGGTTAAGTGTTAGGGTCTTAACCATAATCATGATCGAGCGAAAAAAAGTCATTTGAATACCACAGTTACAAGTATAGGAACTTCGTAATAATCCCTTCTCTTGTAGTCGCTGAATTATCACGTCTTCTCTAAAATCCACTGTAAACCGATCGTACGTAAGCATCAGGTACCTAACTTAGCGCCATGACCTTGAAAACACGCAAAAGCTTCTGATTGGCTGGTCCATAAAGTTTAGTCCCGCCGTTATTTCATATTAAGGAAACTTTAAATTGATCCTAAAAGCTCTTAATTTCTGTCAATTTCGATTGGTTACTTCACTGAAAAAAAGTAATAATCTCTTAAAATATGCCATTGAAAAACATGAGAAAACATGAGTAAACTCATGTAGAGTGATAAGTTTAAATTACCAAAGACGACCTACCACTAAATTTATTTCCAATTTCATTACGTTTTACTGAAGTAGTCTGATTTTCTTGACCATGATTCACTGATGATTTTTCTTGTTCTTTTAATAATGTATAAGTTGATTCCTCTAACAAAGTAGCTTCTGTTAGAGTATTTTGTCTTTGTAAATTAAATGTCTCCTCAATTATTTCTGATGCATCGGCTGCGGTAGGAATATTAGTGTTTGGTGGAAATATAAATTTTTCATCAATAAAATTACGTGTTTCATATCGATCAAGCAATTGTGATTGAGATTCACTTTCAGAAAAAAAAGTTGAAATTATTTAGTCAAAGAAAATATTTTTAAAAGAAGTGGTATATAATAAATTCAACGGTTGTCATTATTGGATTCATATTTCTCACCCCGCTTGTAATTGGGAATACTCAGTGAAGTATTTAGAATATAAAATATACTAATGAAATTTGTTGGCGCTTCTTGTAGAAGGAATATTTTTTTTTTCAGTGAATGGATGACTACAAGAAATCTCTTCATTTATTCATCTCTTTTTCAAAAGTTAGAATCTCAGATTAGATGGTACGATCTGAATAATCCGTCATTCTCGTCTGACGTATAAAGTCCCTATATGTATACGTACTCTTAGTCCATGGTTTCAAATATCGATTGTTTTACCAACTCCAAGATGGGACGAAATACGTGAATAAAAACTTTTAAGTCTGATTAGTTATTGTACTTGATACTATGCTTGGACTGAAGAAGCAATTGTAGTAGTGTCTAGCCAATGAAATTTTAGTGATCGTTTTAGTGCATTTCAAACTAAAATGTGTATGTGTATATCTAAATAGAATGAAATTTGAGAACTGATCATTCAAAATGATATCCAAAATAAGTGTTCGCTTAATGGTTCATCTGCGGCTGATAATTCGAGCCAAATTAAAGTTGATTTTATGTAAACTATAAAAGAGTTTTGAGTAGAATTACTTATCTTGCAGATGACGGTCATCACAGACTGACATTGGTCGGGATATCATTAGAAACTGGAGAGGATTGTATCGTTGTTTTATCCTGAGTTTTTAATGTTACACCTAATAAGATCAATCTATGATAACTATCACCCACTTATAATTAGTTTTATCAGTATTTATAGTCGTCATTTACTGATATCATAATTATATCAAATGACTGTGAGTCACACACATTGATTTCTTGATTGTCTGATTGGTTGGCTGAAAACAGGCAATGTTCAACAGTGCCCATTCTGGAGACTTGAAACCACTGTTAATAGAAATACAAAGGTATCCGCCTATACACACAAATTTTGAAATAATAAAGGTCTATTATTATTTAAAAATCATTGAGTAGATGGTAAACTAATGACATGAGTTAGTGAAATAAGATTGGTTGGTGAGTGAAGATAGAGACTTATCTATCCCTGACGTAAAAGATGCAAAATACAACTGTAAACTCCTTGCTACTGTTGATTTCACTATACTGTATTTGAGATTTTACACTGCGTAAAGGTTATTTCGGTTTACATTATCTGGTTCTTAATGATTGATCGGGATTGTATATCAGTGTATCACAATGATCTAGTCTAGTGGTATAATAATAATTTACTGTACTATTTAAAATCGTAATCTATTGTGCCCAGTCTATTATTGTATCTACCAGTTGTATCACCTGAGAAAATGTAAATCTAATTAAATTCCTTTGTGACATCATGAACATATTGTAAATCCAAAGAATAATCCTAATAAATCAATAAAATGACATTGAGAATAAATGACATAATTTTCAAAAGTTGTTTGTTAGTAAGTAATGAAAATTTTTTTAAAAATATTTCTTTTACCTGTATGGCTCGGAACTTTCTCGTAAACCAAGAATTGATGATGATATTGAAAAAAGTACACTTTCTGTATCTTCACTTGGAGTTGGTTGCCTTACCATAGAAGTTAAACGATTTTTCAAATCACAATTATAATTTTTCTCATCACTAATAATGTAAACTGGATGCTGAAAAATTAAAAAAAAATAATTAATATATACAACAAAATTATAGGAAATTTGTGAAAATAAACTTATCCACCTTGATCTCTGTAGATAATATGTTTAAAGTAGAATGAGGGTCACAGGATGTTATTTATAAATACACTACAGAGACTTTCCAGTACATCTGTTTGATACGTTAATATCACAATTGATTGATCACTGGGTGGTGATCAATGTCATGCGTTTCAAGTACGTCTTTAGTGCTGATTGAATGCTATCGATCAAGTTGCAATGTGGCCACTAGTCTAGGTGGCTCGACACTACGTGCACTATGTTGAGATTAGATGGTGGTCGGAGGTGGTCAACAGGAAACCCTGGATCCGGGTTTCGTGCTACTTGGCACTCATCAGAAAGGTGTACCTGTAATCTTGAGGGAACTGGTGCTCCCTGACGGATTCGATCTCGTGTCACTCAGCTTCACAGTCAGAGACGTTACCACTGAGCTATTCGGGCCGTGACCGGCCTCCTGTAGGACTGATATGTAATCACAATTGATTGACCACTGGGTGGTGATCAATGTCATGCGTCTCAAGTCCGTCAGGGAGCACCAGTTCTCTCAAGATTACAGGTACACTTTGCTGACCAGTGCCAAGTAGCACGAAACTCGGGTCCAGGGTTTCCTGTTGACCACCTCCAACCACCATCTAATACGTTATTATATAATTGAGTACACTTACAAAATATACTGGTTTTGAAATATCTTATTTCATAGAAAACTATAAACTACGAGTTTTATTTATCCATTATCTAAATTATTTGGACTTCATTTAAGAAGATTGTGGTTAATATAAATTCCTTGGGTAGAATGGTTTTTTTGCATGCTGACATTTCAAAGTTACATCAATTGGAATTAAAATATCTAGATTAAGATTTTTATTCAGGAAAAAAAGGAATTTACTAAATAACATTAAGTATAATATATCATCGGAAGCATCCGCTCACATCAGTTATCAGTACCAGAATAAATATTTGATTGTGTTATACACTTTAGAAATCAGCTAAATTATTAATCTGCAGCCTATTTTCTAATCTATAAGTGGTTGAAGTCAAATATTTCTGAACGTTGTGAATTGAAATGTGACAATGGTCGGCTTATCAGCGAAATCTATAAAGCCATACGTTTGAACAACGATTCATAGAACTCAATGTAAAATCATTCAACCTTTCAGACAATTAATTTGTTTCAGATGACTAATATATCAATTAGATCTAATACCGATAGATAATATGATCACTTTTTGACTTAATAAACAATCAAATGAAGTATACCTATATATTTTTGACAAGTGAAATATAAGCTGTATACTATTCGGTTTCCAACTGTTTTAACTAATATCAGGTGGAAACTAATAATACATATTTATAAATGAATACAGAAATAGATGTCTATAAAAATTCTATGAATTGTAGTTAGCAAGAGTGAACAATTGAGTAGTCTATATGTATGAATCTTCTCGAAATTAACCCCTTTCACTGTATAATCAGTCAAGTCATTAAATCACTTGTTGATAGTACTGTGTATAGAATATCAAGAGAGTTAAGTATTTAGAAGGTTAATAAAATGAATTCATTTTATTCTATCCTATTCTTTATTCTTGCTCTCTTCAAGATAATAACTATTCAAAAACAATTGATTTACTTACTACTGAATCATAGAACTCTTTATATTTCTTTAATTTTTTTAGTATATATTCTGATTTATTTTCAGAATGTGAAAATATTTGAATCCATGGATGAGATAAACATTCTTTAGCTGAAGGTCTTTTTCTGAAAGATTTCAAAATATTATTAATCCAAATATTTATATATTGAAGTTTAAAATTAACGAGCTTCTATATATTAATAATGCATTGAAATAAGGACAATGCATTGCTACGCATATATAGCCTCTGCCAGGGAAGTCATACTCACTGCCTTCTCGGGGCGGGGGTGTTGTTTACGAAGTTGAGAGAACGAAAAGCGAATGTCCGGCGCTTTAACCGGGTTGGTGGATGTGGAGTATCCACCTAGGGGAGTTGGAAAACCTTGATTCCAAACCAATGGTGCACATGGGTTCCAGTATCCTGAGGGAACAAATGACGTATGAATCAGTCGTTGGTCACCGGATACAATGGGACTGCATCTCCTCACGATGCTCCACCGCATTGTGGATCAGACCTTCAGGTCAAAGGCTCCGGGTGTGGTCCCCTAAGAAAACCACCTGCTTCGGTGTAGGCATCTGGGCAGTATCACAGCCCCCACACAAATCAAATAAGATTTGTGTGGCGCATATGTAATCGGTGCCACTTTGTACCAATATTTATGTGTTCAAATAATAATAATAATAATAATAATAATAATAATAATAATAATAATGCATTGACATTGTAATAAAGCGATTTCTATTTAATCATTGTTTTGTTACGCTTCATAAAACAAAACTGAAGTGTTTTTGTCCGTAGTGTTTGCACACAATATTAAATATTTTGCTCATATTTTACTGGATAGTTCTAAGTTCAATACAATACATTTATATGTGTGCATTGAGTTCTCTATCTTTAGTTGTGAAAAGAGTAAATACTGCTTAGATCTTGGAACCTATTAGCTAGTGTAGTATATTCGATATTATTACTACTGTTACTACACATAGTAGTAAATACAGCCTATTAACATGTGTTTTTCTGAGATAGATGATTATGGAGAACAAATACCTATGAACAGTAATTAGAGGTTTTGCCTTCCGTATAAACTGAAACAATTAATTAAAATACATACACAAGATTTCATTTCTCACTTGTTGATCGAATCCACGTCTGAATGTTTTTTTAAGTCAGAATTATTATTTATTTGTAAACGTTTGGGTCTTCCCGTTGATGTTAAGAATTTAATTTCGATAAGTATTTTTAGACATATGTGCGTGCTAAGCGCATTACCTCAGTATCGATATCAAGTTACAAGTATTTTAACTAGAGATAAATTGTAACTAGCAGTAGAAACCAGGACGTATGTTTCCTGGGACTGGTCAGCCAGATTTACTTGCATCCGTGTTAAACTTCACTCAGTGACTCGAACACAATAGTCTTCGCTTCAAATCCGAACGCGTTATTTGCTGAGCTAGTGAGTAAAACAGGTCGTCTAAATGATTACTCTCAAACAGTACGGGAAGGACCTCCCAGATTTCGTTCAGTCTAGGGAATACAGAAGTAGCAATAGTACTTTATTAATGCGCGCAGTAACTGTATACAGTTATTGCTATGATTCCAAATGATAAGCTAAAAGTTGCGCTGTGTCATTAGTTCAATAATATACACTGATGTTTGTTTTAAAACACATTACTTCGCTCACACTAAAGATTTCAAAGAAATAAATTTTTATCAGAAGGGGTTTTTTGTGGAGATTTTAGTAACTTCATAGTTGAAGTCATAAGTCAATTGAAGTAAGACCACCGTGAAAAACTTGGAGACATTGAACAGCTGTTCCGTCCTATTGTGGGACTCCTCAGCAGTGCGCATCCACGATCCCGCCTGACGAAATTCGAACCCAAGACCTATCAGTCTCGCGCGCGAGCACTTAGCCTCTAGACCACTGAGCCAGCACTCAACGGTTTTAATGTCTAATTTCAACCAATCCACGAAATGGAGCAACCGTCCACCATTGTCTTCAGTGAGTTAATATCTCACAACAAACCTGGTTGAACTCCACTGGTTACTGCTTCCCACTAGAACTCCAAGTTTTCCATAGTGATCTAGCTTCAAGTGACCCATAATTTCAACTTTAAAATAGATTTTTGAAAATGAATTCTTATTTTCCACTTCCATGTCAAATAATTACACGATACTAACACTTACCTAGGGTCAGCTTGCAAAAGTTGTGAAATAAAATCTTTGCCTTCATTTGAAATATTTTCCAATTCTGGTACATCGAATGGAATAACAGCTTGTAATATATTGTCACTTAGAACATTACCTGTATCATAATCAATAAAAGGTGGCCAACCAACAAGTCTACAGGTAAAAATAATGGGGATTAATCAATGAACATTGTATGAAAACATATTAAGAGTAGTTCCTGATAGTACAATTTAAACCAAGTGTCCTTAAGTTGTTTTAATTTATTTTATATTCATTAGATATAGACATTTTTGATTGCTATTGAGTAGAATAATGAATTTAAAACTTACTGCCTTAAACATATGGTTACGATCACGAACTGATTTAGTTTAGAAAACATTTAGTTTTTTAAACATTTTTTTTAACAATAAGTCTTTGTCCAGTGTGTTTCATCCGTCTTTTATAAATGATTTTAATAACTGTCAAAGTATTCAAGCGACATTTTAGTGGCTAGTTCATTTGCTATTGAACAAGAAAAAGTAAATCATTAAAAACTGAGTTAAATTGACCTGTGTCATTAGTCTTTTCGATTAAATATGACACTACTTATAAGTAGTTGACATAATTAGTAGTGAATGTTTTCAACAATGCACTAGCTGATTTTGTGTTCAGAACTACTAGTTCAATTGTTTAGTATTTAATATATCCTATTCGAATGCTGCTTCATGTATTTTGGTTTGGGCAGCCTACTGGTATTTTTAGCTCTGACGTGAAAATATTTAACTCAAATCAGATTTAGTAAATTTGTATTTTGTGGATAAACTACTCTTTAAATTCATTTACTATTGTTTGTTTGAATCTTTCCATCGATGTGTTAGGACTGCAACTAGTCAGTCTGTAATTGGCATATGTGTATACTGTGCATATTGCCGCGATATAGCCTTCATTCACAGGCATTGTAAGCAAAGATGGATAGTGGCTAGCAGTAGAATCCAGAACGCGCGTTTCGTCCTATTTGGGACTCGTCAGCTGGATGTACATGCATCTCAGAGTTGATGTTCGCTCTGATACTCAAACCCAGTAAATCCAGCTGACGAGTCACAAATAGGACGAAACGCGCGTCCTGGATTCTACTGCTAGCCACTATCCAACTTTGCTTATAAGCTACTCTTTGTTTACATTTACGTTACTGGTTAACACTTTGTGATTTAATTAACTAAAAGTAGTAGGATGAATCTGCATTGGTAATGTTGATAGTATAGTGATATTTAAAAAAATAGTGTAATTGACAGTATAGAGAATAATTCACGTTTTTGTTAAACTGTTAACACTATTATTGCTAGGAAGATTGTCAATCAAAAATATTCCTCTTAAAGATTTTAAAATAAATATTAAATTCAACAGACTTGTAAATCACAATGATTTGTGAAGTCAGTGATGATCTCCATGTTTTGCGTAATATTTTTATCTGAGTTTAAGATTGCTTTGCGTAACATGGGTTCCCCTTCTTCCTAATTTACAAGTATGTTATCATTAAGCTGTGAGATTCTAGTTGAATCGCCCATATCTCTAAAACATAGTCATTATATGATATTAAATAATGATGGCATTGTTTACTTCTCACTTCAAACTTGTTTACTTAACTAGTATAGGATACTATCTAGAGTTTGAACTATATATTCTCAGTGGAACCTGAATCTTTCAGGTCAGATCATTAGCTTGAAAGCTGCGTATCATTTAATGACAAACTATAACAAACAGATTTATTCCATGGTGTGCAGTACATGTTTTTTTCTAAATAGTCCGTAAGTTAATCATTTTTTAATTGTTTAAAATTTACACATTGAATTATTTAACGTTAAATTAGAATATTTTGTTTATAGAACTCACAGGATATACGTTAACACTCCGAGACTCCATATATCTGAAGGTGGACCTAGATTTTCAGAATAGGTGTGAATAGTTTCAGAAAATGTTCCATCAGTTCGTTTCATTAGTGATAAAATTTCTGGAGAAACATATTCCGGCCTGTACCATAACGGAGGCATACAAGTTACACAATGTTGGGAATTAGTAATATACGTTTGTGCTGTGGAAAATCCCGTAACTTTAAGTAAATTACTGAAAACATTCATTTTATGACGATCTGTTTGACTCAATACATCGGTTACTAGAGAAGCCAGAGCTCGTAGTAAATCGGGATTGTTGGATGAGTTTTCAGAATCATAGTTATCGATTGTTTTCTTTACAAAAAGTAGATTGTCAGGCTAAAAAGAAGAAATTTTAAATCATTTTTTCACTTATGATAATTTGAACTTTAGTTGTATGTTGTTCAAAAGATATTATAATTTACCAATAAATATCTCTTTTTTTGGGGGGGGGGGTTAAAAACTTTACTTCGTACTTGATACTTTTGTAGTCTTCTCATTTGACTGATCAAATTTATGTAACTTTGATAATTTGGTCATTTATATGTTAAACTAATAGGACTAATACAATACTGTTAAGCTAAATTAAAGATGATACAGATTGAAGTTGGAAGCTTAGAAGGAAAAAATAACTACAACGTGCATGCTTCAGGTTCTAATTACTATAATACAGTCAATAAGCTCGAAAAATTGTTGCTTATAAACACTCATGGTGTCCGACAAAATTGAGACACATAAGTTACAATGTTAATCTGAGTATTAGATCATCTGTGACTTGGGATAGAAATAAAAATGGTATACTGTTTAATGTATTCCAGTGAATTTTAATTGATTATATATGTATGAATAATAACTGGAAAATAAAGTGAGTAAACTTTAATACTTGGTTGATTACAAAAATCTTTGAATATTTCAATTATTTTCCTTAGTGGATCTATGTCCTAATTTGTTACAGGATGTTTTGTGGAATAAGAGAACTCGGCTTTTGATTGGACGGACAGAAATTTTATTATTATAATGCTTTCTTCTACCCTCTTGATTTTAAATATATTGGAATACTTCGAGTTTGATTTGTTAGTGTACATTGACGTTTGTATTGGTTAATTAGGCCACACTTCTAATAGAGCAGTAGAAATGCATTATTTGTTTTGCCTTCGCTACAGTACTACCCTTACAACATATGGAAACAAAATGGGTGGCTATTCTCACTCATTTTTCATCACTTTTTCCATTTAATACATCAATTAAAATATCGTTTGAATTTTTAGCTTCACAAGAATACTAGATTGAGTTAGCCATGTGAATCATAAGAACCGATAAACAGTATGAAAGACGTGTCGTTCGAAGATTCTTCGATTTGTAATGAATTAGGCTATTGTCTTAGCCTGATTATTTCACTTGTTTTCATAATCTTTCTGAGAAAGCAACTAAAAAAGTATCATGTACATCAGTTGCTCACTATGTTAACTTCCATTCGGTAGATTAGAAGATTATTGTGTTGAGACTGATAAAAGCTATTCGGAAAAGAAAGGAGAAGGATCGTACAGAAGAAACATGAGTTATCAATAACAAATTAGATTGTTAATCACCAGATTATTCTCTATGGAAAAGATATCTCTTTGAAATACTTGAATTATTTCTACTGCTGGCCTCCAAAACTCGGAGCATTCAGAAAAAAGAAATTATAGTGCTGTAAAGTGAACATATAGTGGTTCTACAAAATTCGCAATCGATATGTGTACATAATCACAGTTTTAATTGAACAAACAAATATTACTTGAATATCATAATGAACTACTCCTTGATTATGAATATGCTTTAATGCCTCCAGTATTGAACGAACAACAGCTGCTGTTCCCATTTCTGACCAATTTTCACATGCGAGAACTGAATCAAGTAGATTTGAACCGGACAATCTTGAAATAGGATTAAAATTATTATGATTAATTTATAAAGTTATTGAATAATTATTAGAAAGTTGATATTGTAAATTGTAATTTCTAAAATGAAATTTCTTACAGATTTTGTTGTTGTTGTTATGCCGAATGAAGTTATAATTTTTCAGGTCGACCAGTATGTAGGAAACTTTCAGTTAAAGAAAATAACTTCAAGTCAAAGATTTAAATTTGACCAGTGTAAAAACTTAGTACTGTTTAGTAAATAGGAGGAACCTATCAAGTAGTACCCTTGAAGGCCATTTTAATATCTATTCCCTACACTGGTCTATCGTGTAAAATTAATCAATTATTTGTTTTGGAGATATATTTCCCATCAAACCCTGTCTGCACACATCATGAATGGATAGGTAGTCATTTATGCAAAGTATATGTTCATAGGTCTTTGTGTATATCTCCAACCATTCGGTTTCAATTTTAATTATTAGAAATATTATGTGTATATTCCGAAAATTGGATTAAAGTGTATTATGACACCTAGTAACTAATAGAGGTTTATAAACACGTTGGTGATTATCAACTAAGTTTTCTATGGCTATATCGTTTTTCTTGATGAATATATATCAGTATTAGTACAAATCTACAATTACAATGAACTACACGTTCATCTACTTCACTTTTTTTCTCAACTAAGTCTCCAATCATATCAACAGTCGATCATTCACTTACATTTTCCTATGTAAAACTTGTTTTAATTATTTGTCGACTTTTTCGGGATGCTCGTATGACTTTGAACCAAGCCAAAATCGTTGCTAAAAGATCATGTAAACCTTATTACCACTGGGTAAGCTTTCAATTTTACACTGGTTGAAGTTAAAGAAAGTGAACCCTATTGATCTTTTTATGAAAACTTTAAACTGATGTGTTAGCAGTGGAATCTTTTCTATATACCATTCGGGATAATCTCACGTCATGCTGCTTTATAACCCTTTTATTTCAAATGAAGTACCTTCAGCAGTATGATATAATTATTAGGGATTCCCTTCATTATCAGAGACCATCAGTTCAATCGACAAAGTCAAATGTCGTATCATAGCAGAATAAAATAGGATTTTAGAGAACTTTGTCAATACTTGAGGACCTGGCAAAAAGTAATGGTCTGGTTGATACAAAACGTTCATATTTTAAAGCCATATCATTTTTTAGTTATCATTGCCTTCGCGTTCCGTAGTCATTAAATTAGTCACATCGACATAGGCCAAGCGGACGGTGTAAAAAATAAACTTAATATCATTAAGTCTCTTAAATATCGCAGTTGTGAAAATGGTGAAAGTTTGGACGATCTCTAAGTATTGTACTCTCAAGTTATCCTTTTGTTGTAAGAAATAATCCGAACTTCCTCCAAGACCCTTCAACGTATACAGCATCCAATGGTTGTAGAAAAGATTGTTAGAGCAGCGACAACTCGCTTTCAGCTCGTTTCATTAATTCCTGGCTAATCAATCGATTTTATTGAAATTAGGAGCCTATCTAATTTAGACAGCCACTGACAACCTGGAGGCACTGGACGGCCGTTTCGTAGTAGTAAGGAACTCCTCAGCAATGCGCATCAACGATCCCGCCCCGCCAGATTCGAACCCAGGACCCACCAGTCTCCTTTTCTGATTTTCTTAATCTGTTGATTCCAGGCATTTCACTTTCACTTGATGATACATACTAGTTATATCTATCGACATTAGTAGCATACTTCAACTATTCTGAATTACCTTTCTTAGTGAACAACTATTACTTGAATAATATATAATTATAATGAAATTTATGAATAATCATTATAATAACTTACTTTTCATAAACTAAAATAAAAATATTATCACTAATAAATGCATCAATTAATTGTAAAATATTTTTATGACATAAACGTGTTAAACATTCCATTTCACGAGCACCATTTATCCGACTTGTCAGATTATTTAAATTAAAGAATTTTCCAATATATTCACAATTCGTCTTTTTATCAATCAGTAAACGAATTTCTGAAAATGAATCACTAAAAAAGAGATAAGAAAAAAATATACATAAACAATTTGATACTAGTTGAAAGCGTGAGTCAATTGAAGCTAGACCACCATGGAAAACCTGGAAACACTGGACGGCCGTTTCGTCCTATTATGGGACTCCTCAGCAGTGCGCATTCACTAACCCACTCTCGCGAGCGAGATTCGAACCCAGGACCTACCAGTCTCGAGCCGAAGCCCTTAACCGATAAACCACTGAGCTGGCATCCAACGGTGTTAATGTCTAACTCAACTTCGTGGATCAGTTTAAGTTAGACATTAACACCGTTGGATGCCAGCTCAGTGGTTTATCGGTTAAGGGCTTCGGCTCGAGACTGGTATGTCCTGGGTTCGAATCTCGCTCGCGAGAGTGGGTTAGTGGATGCGCACTGTTGAGGAGTCCCATAATAGGACGAAACGGCCGTCCAGTGTTTCCAGGTTTTCCATGGTGGTCTAGCTTCAATTGACTCACGCTTTCAACTATAATAAATACTAAATCTCCACAAAACCCCTTCTATAACTTGATACTAGATTCATATTAAGTATTGTTTGTTTGAGTCTTCCCACTGATGTTTTAGGACTGCAACTGGTCAGTCTCTAATTGGTATATGTATACACTGTGCGTATTGTCTCGATATAGTCTTAATTTACAAGCATTGTAAGCAAGGATAGACTTGATAGCTGAGTGGATAACGTGATGGCGTTTGAAGCGAAAGTTACTGCGTTCGGATCCCAGAGTGAACATCAACTTTGAGATGCAGGTAAATCCAGCTGACGAGTCCCAAATAGGACGAAACGCGCATCCTGGTTTCCACTGCTAGCCACTATTCATCTTTGCTTACAATTTGATACTATGTTACAAATTTAAATCATACACTACATACTTTGGTTTGAACAGCAGATTATTATCACTAACTCTTATACTTAATATATAGTTCATAGGCAAATATATGAATGCGTGCTTGGTTACTAGTTATTAATGATAATGCATATCTGGTCCAGGATAAAAGGTGAGGCGACATGGAATAATTTATACACTTATACTTCTGTAAATTATACAAATTTATGCTAGAAAATTTTGAAGTAAAAATGATCTATTTTTATAAAAGATAATATCAAAGAAAAGTGTCAACTAGATCTTTATAGAGTGAAGGTCTAAGAATCGGTGATTTTTTCTACTTTGGAAATATTTATCAATATACGATCCTTGAAACTTGGAATGCACTTTAAATTTGGAAAAAAATGAACAACAAATGATCTGTACTAGTTTTCTTTATTGATTATTCGACTGATTCTAGATGATACTTATTTATGCCTGTTAACTTTAGCTTGAGATATGGAGAGCAACTATACACTATTTTGGGATCCAATAATGCTTGTGCCACACAGTGTTGATGGTTAATTATCTTGGTGTTACTTTTTTCCCCTTATCTCTCTTGGTCTTTTCATGTTTTACTGTTATCGATAAAAGTTTACCGTTTGACATACTACATAAAGAGGCTGCATGCTTTTGGGATTACTCGACATTTACTCTTACAATTTTTCAATTTCTGTATATTCCCCATTATTCCTTACTGTTCTCCATTATTCTTTCCCGGGCTTTTGAGAACAACTTTGCTTTACTGTGGATATTTCTGAAGGCAGTTAGCAAAGTGTGTGGTGAATCTTTCGAAGTTATCATTAATACGGCTGCGGATAGACATTTTAAGTCATGCAAACTCCTGGCAGGTGATATCATATATTAACCATTTACTTCATTCATCTCTTTCACCTTGTATATCTTCTGATAGAACGAGACGTAAATACATTAAAATCCATACACGCAAGCATATCTACAAAAGTTCTGTAATACTTTATCTAGCAAATACACTCTGTGACGAAAAGGTTGTTGGAATCAACCTAGTCAATAACCTGTATTCTTAACAATGTCTCAAATTTGATAAGTTGTACAGGCTCGGTTTGTTTTTCACCTTTTTCATTTCCTTTTTGTTTGTTGGTGAAAAAACTTGTTGAAATACCTCGAACTGAGAATTCTACATTGTACCAAAATATAATATTGAATAAATCCAATAATAACAATAGTAATAATAATAATAACCCCTCATGGAGGAGTATAGACCGCTAAGCAGCATTCTCCACCCAAATCTTTCCCGGGCAATCTTTTCCAGTTGCGATTCATAATTTTTCTGTCTGCTCCCAACCCTCAACACAATATGTATTTTCGTTTGTCTCTTCTGATTTTTCCTTTCATTATTCCAAGTTAGGGCTTGCCTCATGGTGTAATTTGGTGATTACAAAATTGTATTACCTACCCGCCTGCAACATCTTTCCTTAGTTTCCTCTTCAGCTGGAAGCTAGTTTGTCCTCTCACACAGTAAGCCGTTTCTGACGGCATCCAGCCAGCGGACATTGAGTATCGTGCGCAGACAACTGTTTATAATACTTGTACTATTTTGATGATAGTTGTGGTAGTTCTCGAAGTTTTATCTCCGTACAGTGGAACTGTCTTGAAGTTCATATTGAAGATTCTGACTTTGATATTGGTTGAGTTATTTTGAGTTCAATATCTTCTTCAGCTGTGGGAATGCATCAGATCCTTAACGTTCATCGATGATGCTTCCCAGGTACGTGAAAGATTCCACATCTCCTAGAGTTTCTCTATCAAGTGTGATCGGGTTGGTGCTCTCTCTATTGCATTTTATGATCTTACTTTTTTCTTCGTGTATTTTGAGGCCTACTGACGCAGAGGCTGCTGCTACACTAGCTGTAGTCATTTGCATTTGTTTGTGTGTATGGGATAGAAGAGTAAAGTCATCTAGGAAGTTCGAATCGCCCGGTTGAAGTCAAGCTGTCCATTGTATTCCGTGCTTTCCCTCAGGTGTTGAGGTCATCACAATCCAGTCAACCACCAGAAGAAAGAGAAAGAGAGAGAATAGACAGCCATATCTGACTTTGGTCCTTAATGGGAATACGTCTGTCAGCTGTCTTCCATGAACCACCTTGCACTGTAGTCCGTTGTATGAATTCTATATGATGTTGGCGATCTCGGGTATATCATAGTGTTGAAGAGGGCTTTATAGGGTCCTCCTATCCAGACCATCAAGTGCTTTCTCAAAGTCAATGAAGTTTATGTAGAGTGACGAGTTCCATTCTGTCGATTGTTCCACGATGATTCGTAGTGTCGCGATTTGGTCTGTGCACGGCTGATTCTTACGGAATTCAGCCTGGTAATATCGCAGTTGGGTGTCTACTGAATCTTACATCCTGTTCAGCTACATTCTGTCGCTTTTAGATGATGGTGATGATATAGATGAATAATTTTAAATTATTTATTTTTGCCAATACAGCTCTATTGAAGAAACGTTTGATTTTAGGTAGCTTAACTTCCGTTGTTACCTAAACAAAATTCTGCCACTCACAATGAAAAAATCGGTTACATAGTCGTAAACGCTTAAGTAAAGAAACTATGTATTGTATTAAACTTCGGAATGATAGATACTCTAATAAAGTCTCAGTGTATACGTCAATCATAAGATTAGGGCAAGTGCTACCGACGAATCTTGTTTAAGATCAAAGCGGGTCATAGTTTCTACTGATTCCTACTATTTAGGACTTGGACAATACTATCTAAAAAACAAGTATGTCATTAGAGGCTGATCAAATTACGTTTTGAATATTAACAATGGGAATTCTTCTATTTGCTTATTTTATCTTAGTTGTTTTTAAAAATGTTTTAACTACTGCTAACATTTGTGATTGGATTGAGTGTACAGGCAACGAATGGATTTTAGCTAGTTGTAAGATCAAAAAATGTCTATTTTGTCTTGTTTCGGATTCTTCAACGTCTCCATGTTTATATTCAAATTGGGACTTGAACCAGGGGGTGGATCATCTACCAGGGTACTTGTTTAAGATAATAGCTAATGTGTTCAGTAGTTATGTATTATTATCTGAGTTTGAATCCTTTAGTCATCGAACTTAAGAAACCTAGTTATTCTGTATTGGTATGCGTACATCCTGAGCGGATTTTCTCCCTAACTTTTTTTATAACAACTGTCTGATATATTTGGAAAATAATTAAATCAAGCTAAAAACATGATAGGAATAATTGATCAAGAAGTAATACTCATCATTTACCTTTGAAGTCGTCTTAGTACAAAATAATGATTTTCAATATTTGTCCATCTCAAAGTTATATTAGTTGGGGTTGGATTTTCTAAATCATAAATAAAATGAAGTGATACAATAATCAATACATGACAAGTAAGTAGTCAACGATTATTTCTAAAAATTATGCAACAGATTTTGTTTCAAAATTGAGGTTTTAGGCAATCACTTTCTGAATAAGAAATCAAAAATTAAAACTGCCTGTAATTTTAAATTCATTATTTACTAGGGAAGCAAGTGGTATCATGAAATTCGTTTCCTGAGATTTTTGACATCAATTACAAGACAAAATGCCATGAAGTTCTACGGAATATCATCCTCTTAAAAAGATCATATGTAAACAGAAACTGATTAAATATAGTTCTAAATGCCAACAACAGGGACATGGAAACCTTTGCAAGAAATAAAAATAATTTGCTGATTTTGTTAAAATCATGGAGATAATATAAGTAGCTAGTCATGTTAATCTAACTTATGACTTTGTGCTTTTATAATAAATAGCAATAAAATTTACGCTATTTTCCCTTATTTATGGTATAGAATAGATTACTTTGGTTAGTTTATGTTTTCGAAATAGTACATACACGTTACAGTTAACCGATAAGCAAAATAACAATTTCGAACTGGTTTTTTACTATGAACTGACATCTAACTGAAAAAGTTGGTAAGGTTAAAGAAGCATTTAATAGCTAATCGTCGGTGAAAAGTAGTGAGGAGTTTTCAACTACTGGGTAAAAGATAACATATCGTTCCTTTTGACTATTCATTGTTTAGTGTGTTTTTAATGAAAATTAGTAGTATTAAACAGTTTAGGAATTGACAACCCAGTTAAAATGTTTAAAGAAATATCAAAATATGTACCCATGTATATGATAGGTGATGACAAATTCGTTACACTATCTAATCAATAAACGTGTCCATAACTATCCCTATTTGGCAGAAAATTACATCCTATCAATAATTAACATTATCAATATGAATATAAATGTAAACAGAGCATTAACAATTAAGCTTTTCACCAGATACATGCAACCTAGAATTATAATTATGACTAAAATTCTTTATTTCGTAACGTTGAGAGAAATGTTCAAAACGTAACCGAAATCATATTCATGAGAGTATTAGGATACCAATTCTATGAATAAACATTGATAAGCATTGATAATTATCTACCCCTCTGACGTCACCTCGTACGGATAAATGAATTTACATGTACCTGCGGTAACAAGTATATAAGAACAACTGTATGAAAGGCCTCTGCTAGGTTTTATGAATACATTACTACCAACCTCGTTGTTCTTGCTCTGTTTAAGTATAAATTTAAAAATAAAATACCGCCCATATTCTCTGAATACCTTCAACATGAACCAAACAACTAGTCATTATTCGACCAGCTATATTTTCAGCTGTTAAAGTATACAAGCCTGAATCTTGATAAATACATTTTTCCACTGATAACGTTGCATCTCTACTAAATTCAACGTTTGATATACTAGGTGTTCTATTGATTGATTGTTTTTCAGCTTTACCAATTTTTGTACGATGTGATTCAACAATTCGTTTTGAATCTCTAGTCCAAATTATTGTTGGAAGTGGTAACGCATCAATGTAACAAGGCAATTCAAAACGTGAGTGTAACCTGACAGTCAACAATGGAATAGGGACTTCTAAAAATACAGGAGCATCTAAAATAGGTAGAAAAAATATGCAAACAACAAAAAAGTAAGGGAATAATGTTTTACACTCAAAAAAATCTCACATTACACATGGATACAAATTAAGTTCATATTTCATTGTTAACTGTAGGATTTATAGCTGTTACATTTTTTGTCAGTAGGAAAATGTCGTGTCTTGAGTTATTGAAGAGTTTATTTATGATTATGTTGCTTGTTAAACCGAATAATCATTAGGAATAATATGTATATTGGTCAGACATTTTGATACATAGACCCTCTACGATTAGTTACATAATTCGGAATTTATACATTTCATACTTGCATGTGTTTATTTAACAGTTAAACAAAATCTATTTTATATCTTGCCTATTTCAATCAGAAGTTACTTCCGATTGAACTATTACACTTCCAATTAACATAGAAGTTAATATAACCCTTGAAAGTATAAAAATGAGACTCACAATTTAATAATAGGAGTTTTAGTTCACAAAATACAAAAATAGAGCTTGTTTATTCTACACATTTTAGTCTAGTTATGATACTAACTCCGGAATTCAACCGATTCAATCATTAGTCACATATTTTAGGGATCTGTTATATCGATTGAGTATGTGCGTTCTTGCCCAGTTGATATATATGACATTATAAGACCGCTGATTGGAGAGTAGTGTTTTATCGATCGGATCAATAATGATGCACAAAAGCCGTATGAGCAGTCTTGAGTACTTTTCAGTCCTGATTTCTGCCTAGCCCAGCCAGTTAAGTTCAGAACATCAATAACAGCCTAAGGAATATGAATCATTATTCTCAAACATACTGGGTTTATATACCAAACAAAATGACCACATCGTACCATAAAATAGAAAATAACATTTGTAGAAGATTTAGCCAAATGTGACTGTGAATAGGGGGAACATTAATTAATGGACTAGGGATAACTCAAGAATGGTAAATCGTATAATAATAGTCTAAAGGTCAAAGTAAAGCTTATAATATGAGGGACACGAATATGAATAGTTAAGTTACTTAACAATTATACAATAGGAAATATACATATCACATTGATCCATAAATAGTTCTCAAAGTTAGCATTCATAAATCTCTTCGGGATATAACAGGATCATTACAGATTCCTTGGTATGATTGGCATGAATTATTCCTCTACCTTAATTTATCTCAAAGTTAAACATTTTTAACATACACTATACTAAATGGTTTAAAATAAACTAAGTGAATTAGTTTACTTTGTTCTGTGACACAATCTCATATTAACAATCAATTAAATCAGCGATTATACTTAACAAACAAAGTTCATGATTAGTTTCATTCAATGAAATATTCTCGATTTAAGTTATTTTGGTTATCACTAATTATAAACAAGAGATTGATTTGAAATTTGTTGTTACTGTGGATAATTTAGATATATTGTAGTAAACAAGAAAACTAGTGGAGACAATCGAATGCAATTAAGCGCAAATTACAAACTATCTCACTAAATTCTGATAACCATACAGCAAACAGTTAATTTGCAAAATAACAATCAGTTGTCTCAATCTTAGCTGTTTCTTCTGCAAGTATCAATTCATCTTCTCTGATTTCATTGTTCATACATTTTCGTACAGATTGCGCTTCATTCCTGTTCGTTCCTTATCGATCTTCTGCCAAATATATTCTATGTTTGACCATCACTATATACTACTTATGTGGATATAAATGGACCATATCACAATATTACTAATCAGTTCTATTAATATATCCTTAATTTTTAAAATTATCTTATACTTACCTGCCATTTTTACAATAAATTCTTTTTCACTAGTACCCAACATATATACAGCTTTACAAATATATGTACCAAAATCATTTTCATTTAAACCATTCAAATGTAGTACAGCTGTATCTCCAGATTTCGATACTGTACTATAGAATTTTTGATTTAAAGTTGGATAAACAGTATTTACTAAAATAAAATATGAAATATAGTCAATTTATTATTATTTTAATGATTATTCAAACACTTAGTGTGTTTATCTCTCCCAAATCCCACTTTTAATCTAAATAAATAAAATAATTTATGCGAATGTTCGTTGGAATTATTTAAATTTCAATCGCTGAGACTATTTCAAATATAATTTTTTCACATATAATAAATAAATAAAACTTTTAACTAAAGATGGATAGTGGCTAGCAGGGGAATCCAGTTTGACGCGCGTTTCGTCCTATTTGGAACTCGTCAGCTGGATGTACCTGCATCTGAGAGTTGATTTTCACAATGGGACTCAAACCCAGTACATTTCGCTTCAATCACCGAGTCCTGATAGCTACTTGGTTGTGCAATAGGGTGAAGTTTAAATTCACTTAGTATCACTTGTTTGAATCTTCCCATTGATGCTTAGGACTGCAAATGGTCAGTCTCTTGTGAATTAAGGAAATATCGAGGCAATACGTACAGTATGCACGTGTACCAATAAGAGACTGACCAGTTGCATTCCTAAGCATCAATGGGAAGATTCAAACAAGTAATACTAGGTGAATTAAAACTTTTAATTGTTAGAAATTTTCTCTTAACTCGTATATTTTCTAATGCATTAACAACAAATCTAATGTAATTTATACTATTGAGCCCATCTCATATTATGAATTTTAATGAAATATTTCAAAGTATGTAATAACAAGTGTTCGATAGTTAGTTAATCCCCTTTATAATCTTATATAGTTACTATGATATGTCTATATAAGAACTTTCGTCTAAATTAGAGCGAATAGTTTCACAGTATTTAAGCGCCGAGTTGATAATTCCTTAAGAATGCTTGGACCAGATTGCCAGAGGAAACGTTGGATTAACTTCAAATCCATTCGCTGAGATTTTACAAATATATTAATCTTATTTAATGACTATGATATGTTGTTTCAAAAAAAGGAAGAAGTAACCAATAAACTAGAGAACACCATCTTAAAGTTCTGTCTAAATATAGAAGTGGTTTTTTCAAATAAAATTAAAAATCTCACATTTAACGCTTTGTATTCGCTTTTATTTAGCTGAAATGTCAACGAAGGACATAGAATTTTGGAAGATCACAGATACAGATAACTTGATGACTATCAACAATCACATGCTGTTTACAGAACTCTTTAAAAAAAAATTACTCACAAGGAAAAGAAAGTAATTTTATAATGTCTTTAAATCCGTTTCTCCTAGATAACTGTAATGAGTTCCTCATTTCTGTTTTGGTATGGAATAAAAAAGAATTCATATCACACGATCTGTCCAAGTGTGTGGTTTAGTTTGTTTTTTTAAATATTCATATGACAAATAAATTTATAAATCTCTCAGTATCTTTCTTTATGTGTTCTTTTTTTTCCATCATCAGTGTTTCGTTGAAAATCTTGTAGATGAACAGAAATGTCATTACAGGTGAAAAGTGTCAGAAAAGATATCATCTATATTTTTTTCTTTTTTTCTTTTATTACCAAGTTATAATTCATTTGATGAACCAAAAATATTGTTTATCTATCTCTCTTCAATTTATGACTCTTTAGTATATCTTTTTCTGTTGTTCATAAGATCAACAGAGTTTGTAGATATTCATTCCATAAACTAGATTATTTAACTGAAAAGTTGTTATTGTCGCATTGTGTAACAATATGAACACTAACTATAGCTAAAAATATGATTATGATTAACCTAAACGGTTCACAAAATTCTACATGTATTTTTATTTAAGGTAAACATTAATGTAAAATAGTATTGATAATAATGATAACATACTATTTCTATCTAACAATTTACCATCAAAATACCAGTTGAAACGTGTTTCATTTTCAACATTAATAGGATTAAATGTACATTTCAATTCTAATTGACCATTAACCGGTGCATAAATTACACTTGTTTCTGGATCAGTGAATGATGGTGAAGCTGTAAGAGATGAAACAAAATTGTTCTCTTTTGAATCAAGAATCTGTAATAAAATAATTTTCATAGTTGAAATTATGATTCAATTGAAGCTAGACCACCATGAAAAACCTGGAAGAACTGGACGGCTGTTTTGTCTTATTATGGGACTCCTCAAAAATCTCTACAAAACCCCTTCTGATAAATAGAATAATTGTATTTTATGGTAACTAGACACTTTGATTTATTCAAAAACACCTTAGGATGATTTTTGTATTCTCTATACGTATCGCTGTAAGATGCTCAATCAATTTCGCTCATAATATTATCATTTATTTAATGATAAGAACAGCAAATCCTTGCAACGATATTTAAAGATGACTTACTCTATTCTGTGAATTTAACTATTTTTGATATGCTTAAATTTATCAAGCACATTTATCAAGTTGTATGGAAAAAAACTATCTTGATAATTATGTTGTGCATCACATGTGAGACTAATATTAAAAATGAAGGCATCTCACTTCATCGCTAATTGGTTATAGTTCGAATTGTAGACTACTAGATTCTAACATACTATATTAAAGTTGTCGTGCTTCCCTTCTGATTTGAAGAGTCTCGTTTCTATGCAGTTTGAGGTCGTGGATTTACATTTCAGAGTAGTACTGAATTAAAATTAGATAGCTTCTAGGTGTTTCCCGATTTTTAAAAGTTTTAAAGTATAGAAAATTTCAGTCGTGTAAATGAGATTGAAACATTTAAACGACTAAAATTGTTTTTGAGTAGATCTTCATCAAGCTTCACTCTTATATACTTTAATGTTTACGTAAGTGTATGGAAAGTGTTAAACCAATCAAAGGAATTTACGAGACAGTGGTAACAGTGAGAGAGGATAACATGACTAAACATAATAAGTAAAGTGGAAAAACTGATAGTAACAGACAAATAAAGTGGTAAACATGAGATTAATAAACATTCTGATAACATAAACAAATTTACTGACATATAGAGTGGGTCGGAGATTGAAAAAAATCAGTTTGTTAAAATAATTATTATTATAAATTACTCTGTTAAAAGATGTAAGTAAACAATAAGACTGTTTTGTAAATAGTATGGAAGAGGTATGCAAGAGCTTAAGAAAATAAACAAACAAATTACTACATCCAGCTCTTTTTACAATGGACAATATGCGAAGATATTTGAATTTCACAATTGATATTATGAACTGATCTTAGTTAGATAATCGTTGAAAACCAGCAAGGAATAAATAGCTACTTTATCTTAGTAGCACGTGTGTACGACTACCTCAGGGATTGAACTCAGAACAGTCAGGTATCGCGGAAAGTGCTTAACCTTATTATTACTGATCTGGCATCCAATGATCTAAGTTTCTAGCTTCAATCAATCCATCATATTTTGTAACCATCTTTCAAAGCCGTTTGTGCGTGACTGTCATATAACCCAATACTGAAATAGACAAAAATCAACCTAAAAAATATTTCAAAATTAGGATAACGGTGAACTATTTTTATTGCATAACGTTTTCTCAACTTTATGAACTTATCTAATAGTACGGGAAATAGTAACACTTGATAACAAACACATAAAGACAGAATAGCAATTCGGGAACCAATATAGTAGTATTTGGATTAGAATTAAGATATATTCCACTAAAATTTTCTTTTTTTCTGTTGAGTTATGATCCATATGTCACAAATAGAAAAATATAAAATGACTTATCAAGTTTAATTATTTTAATGGAGTCGACAAAAAATAAAGCTAAAATTCATTACTCGAGCAAAACACTTTTGACTGTTAGTGTTTTATTGCTAAAGAAAGCGCTCTATCTAATATGCTCCAGACTGGTCAAGAAAATAAAACACCGAACGGTTGCATAATGCTATCCCTTCTCACCTGATAGATACCGGATATATAAAATGGATGAAGCGTTTTCGGTTCTTTATCAAGTTTCATATGATCTATTATTAGGACTTAGATTTTCTCTCCTCTTCGTAAGAGAAGTCATCGAGATTAATAAAATGAAACCAAACCAAAAGAGGTTCATTCAGTCCCATTATTTCTCTTGGTTCATAGTTGGGTCACTTCATACAAAGAAGCATATTATAAAACCTTTCTCCTAATACTCTTGTATGTGTATTTCTATCTTCCCTCCATTCAAATGAAATATTCCTAATTCAGACTGTTTTCTTATAACCATTATCATAGCTAACACAATATAAGCTTCTTCGGATTATGTGTTACTCCATTGATTATAATTCACCACCATGAAATAATTTTTATCTTCTTCGCCATACGACAATTCGACTACACTCATGATACATTTTGTAAAACAGTCAGAATACTATATAGAAGAAGGAATAAACAGAGACTAAAGTACTATTGTCATTAGCATCTCAGTGCAAGTAACCACAGACTATTGAGTTCTGTATCTAGTCAGTTAGTTTTCTCGAATAATGGTAGTTGAAGTAATTAAAATATGAGTTTCAGTTTCATACAGCAGATACATTTTCAGTGAGATGTAAATAAGCCACTAACCTAAGAACCTAAAATAAATGCATCAAATAGGTTTTAAACAATACAGAAATTACCTTTCTTAGGTCTAGGAGTACAAAACGATAGAATTCTAAAACTATATCACTTAATAGCATTTTATACTGTATAGAAAAGACTCAACCACTAAAAATACACAATCAAAAGGATTACATAACTACTCATAACAGTAACAGTAATAATTGCTGCGTATTTCAAAAGTAAAAAAAATTTACGAAATATTTTAATATATGAATAATATTCTACTTTGGACAATCAGTTTCCAACATTTCGGTTAACATACATATGTACCTATTTGAAAATTAGTCAATAAATTACATAAGAACTGACCTATAGATACAAGCAAGTATAATTTACTATCGTAAATGATTTTACGTTATGTATACGAAACAACTGTTTCTTTTTTTTCACCAAATCATACTTTTTCTTCAATCTTAATCAAAAAAATGATTTTTAGATTATAGTCCAATATTCATTGTATCATTTGATGTCTCTTTAATAAATAAATGATATTGTCGTCATTGGCATATATGTTGTACAATGTAAATATTATGCTATTTAATAGATACTTATTTTGGGTAGAAATATAGAAAAAAAAGGAATGATTTTACATTGAAAACAGTTGAACGATGTTTCTTTTAAACGCTATTCGTGTTTATAATGATTACTTGTTTATATCCTTTATATATCTACTGTAGTAAGAAGATTCTCATATGAACTTGGTAAATACGGACTAGATTTTTTTTATTTAAGCATAAATATTGGTACAAGGGGGCACCAGATAAATATGCGCACCACAAATCTCATTTGATTAGTGTGAGGGCTGTGATACTAACCAGGTGCCCAGACTGAAGCAGGTGATTTTCTTAGGGGACCACACCGAAGGTCTGATCCACAAGACAGTGGAGCATCGTAAGGAAATGCAGTTCCATGGTAGCCGGTGACCAACGATTGATTCATACGCCATTTGTTCCTTCAGGATACTGGAGCCCATGTGCACTATCGGTTTGAAATCGGGGTTTTCCGACTCCCCTAGGTGGACTTTCCGTGTCCACGGACTGGAAAGTGTCAACTAATGACAATTTTCTTTATTTGGTTACAAGTACAAACTGAAGTGAGATGACTGAAGTCTCCATAAACACAGTATTGTTTCTCTAGTCACTGTGTATTATACTTATGGTAGTGTAAGATGTTATAAATTAACTACTTCTATGGAAAATTTAAATCGGTTCTATAAATGGAACCTACTTTAACTAGTACTAGGAATTCAATTAAAAATTATTTGATCTCACCATTCTACTTCAGGAATCAACGTGGTTAAAAAAAGCGCTTTTGTAGCTTTCACTTAAAGTAAAAGTTTTCACTGTTGATAAAGTGGGTGTATAATAACATGAAGAAATGTAATTGTGTTATGCAAGATAAACATTACATTTACTAGTTAAACAATTGACTATATGGTGAGACAATATCAAAATTGGAATATCGGATTCTGAATGAATGGTATCATGATTTCGTGTTTGTTATAAGGTCTGAATGTTTTGACTTTATTCTAGTATACAAGAGTAGGTGAGTATCGCTATGAAGTTTATAATTATCAGGAAACTGTTGTCTACATTTATCTAATTTTGATTTGTTTTCCAACTAATATTAAACAGAATGAACACTTTCTTTGAACTGAACTGATCTCCACAAATAATTCAACTAAACAGTTATGAAGTTTTTGAATCAATAATGAGATCTAGTACATCAGATCGCCTTAATGTAAATTAAATTTCAGTGATTTTTATGACATAATGGAGCCAGAAGTTCATTTCACTGTTATGATACTTTCTAGATAGAAGTCGTTTGAGTTGGAAACAAAAGCCTTAAATTCTCAGTTTTTGAAATTTACCACTTGAACACTTTCCAAAATTAGTAACCGACAATTCGAACATCTTGAGGCAAACACTCCTAATTTCGGAAATTAAACATTTTTAAAATGTTATTTGTCAAAAGATCGTTTATGTTAAAAGTGTTATTAAAAAGCTAATCAAAGTAGTTAAATGAAGTAACTCACTAGGTGTAGGCTCATGTAGCACTCCAACGGATGCCGACGCACATCGGCTATGTTCTATTTTTCATTCCATAGAATTAGGAAAAATGAAAAAAAGAAATGGTTGTGGAAACAATTAACATTTGTAAAATAATAGTTTTTGTTCATTAACATAAATACTTGGAGAGTTTGTAAGTATTAGTGCCACGGTTGGGTTTGGTAGTTTCGAATAAATTGAGCGATGGGTAGTAAGTTAACTCTTTAAGTTAACATTCCGACCAAGTATGATAAATCATATTATTATTGTTGTTCTTATTATTCAACTCATTTTTTTGAATTTCACCTTTTGTGTTTTCTTAGACTGTTAAGTTTTAACTTACTTGTAATTAAATCAGCCATTTTTCATACAGGTTGACTTGGTGTACCACGACCATATTCCGTAACAGCAACAATACGTAACCAATATTCTTGTTCAGGATTTAAATGTTCCAGTGATAAACGATTACGTTTTAAACCAGATGCAAGAACTCTCCATATGTTTTCGCTATTTGTGTTCGTAGTTGTTTCAGAGCTCATGCCCTCATCACTAGTTTCACGATTTATTGACTTTTCTACAGCTTTAATTTGAACTTCAAATGTATATGGAGTAAATGTTCTATCTAAAGTATACGATTTTGGTATTTGCCATACAAGTTCTGGTGCAACTCTACAAATTAAAATATCTGATGGTAACTCAATAGATGGCCGCATAAATGTCAAATCAGGAATAATTAAAATTTAGAACAAAGGAGAAAATGTCTAATGATCAATATCTGTCTTTCATAATTGAACTCAGATTAAATGGGTTAATATTGTAAGAAAACACACAGGGAATTCTAAGAATTTACTTAGTTCTGATAGTGGTTTGTAATTCCCTATTGTTTATATTCAGAACTGCAATTGATTAGTCTTTGTTGATATGGTAATCCTGAGAGGACTTCCACGATAAATCTTTATACCTCGAGTTCTAGTATGTTTGATATATAGCCAGCTGTAGAAGACATACGTTTTTCCTGACTGGGACTTGCGAGCTGAATGTACGTCAATCTAACTGCCGATACTTAATACCTTTCACTTCAGATAATCGATGTGTTATCCGTTAAGGCGTTGAGTACAGTGTTATAACTGCTGTATTTGGGTGATTGACTGAGTTATATCCGCTTCACCATTGTTGCATCTGGATAGCTACTGTTATATCTGGGGATTTGAATAAGTTATGTACGCATCATTTGTCTTGAATCTTCAGTCTTACTTCTTTCACCTAAAAATCGAGAATAGCTGAATTTCCTCGGCCTTAACACTTGGAAACAGAAACCAGTGCAGTTCCTACGATACAACGTCACACTGAAAAGAGAACTGAACGAGTTCACAAACGCCATATATAAAAACTTTTATACTGAAATGATGTGAAAAATATTGGCTCAAATAATGTCATCTTATCCTATTATATCATTTAAATAATAATTAACTTGGTCAACGGATATGAAGGTACTAATTGTAATAATGTAAAACTGTAGTTGTGGACATTCAGATTTTCATAAGTAATGGCTGATATTAATTTCAAAAGATTCAATTCTGAACTGATCTACAATAAAGTGAATTGCCTTGAACCGAAAGAATATAATTCGTTTAATAACACCATTATATAGATTTAATAGTATGAAGTAATATACTTCACTAAATTATTGTCGTTCGTTGTGAAGTAACTGAGAAGATCCATTTAGATATCCAGAAATCATGTACTGCATACTGATTGAACGATGAAATTAGGATAGAGTTTCACATTAATTTGTATAAATATAATCAGCTGGAATGTTTTCATGAAATAGAAGAATGAGTTTTGGTTAGGTTGAATGAATATCCACTGACTAGTTAGTTTTATTATAACATTTTACGGAAGTAGAATTAATTTTTATATTACTTACTAACTTGTGGTGGTATTAACACATTTCTTGTTGGATGCCCAATACCGAATTGATTCGATGGTAGAATACGAACATGATACCCAATCAATGGATTTTGATGAATCCATGTCCATTGGTTTGTATCTAGATTAGAAGCTATTGTTGTCCATTCAAATGAACCTTCATGTTGAATCTAAATTACAAATTAGTTTAAATTAAACGATTGAACAAAAGTTTAATGAAAACAGTGGAATGAAAAAATTGTAAGTAGTTTCAAGCTAATTGGATAAATGAATTAGATATGAATTTATATTAAGATGGTTTACTCCATAGAATGAAGTCTGGTGATGGATGACCATTGACAACTAGAAAGTATCGGTCTGCTGTTTCTTCTTAGTTTGGAACTTCTCAGTAGTGTGTTTAACGTTTCCTGATTTAAATGAATTTGAAACTATGGATTATTGAATTCAAATGTCACAGCGTCTATTTCAGTTCTCAATGCTCACACACGATCAGTTTACAGATGATTTCAAGTAGAACGTTATAGTACAGCGGCTATAACAGATGGGATTACTGAGAAGTTTCTTTATTTGTGATTGCGGTGTTCAAATGACTGCTGGACACTGTGCAGACTATCGTGACAATGTATTTCCATGTAACATATTTTGTAGGAAAAAGCCTGTTAAAACAGGGACATTCTTTTCTAGATCCCAATCAACACCAAGATAGATTATAACTGTTGCAAATCGGATAATATAAGCACCAGTAACAGTGGCTGCAACCTTTGCAACTGTTACTGAAGCTTCGGCAGTTAAATGGTAAGAGTACTGTCGAAATATATGTTCAGTAAAGATGATAATTTTGCATCAGTCGTTTGGAGAAAACGGGAAAATCGTAGAAAATAATGAAAAAATACAAATTTAATAGAGGAAGAAGTGTTAAAGAAGACGTGTTAAGTAGCACTTGGTTAAATTTATTTATCAGGTCCTTAATATATATGAAAAATCATCTCAAAACGGAAGCTTTCAGCGCGTGAGCAACAGACAAACTACAAATACGATACCAATTATACACGATTATATGCAGCCAGGTACTTTATTATACACAGATGACTAGAGAGCACATCCATGCTTAATTATACTTGGTTATGTGAATCGTCTACAAGTGATATTTTGTAGACTCCACCACAGGTGTACACACTAATGACATAAAAGCGATGTGGTCGGGGCTAAAAGAATTTTTACGACCCTTTCATGACTCCAAAGATCATCTATTATGGAGTCACATGGATGTTCCTGTACCGTATGCATTACGATTTCAGAACTATAGAACCACTTTCTAACCTCGAAAATGTATTAAGGTGAGACTTTAATTTATGGACGACCTTTGAGCGACGCTTAAGTGACTTTCGGAATATCCACCTACTAACTAGGACTAAATGAGGACTATAAACCAGTGTGAGAAATTAGAATTATGTTTTAAAGTTGATGGTTAGTGTTAAAAATTAGATTTAGGGTTTTCCTCACGAAATTATATCAGCTAAAATGCCAAGACACTATTTAGTCATATGAATGAACGAATTTCGCGCTAAAATCCAAGTCCTGTTATCCTAAATCTGATTAGTTCATCCATAAATTATAGTCTCGCCGTTTTTAAAACATGTTAAAAAATTGTTCCACTCTAATTTTTTTGGTTTTGTATAACATATTTCTACTATGTACTGACTGTTTCTTGATTGGCGGAAATTTTTCAGGGTCACTTATTATTTGTTCAAAAGACGTCCGTAAATTATAGTCTTGCCGATTATAGTTAACAAGCGAAATCGATCACTATAACATGGAAAATGACTTGTAGAGTGTATATATGAATGTGTTTGATAAATATTAGGAAAATGTATTATTAGATTTTGTTCAGTGTTCTCATTTTTGGTTTGATACAATGATAAATGTTTACTGTTTATTTAACAAAGTTACGCTGTATTGAATGGTAAGTGTTCTAAATAACTGACAGTTCATTAGGTATGAAATTATTTTGATGCTTACCATGTATGTTTAAAAATCAACTAAGTAAGAGATAAGTAAGTATGTGATTTATGCAAACTTGTGGTGTTCGATAGTCGGAAGTGATACACAAGAAGACCTGGAGATAGTTTTTGTGCTATCTGTCACTTGCCAAGAAAATATATCTGTAGTGTTGAGGGAGCTGATGCTTTCCGTAGGATTCAAACGTACTTTACTGCGTATTACAGTCAAAGACTTTGTCTTTGAGAGATTTGGGTTGGAATTTAGATATTCACTCTGGTTGTTTACTTAGCAGCAACCATCGTCACATTGTTTAGTCGTTAAGCTTGAAAAAAACATTGCTAGTCCAATCGGGTCGGGCTAATTCAAACTTCCGTTAAGTATGTTAATTATGCGTGTCACTTGAACTAGTCCCTATACTACAACTTGACTGATAGGATCTGACCAACATTATAGGTTATACAACATGACATAGTTTACCCATATGTGGTTTATTAGTACAAATGTAAATGGGCACAATTTATTTGGATATATTTCGTATGAACTAATTAGTAGACTTGGTTTTTGTTTTCTGAACACGAACAGTCACTTCATGAGTAACATCATGCGGGAGCATATAATGAAAAAATCATAGATGAATAAACATTTTGAAGCAGTTTATTGAAAGTGAAACTAAAAATTCTTTAACCAATACATTGATAAGTTACTATAAGCGTACGATATTTAGTCACATTTAACAACCCAAATAGATTATAAACAGTATTCTGATGATTAAACAAGAGAATTTATGATTTTAACGAAAAATCTATGCAGAAAAGTCAGTGGAAGTATGTTATCGTTTTGTAAAGTAACTGGAAACAACTGGAAAGAATTGTCCCGGATAGAGTTGGATGGAGAATGCTGGTGAACGGTCTATCCTCCTCGATGAGGTGTAACAGGCGTACTTTGGTAAGAAAGTACTCTGTAAGCTGAACTTATAATATGATTTAGTAGATCTCATATTAGTATAGACAACGTACTAAATGGACGTCGAAGTATTTATGGGTACGACATAACATAATGGAATGGATTATGTAGGTGTACACATACTTACGGATGAACAATGACACAAAAAGAACTTCAGACTAAATTAAAGTCATGAATAGAAGCGTAGAGATCCTCCACAGTGTTTTTCATAAAAACAGAACTAGTTTCAGATTACCAGACAACAAAAATTTATCAGTACAAATGAAGATGTAAACACATATCTTTTAGTGGAATGGATTTTAAACTATATAAATAATATCAAGCGATGAGCGATCTGATTTTATGTATATTTGTAGTGAACTGCATTTTTTAATATACGTATACATGGTTTTTGCATTTGTGTTGACCTATGTATTCGACAGTATAGTGGTGAATTCTAGAAGAAGGATTTCGATAATGTTCGGTTGTCTAGCGTAAATTGTCAACGATCCTTTGGGGAAAAGGAGTGATTTAACTAGTTTTAATTAGTTACAGCATTAAAAATGTTTAATCCAGATTATATAGCAAAATTATACTACGATTAAGAGAATTTTACAACATTTTGTCGTTACATTTAATTCATACCACTAGCAGTTTACACTATGAACTAATTGCACTTTGACATTCGTTCAAAAACAGAAAACAGCTCCTTCGTCCTTGGACGACTCCCTATACTAGTGGTTATCATATACCCACTGGTGACTAATTTTGAGAGGTGAGAAGCAGTGACCAGTGGGGTTCAACTATATTGGGAGCGTGACAGTTAGTAAATAATGACATCGGACGATCATATAGTTTCACAAATCGACTGATGCTAAAACTACAGACTACTGGATTTCGACCCAAAGATCTAAATTTTGGGTGCTCTCAGCGAGTCATGAAAGTTTTAAGTACAAAAACTAGTGTTGTCGAGGCTACGTTCTGCCTAATACGTCTGTGATGCAAACAACAAAATTCAACAATCTTCATAAAAAAACATTGGAAATAAAACTCAGTTTACAAATTGCCATATTACTTGAATAGCATAAGTAGTGTCTTTTTGTAACACTTGTGGTATTGATAAATTCAAAATATGACTTGTATACAATGATTGTACATCAGGATCATCCCATGATATCAAATATTCCTCAACTGATGTAACATTAAAATGTGGTTTAAAAGCTGAGAAATCTGGAACTAAGAAATGTGTTCGGTAATAAGAAAAACGTAGAATACGGAAATTTGAATGAATACAAAATGTACACAGAAAATAATCTTTGGTTTAAAGCATCAAATATGAATAACTATTCTTAAGTTAAAATAACATCAGAGTAAGCTTTCATGAGAATTCTACATACATTAGCGCATACTGATAGGAATATGAGTGTCTGAAGATACATTCAGTTTATAACGGATGTTACTATCGTGTTACCAGTTCACATTTTATGAAACATAGTGTATTGATTTATTCTCTATTAAGTGGTACTCAAAAATAGATCAAGTTTATGTCCGAATTCACAGTAAAAAATCTACAACTTATAGTCATCTACTGAGATATTTAGTTTAGCAGATTGTAAAGTGTAGTTAAAAGTTAGTTCCAAATATCATTCCTAAGCATATTAACATTTTATATTATTTTAAAAATGAGATAGTTTCTAAGAAATCTAGTGTCCTTGGATTCAATACCGTTTATGATTGTGAATTTTCCCTGTTGAATAGTTTCAAACCATGAGGTTAGAACTTAATTTTGATTTCTAGTTTCCAAAAATTCTGTGATTGATTTTATTTTACAATAAAAAAAATTATTTAGAGTCTATTACACTATTCTGAATATTTTATATAAGAACTTTCGTCTAATTTAGAGAGAATAGTTTCACAGTAATTGAGCGCCGGGTTGATGTGAGACGTTATTGATCATAATTCCTTGAAAAAGCTTGAACCAGATTGCCAGGCGAAACGTTGGATTTACTTCAAATTCATTCGCTGAGATTTGACAAATATATTATTCCTATTTAATATTCTGAATATTATCAGAATGGAAATTTGTGGAGATTGTAGTAATTTTTTGGTGGTCTGTCGGTCAAGTGCTCTGGCGCGAGACTGGTAGGTCCTGAGTTCGAATCTCGCGAGGCGGGATCGTAGATGCGCACTGCTGAGGAGTCCCACAACAGGACGAAACGGCCTTTCAGTGATTCCAGGTTTTCTACGGTGGTCTAGCTTCAATTGACTAGTGATTTCACCTATATATATTATAACTAATGAGTCGACCTAAGCTAGACCATCTTTAAGAACCTGAAAGTACTGAAAGGCCATCCTGTGGTGGTCTAACGTAGACCAACTAATGAGTTCAACTATTTAAAATATTCTGTATATATCTGATACTGATCAAAATAAAATAACTGGATAATCATCAACTTCTTGTGTTTGTCACCCTCAGACATACTCAAGTCGCTCTAAGTTCAAATAAGAAATTACTCAAAACTACATATAAATCTATATTTGTAAATTTAACTTACCTGTTTTAATACTTATATTGATAGGTCGACTAGGTTTAGTTTGTTGACCGTCCACATTTGCAACTATTCGACAAGCAATTTCTTTATCTAAATAGTCGAAATTTGATAATGTAATTTTGTTATGAAGATTTCCATTGATTTGTTCTTTAATAGGATACCAATCACCAGCATAACCATCTCGTCTTTCAATAGAAAATTTTACACGTTCACATATTTCAGCTGATTCATCTGTATTTAAATGACTTGTTATATTGTATGATGGATTTGGATTTCTTCGAAATCCTAATGCATCAATCACTGTATCACCTAAACGCCAACGCAATTGAATTGTATTTGATCCAAGTATCAGAAAACGAGAATCTTCAATACATCTATGATGATAAGCAGAAACAGAAAATAGTTAATTATTCTAGTGTAGATGAATAAACATATTGACAATAAAACTATTCAAGTTCACAATATAAATTCACACTGTAAACGTTTGACAAATTAACGAATACATGACCACAAATTAAAGAGAGAATACTAGGTGAAACTATCCATACGGACACTTCAAAGAAGTTCAGTGATATGACCAACACAAACATTCTTATTTCAAATAAAAAGCATCCACAATTAATCACTAACACACACACACACACTGGAACTTCCAACCATTTAAAAATTATTATTACAAAGAAGAGAGAAAAATCATCAACAACCTACTATGGGAGAGAACAAACCAGCTTCCAACTGAAAAGGGAGTTAGAAAAAGATGCTGGAGGTGGATGGGACATACACTGCGGAAATAATCAAACTTCATCACAAAGAAAGCCCTAACTTGTAATCCGGATAGAAAGAAGAAAAGAGGGAGACCAAGGAACACATTCCGTCGGAAATTGGAACCAGACATCAAAGGAATTAATAGTACTGGGAATTGTTCAAAAGTGACGATCTTTTAACGTCTATATCGGCCAAGCAACTCTAGATTATTCATAAGTTATATTCTAGATTACTTAAATAGAAGTTATGTATCTTCACGTTATATCCAATTCAGTGACAAATTATACTACCTAAAATACTTCTTTTTTAAAAACCTAAATTTAAGGAACTTTTGCGTATAACTAACAACTATATGAATTACAATCTGAAATTAAAAATTTTGTTTCTGTAGTGTAGCTTTTATGACCATTTTAAAGAATTAGCGGCTTAAAATTTTAAACCAGTTGATCTCAAAGAATTCGCAAATAGAATTTATATCAAGTTCATAATACCGAACTCCCATGGGTTAAGTTACGATAAATTAATTGTATTCGAATGTATCAGTGTATCTATCAAGTAGCTATTCAATCTTCTGCTCGCCGGTATTTCACTTCCGACTGGTGCTACATACTACATAAATCTGCCAACATAAGTAGCATACATCACATAACGATTGTTGAATTTAACAGCATACATTAATAAATGGTCTTAGCTAGACATTTATTGAGAATCAGAAAGCACTGAGCATCCTTTAATCGTCCTAGGTAAGGATAATCAACGATGAATATCCACGATCTTACCTGGGACCAAAGGTGGAACGTTCAGGTCTCACAGAGAGCGCATAACTTTCAGGTTCAAGTGGTAGGTTACGATGGTTTTCATTGTTAATTTTATTCTCCTAGTGATATTGCACATTCGTTCTTTATTGTCATGTCGAGCGTGAGACACTTATTATTATATCAATGAATGTTGATACGGGAGTTTTGTAAATCCACTCTAACTAGAATTTTAAATCACTATATGCAAGATCTGTAGTTCAGTGGTTAAAATCTTTTCATGAGACCTGAATGCCCTAGATTCGATCCCTGGTAAGGTCCATGATTTACATTGGTAAGGAGCCTCACAATAGTGAGAAGTAGGAGTCCAGTGCTTCCTGATTCCCAATGGTTGTTTGGGTAAGATCGTTCCGTAATATACACCATGATAGACAAATATAATTTATCATTTATGAATTAGTAAAACGCTGAACTAATTTAAAATTGTTAGAAAAACTTAGTGACCTAAACTTTAACTCACCTTTCTAAAGTTGTTAACAAAAGTGGAAGTTTGATTGGATAAGAAATTGAACTTGGACCTTCGCCAAATTGATTAACGGGCGTTACTCGATAAATAAGTTGTGAACCGGGTTCAGCTTTATGGTCATCTACCTTACCTAATAATCCAGATACAAGACCAATCTGTCTCCAAGGTGCTAAATCACTCAAGGTTGTACGAGCTTCTATTCTATAGTCGATTTGAGCATGATTTTTAATCTGTCTTAAATAATCGTCGTTCAATGGAAATTCAAAGTTGGGAGGTGTCCAGGTGACACGAACTCCTGCAGAACCTGGTGTTTCAACTGGGGGTGTCAATTTTACCTCTATGTCTAATGGTGCTGGAGGGCATATTTCATATAACGCTGGTATACGAAGAATTTCATGGGTATCCAACCAATTTAAATTGCCTTCTTTATCTTCCTGTAAGCTTAGAATCCTAACAAATTGTTCTGTTTTACCTGGTTTCACATCAAGAACATGTTGTTCTCCATGAATTAGATCATCTTCTCTACAAACTACTGTCCAGTTGGACATATCAGGCGAAGAATTACTGTCAACGTCATTTAAAGTTTTACGCTGAATTCGATAGCGACCATGTAAGTTATAATGATCATCAGAATTTTGATTTACATCTGAACTTGTACAAGGATCCCACTTGAGCGTGACACCATGTTTAGGAACAACTGACGTCATTTGAACCCCTCGTCTCGGTATCTTACTGGGTGAAATAATCGGCAGTTTATTCAGAAGACTTATATAGTCATATTGATCACTCTCATTTAGTTTATCCGATATATGGCTACTTTTCCGACAATCTTGACCTCTAGATATCTGAGACGCTTTCAATCTGTAGCTTTTAGTCGGCCCACTTTCACCGAATTCATTATAAGAAAATATCCGAAACTCGATGGAGCTATTAGAATTGATAGCGTTAAAAGACAAGTCATTTCCCATATGAGTTTCCTTAATCACGGATTCGACAAGTTCTCTTGGAAGAGGATAACCCGTCTCGCATTCACTAATGTCACAAGCCAAATCATTCCAATGTCCAGATAGTCCACGCCTCCATTCAATTCGGTACAAAGGTTTTAGTCCTTTTATACAACTGGTACAGAACTCTGGCATATATGCAGGTTTCCATAGTAGTCGGATATTACTCTTCTTTCTTGTGATGCTATCTCCTGGGTAGTGTATTGCTATCCATGGAGGATCTAATGATAATTCGGGAATTAATGAATTAGGATCGAGCTGGACTATTGCCATCGGAGTGGGACAGGACTCTCCATATCTGTTTTTCGCTACAATGCGTATAGCAGAACTGATACCAGGTCGTAAGTGATAAATGTAGGATCGAAATGGGATATCGCTTGCCACTCTACGCCATTCTGATTGAGATCCTTCCCTAATCTCAACTGCATAAGTTACTTTACCAAGTAATTGCGATGGATTTAACATAACATTCTTGTGCAGTTGGTTTGGTGTAAGTGCAGGCACTGCCGGACACCATCGAATTTTAATTGCTGTTGCTTCTTCAAATTCAATTTCTGGCTTAACTGCTTGCATGTGAGGAAGACAAGCTCGTATAGGTAAACGAAGTACCGGGAAACATAGAGGTCCAAGACCAAATTCATTTTCAGCTACTACCCTTACTTGTACAGGATTCAAAGGACACGCAATGTCGTTTGAAATGTAAGCTGAAACTTCGTGTAAGTTGGTTAGTACAGGTTTCCACCATCTACCTGCATCATTACTAATTTCCACATTATATGTCACTTGTTCATTTAATGGATCCCAGGCAATCTTGAAACCATCATCGTTTATTTCAAGTTGTTCAATATTATTTACTCTTAACGGTAAAACTAGAACGTAAAGTAACCAGTAAGCAAAATGTCGTTAATTGTCGTAATCATTTCATTAGTAAATCAACTATATATTAAGTATATTATAAGAAATAAGTGAGAAATTTTTTCAGTCAAATATAAGGAGTTTGTAAACGTTATTTCTGGTATCATTATACTTAATAATTTGTTGCGATATTGTTATGCCCCGATAACAATAGTGAATGGTAACTTTGGGATCCATTTATGCACCAATATCATGCATATAGTTTTTATCGTATTTTTGCTAAATAATTAAACTACTCATACTCATATTCCTTTCATTGTGAGCTTTATTTCGACCCTTGGACTATTATTGTACGATTTACCATTCCTGAGTTATACCCAGTCTATTAATTACTGCTCCCCCTATTCACAGCCACATTTGGCTAACTCTTGTACAAATGTTATTTTCCATTTTATTGGTACGATGTGGTCAGTCTGTTTGGTGTATAAAATCAGTATGTTTGAAATAGAATGATTCGTACCGCAGAGGCTGTTATTGGTGTTCTGAACTTAACTGGCTGCGCTAGGCAGAAGCAGGATCGATAAGCACTCTAGACTGCTCGTACGGTTTTCGTGTGTCACTGTTCCAATCGATAATTCGCTGCTCTCTGATTGGCGGTCGTATCACGTCATAAATTAACTAGGCATCCGCTCGGCCACAAGATATATATATATATATATATATATATATATATATATATGATTTTTCTTCTGTTAGTATTTTTGAAAATATCAGAATTTTTACATTGTTGTAAGAAAATTATAGGGATACTGTGTTCTAAAGTTTCAGGTATAAGATTGACAAGGGCTAAGTTCCACTCTTGAAAAAACTGACTAAATGAGCCGTTTTTTCTAGATAATGCTGTTGTCAAATAGGGCTAGTCTTTTTATCACTGGCTATTGGGAGTTTTACTCAGTTAAATAAGATAGATCTTTCAAGAAGTATTCAAATGTTCAACTGTCCCTTAGAATTTTTAATTGTAATGAATTTTAGCCCAGATAATCTTCAGTTTAACATCTTATGATCTTTCAGAAAGCTAGATAAACTATTCACAGTTTTAACCGTAAGAAGAATACATCCTTATTTTTATAGATTGATTTCAGAATAAACTGGTATTTAACTCAGAAATCATAAGCTACATTACCATATTTATTTACAACACAGATTCATTCCTTTTTGTCAATAAACCATATTTTTAGAGACAAGAAAAGTTCTCAGAGTTGAACAGCCAGTATGTATGTTTCTAAATCTTAGATACAGTGTAAGAAATGCTGTGTGCAAGGAAATAAATTAACCCTTCATAAGATAATTAATTTAAAACGTTCATTATTTGAATTTAAATTAGATTCTGACAAGTCAACCTAATTTTTACGTGTGAAGATTTCACCTCATTATCTTACTGTTAGTTTACTGTATGACTGAGTGGTATTTTTGGTATTTATATTACCTATCTACTTCTTTTACCTACAGCTAATCATTTGATGCGACACTATCATAAAGTTTTAAAATCCTAATCTAATTGTATACCCTAGAAGGTTCGTTTCTTCCACTGAATTACTTAACGACAGTTCCTTTTGGTGATAGTCAGACTTCTTTTTCTCAAGTCACTTCGAGTAGAAGGAATATGGATGTGAGAGATCATTTGAAACTCATTTGACCTTAGTAACCAGCTTTGACTTAGTACACAATTATTGTCAGTATAGTGATAAACTGTATAGCCTCATCAATTGACAATTAATTTAATTTAGTCTCAATTTGATCACTATCGTTGTTATTATTGTGATTAGGAATATATAAAAGTATTGTACTTGAATCAAGATATTCATGTGACCACAGGTGGAAACTGATTAGTAGTCCGGTGTGATAAATAAGTCCTGTAACTAAATAGCTTTGTAAACCTTAGATATTGATGCTGCCCTAATTAAGTTTACTGGACCTGTCCCTAGTTGAAGAAGATCAGTCAAGCATTCGTAACAGGTCTCATTTGGTTTTTTAAGATTTTTAAAAATTTATCTCTACAAACCATTTAACCAAACGTTTGTCTTCAGTATAGTTATTTGTTACGTGTATTCATTACCATAACATGTGAAAAGCACATGTAATTCAGTCGAGAAATTACATTTTTGCCAGTCAACTGAATAGACTCACACAAGATCTTAGCGTATGTTTAATGTAAATAAAAGACTATTTAACTCATAAATGACATTAAAATGTATTAGAATTAAATGAATGAAGTCTTTTTTCATCCAAAAATCAAGAACACATCACAAACTAACGTTACCTGAGCACCGTGTCGGTCTAGCTGTAGACTCTGGTGATTCAACTGTATCATGTTCATAACTATTAAGTTCATATAAATTACCTAAATTTAAATTCATATGAAATAACAAGAAGTTATGTATGAAACATGTTAATTTATAAGGATATGAAACTAGATATTTATTAGTAGTAATTATTTGCCAGTAACATGGTTAACCTACTATTTATTTGGAAGCGGCAAAAGGTGATCTATTCACTAAACCACTGTTTTCAGTATTATTTGACAAATAGGAGGATCACCACTTATATTGTTGTAATAGTACTTTTTATAGGTGTTTAGTAGAGATTTATATTTGTCGATTAAAGTTTTCCTTATAAGCTGATATCTTTTATGAACTTCTAATAATGGTACTCAGTTTATTTGTTTTTGGGAAAATCAACCCTTATAACTGTTATGATACTGAAACATACACAGATGTATTTATATATGCATGTAAAGATCGCATTTGAAGATTTTTATTAAGTAATACTGAGGCTAATTAACACTGACGTATTTTATAGTGTAACCTAAAAGGAATCGTAACATTAAGTGTATCATCAATTACGGAAGTCATACATAGTTAGTGTTAAATATTGTTTGCTTTCTCAATAAATCAACCTTATTTGTAAGGACATGGTGTATCTTACAGATCTTGTTTTCATTTTAACTGTCAGCTCCTTAATTTTGCTTCTAATTAATGCATCCAGTTATTTCAATGAACCGTTGGAAATGTCCAGAACTTTGTATACCTTGATATTTCGAATTGTCTTATGATTGGCTACTACAACAACTCATGATCAATGTGATTTGTTCATGAACAATTAATCGTTTGTATCTTGGTTATAAAAGGCTTTTCAATTCTATTGTCACCTTTGTCAAGTAGTTTGACATAGGTGTTAATTAACATTTGTTTGTACATATGCATTTACTTGGTCTAATTAATTGGTCAATTAATTTTTAAGCCTTAAGCGTTATAACTGAAATTTTTGAAATTCACTATTCCAAATGTTTCTGCATTTAGCGTGTTTCGTTTAAAAACAACGAAAATATATTTTGTTTTCTGGGTTTATTTAAAATAAATGCAAATCAACTGTTCTGAAGATTCCACAGATCACTTCATTTGAACTAGGAAACGGAAGGCCCCCAAATGCCCTGGTACGACCGAGGGTGTGAAGAGTCCGGTCTCCCTCTCCAAATGCTTTCACATAGCCACGCGTATACAGCCACTCCCACGAAAGTAATACTCACTGCCTTCTTGTGGCATTACTTTTGTTTACAAAATTGAAAGAACGAAAGTCGGATGTCCAGAGTTTTATCCGGGTTAGTGGATATGGAGAATCCACCTGGAGGAGTTGGAAAATCCTGATTATAAACCAATGGCGTACATGAACTCGAAGTTGCTGAAGGAACAATTGGCGTATGAACCAATTATTAGTCATCAGGCACCATGTGGTCGCATCTTCTGACGTTGCTCCACTGCCTTGTGGATTAGACCTTTAGGTCTTCCGCTTCCGTTTGGGCACTCGGAGAGTATTCTAGCCCTCACACAAATTGAATGATTTATGTTGCGCATATCTATTTGGTGCCTCTTTGTACCAATATTTATATGTTCAAATAAAATAAGAAAACGAGAGACAGATTGGACATTTAATATGTACTGCTAGTAAGGTATTTATTAAAATTCTAAATTTGACTTTCTATTAGTTTACTAATTATGTTTTTTCACTCATGCATATTAAACTAAGTAAATTCATATTTAATTACAGAGAAGATTAGAGTAAAAAATATACTGTGAAACTATTTGTAGATAATATATAAGAACTTTCGTCTAAATTAGAGCGAATAGTTTCACAGTATTTGAGCGCCGAATTGATTTAAGACATTAAATAGGAAGAATATATTTGTGAAATCTCGGCGAATGAATCTGATGTAAATCCAACATTTCTCCTGGTAATCGGGTCCAAGATTTTTCAAGGACTTATCAATTAATTATTAATTCCTTGAAAAGCTTGAACCAGATTTCCAGGCGAAACGTTGCATTTACTATAAATTCATTTGCTGAGATTTTACAAATATATTATTCCTAATTAATGTCTTATTTGAAGATAAGTTAACTTACTTTGTATGTATAGAAATGCTTTCGTTTCAGTTTGACCAAGTACATTTGATGCAGAACATACATATTCACCGTAATCTTCATCTTTGACATTATATATAACAAGTGATGGATTAATATTATCATTATAGATTTCAATTCTTTTGTTGTTTTCTATTGGAATACCATTATGTTTCCTAAAATGATTCATAATAAAAAGAAAATGAATTATAATATTGAAGATTTATTGAGTACCTTCTAAATTATTGATTATGATGCAGAGGATAGTACTCGTTTCAACGTAGTTTAAACTTCCTTTAGTATGTATACACTTTAATTCGTCTTTTGTAACTACTGTAATACTGAGAAGCTGAGAACGATTAAAAATCAATAATATACAGATAGCTTGTTCGTTTGTATTGAAAAATTTTGATTTGTAAAACATTGATCGGAAAATTGTTCGAATAGGAAACCACAAGTCTGTGTTTAGTTCTCTATGGTAGAATTGTGGTTGTGCACCACTGAGAAGTCCCGTACTAGGACGAAACAGCTGCCCAGTGCTTCTAGGTTTCCAATGGTTATTTAACATAAACCGTTTCGTGATCGCAATAAAATGAAACGATTACCATAATCCGAGTTTGGTGTGACTTGTCTTTATTTGAGTGCCTATCGATGAATATTGTACTCTCTTAAAAAATGTAACTTTTATTAACAATTTACTTATACATTTTCTCTACATGGGCTAAAAAATATGCAAAACTGAATCGTAATGGAGCTCAGTAAGGTAACCCAGTGGTGCTCGAAATGGCAGATGAGGCTTACCACCGCTAAAGGTGGATAGATATGCATCGGTAATACATCACTCAACCTCTTGTCATAAATGGTAGTGTTATCGAAATTATATACAGTAGTGATATTAGGACTTGGGTACTCATACAATTTGTTCTGCACAGAACAGGTCTCGGAGCAGACTTCCATGTCTCAGCGTATTCTGGGTTCAATAATTAGTAACCCTTATAACAACGAGTTACGTATTTTAATGTACAAAGTATGTGTTCGACCGCTCCTAGAATACTTCACGTTTGTTCTTGGTAGTGTTCGTATAAAGGATAAATTGAAGCTGAAATCCGTTCAGAGGCGATTGACACTTCTCATTCTTGAGATTGATTGTACCTTAAATTATAAGTCCAGATGCAATAAACTTGGACTTAACTTTTGTTGGAGTGAAAACGTAAACTGAATCTAATCTTTTTCGTTGGAATACTTAATAAATTATCTTTTACATCCAATGAAACAATTCAATATACGAAAACCTGCTAGTTATAGCATCCATAATGGTTTGTCAGTGAAACAATCTTACTCTAAATCCTCTGTCTACATACTTTACCAAGAAAATTTTGACACTATAAGATAATTTACCACAATCCATTCATGAAACAAAACCACTCCCAACCCTTATTAGCTGCCCCGATGCTTACTTCTCTGAAAATGCCTTAAATGTGCTTACGCCTATTAGTATATCCCATTTCACAAATGAGATAATGGCAACTATAAATGTTCATTCGTTCTTATTACTGAGCTCACTAGTAAAACCTCCCTATCTGCAAATATTTTACATTTACACCGGCTATCGTAACCTTAAGTGATTGGCAATCTCCACAACCCCAAACTGGAAAATGTCTATCCTTTCACACTCCAAATAACACATTTTTCATCTATTAACACGCTCACAAATACATAAACATATCTCACATGAATGACCTTGACCGGAGTGACATGACATTGACTTAGTCAAAGTTTTCTTTTGATTAATTGCACTAAATGATACAAAGACCATATTGTTCTTATTTAACTATAACAGACAATGATTTGTGAGTAATATGGAAAGTGTTTAACTAGGATATCTGAAGTCAAAACAATCTTACAATATTCTAAGATGAAAGATGGAATTCTGATTTCATCAGTAAGTATTCTATACCACTGGTTTGATCAGTCTTCGCTGCTAAGTGTCTTTGTGTCATGTTTATTATGTTTGTTAACTCTAACGCTAACAATGTGAAATTATGTTCCTTGATAAAACCTGATTATTCAGTAGGTTAATCGGTAATTGTTAGTGAGAAATAAACCGGATTAAGGCACGTTATGTGCATGATCGTGACGGCGCACGCTGATTGGTTAAATCTAAACCAATCAGCTGTGGCAGATTATTGGAGAAGCATCTAGAAGCTTCTTATGCATATACTATAAATAAATGAACGTTTTTCTAACCATTTATTGCTGTTTACCTACCCTTGTTATTTGGAATACAATTTCGTTCCTGTTCAACGTGTTCTGATTTTAGGGTCTTGTCGAGTGTTATTGTATAAGAATACTAAGCAATAGGAGTAGCTGGGTCGTTTATTAGCAAAACAATTATACCAGTTATATTCGGGACTTTTGGAGAGACAGGTGATAGCTGTTGAGTATCATCCAAAACTTAAACAAGTATCCAGATGTACATAAAACATACATACCCAAAACAGATTAAATGCATGTAGGTGATTTTACTTAACACCGTTAGTAAATACAATGAAATTTTTTTTCTGTATATTTCGTTTGCTTCTATAATAAGTTGATATTGTATTCAAACAGATAATTTCGTTCATCGTTTTTGTAAACATACATTCCTAATATAAAAAATAAATTGTAAAATATAGAAAATTTTTTTATGACATATTACCAAATAACTATGGCAGGCGGCTCAGCTACTAAACGTCCACTAAGTCTAACTGTTTCATTCACTTCAGCGGTGTAATCTTGAAGTTTCTTGGTAAATAATGGTATAAGTCCTTCTACTTGTCTATAAAAAATAAGATAGATGAAATACGTAAAAAAGAATTTAGAGTAGTACTACAAAATGATATGAAAAGATAACTGTTGCTTATCTTTAAATAAATGTAAATGAGTGTTATGATTTGTGGATAACAGTACAATACATGAATATTACGTTGTATCTTAGTTTGGGTATAAATAGCACAAGTTCTGGTCCGTATTACGTCTATATGATAACAACCGATACCATACAGTAAAGATCACATTCTAACATACCCCAATAGTAAAAAACCACAACATACAATTTGTTTTAAGTACAATAAGTTAAGCTAGAAAATTTAAAAAAAATGCATTATATGATTATCTAATTGTTGGTTTCGAACAATGACAAAATGCTAGACATTTATGTATAATCATTGTTGAAAGCGTGAGTCAATTGAAACTAGACCATCATCGAAAACCTGGAAACACTGGACGGCCGTTTCGTCCTATTATAGGACTCCTCAGCAGTGCGCATCCACGAACCTGCTCTCGCGAGCGAGATTCGAACCCAGGACCTACCAGTCTCGAGCTGAAGCCCTTAACCGATAGACCACTGAGCTGGCATCCAACGGTGTTAATGTCTAACTTCAACTGATCCACGAAGTTGAGCAACCGTTGGATGAGGAGTCCCATAATAGGACGAAACGGCCGTCCAGTGTTTCCAGGTTTTCCATGGTAGTCTAGTTTCAATTGACTCACGCTTTCAACAATGATAAATACTAAATCTCCACAAAACCCCTTCTATAATTTATGTATAAATCAAATATGGATGTAAGAAATAAAATTATTCAACTTCTTTATTTTTGATTATTCATTTCAGTATGGTTAAATGACGTTTTAGAATTGTTAAGCAGAGATAGCTGGCAGTGGAATCCAAGACACGCATTTCATGTTATTTGAAACTTATTAGGTGAATGTACCTACATTTGGGAGGTAGTTTTGATCATTTATCTCTTCTTAATAATACTTGTGGCTTTTCAACTTTGTTATGTAGTCTATAGTTTTACTGAAAATTATTAGCATTTATTATTATTTTTTAATTCATCAGAAGGGGTTTTATGGAGATTTCAGTATTTTCATAGTTGAAATCATGAGTCAATTGAAGCTAGACTACCATGTTAAACCTTGAAGCCCTGGACTGCCTTTTCGTCCTGTTGTGGGACTCCTCAGCAATGCGCATACACAATCCCGCCTCGCAAAATTCAAACCCAGGACCTACCAATCCCGCGCCAGAGTGCTTAACCTCTAGACAACTGAGCCGGTGTCTAACTTCAACTAATTCACGAAGTTTGAACAACCGTTCACCAATTGTCCACAGTGAGTTGATATCTCCCCAACAGACGTGGTTAAACTCCACTGGTCATCATTGATACTGATACACTTTTCGAATACATTTGCATACAAACGTTAATTAAACTTATTATAACTTATATTTTTATTTTCTCTTTTCTGCTTATATTACTGAATCAATGATAATTAGTATTTGTAGGTTTCCTTGACTTTACAAAAGTCAAAGAATAAAGGAACATCTTAAAACTTATAACGCTTTAGAAAATTTATTTTGGAAAATATTTAACTGAAATCAAATCTGTGATTTTTCTTTTTTAATCTATCCTAATCAATATATAAGAACTTTCGTCTAAATTAGAGCGAATAGTTTCACAGTATTTGGGCACCGAGTTGATTTAAGACATTAAGTAGGAAGAATATATTTGTATAATCTGAGCAAATGAATTTGAAGTAAATCAAACGTTTCGACTGGCAATCTAGTCCAAGCTTTTTCAACGAAATATAGTCAAGCATCAAAATTATCGATTTCAAAGCGAAACGTCGGATTTACTTCAAATTAATTCGCTGAGATTTTACAAATATGTTCTTCCTACATAATACCTTAATCAAACATTTGTTTTGTACAGAATTGGTTCAAACTGTAATACAGAATTAGTTTAATTTTTGATTATTGATATATGAATTGGATGTGATTCAGTTTCGACTTCGTTTTATTGGATTCATTATAGAATTATTTACTATTTATTACCTTTTGACCTTATGACATTTGATTAATAGAAAGTTCATTTATTGCATAAATAAAATGTTAGTTATATGAATAATTTCTTTTATTTAGATAATTAAAATAACTCATAATGTCATTGAATAAGAAAAAGAGAATTCAGCGAAGAAAATTTCTGTGTGTGGTCTAATGTAACGTGCCCCACGTTACATAGGCTTCACAGAGCGATCACTTTCCAAACGCATCTCGGAACACTACCTGGCTTGGCTATTAAAAGGAGAATGTAAAAAAAATTACTTGTTTGATACAGGAGAATTTAATTAACTGTGGACACATCTCTCCAAAAGACTCTTCTTTTAAAGTAATCTACAGAGTCAAAGGAACCGGATAGAAGGCGGGGGGTCGAATCATTATTTTATGCACTGCTGAGGCATTGGCAATCCACTAACTCAAGCCTGAACTTTGCGTGCAGAAACGATTCGCCCAACCTCTCACCCTTTTTTGGCCCAAATTCCCTTTCTGTACTTTAAGTTGATTATTATGGTTTTTTTTAAAAATTATTTTCACAGTTGAAATCATGAGTCAATTGAAGCTAGACCATCATCGAAAACCTGGAAGCACTGGACGGCCGTTTCGTCCTATTATGGGACTCCTCAGCAGTGCGCATCCACGAACCCACTCTCGCGGGATTCGAACCCAGGACCTACCAGTTTCGAGTCGAAGCCATTAACCGATAAACCACTGAGCTGGCATCCAACGGTGTTAATGTCTAACTTCAACTGATTCACGAAATTGAGCAACCATTCACCAATGTCATCAGTGAGTTGATATCTCCCAACAGACCTTGTTGAACTTCACTGGTTACTGTTTCTCACTAGAACTCCAGGAAATACCTCATGAAGCCAGTCACTAGTGAGCATATGATCATTATCAGAAGGGGGGGTTTTGGAGATTTTAGTAATTTTATATAGTTGAGAACATGAGTCATTTGAGTTCCACAATTGAATGAAATGGCCGTTAATACTGTTAAAAATGTGCTCACCAGTGTAGAAATCAAGTGTCTGCACTTAAGACCGGAAGTCCTTATTTCCATTTTGCATGACAAGATCGTGAAAGTGCACTGCTGAGGAGTCCCACACTAAGGTAAAAAAAACTATCAAGTACTTCCCGGTTTTCAGTCAGAATCTAGCTATAATCAGTTCGTTATTATGAAACTTGTAAAAATATATCTTGTACATTTTAATTTGCCTATCCATTTGGAAGCTATATTTTATCAGCCTTTTTATAAAAGGAACAAGAATATTCGTAAGAAAGAATGGAACAATAGATGGATCAGAAAAAAATATGTCGACTGTATACTTATATCATACCAAATACAACTATCTATATTCAAATAATTTTCATTTTTATTGTGTTGATTACGTAACTGCTTTATTACTACTACTAATATTAATAATAATAAAAACAGAAAGCTAGTAAAGTCAGTAGAAATAAACTTACGATGGGATATATGGTGTCAATTGTAATTTTTGTCCATTCACTGACAGATCACCTGTCGTATAATATTCACCAGATGGAGTAACAATATGTAGTGTATAAGTTCCAGTTAAATCTGGTCTAACATATGGTATTGTCAATGCAATCCAATTACCTGTTTGCCACACAACAAAATCGACAGTTGATTCAGGCTGCTAATATAAAAACAAGTGAAGACGTAATTTTGATAATTTAGAGTAAATATCCTATTTAGCAGAATTTATGTGCAGTTAGATCATATTTAGTTTAATTTTGCAAGTAATAACTGACTACAGTAGTGTTGATTTATTATACAAAAAGGGATCAGATAACCTTTTTAGATTATGATTGAATAAGCAAGTCATTAAAAGAGATGTTAAGCTTGTATATAGTTAGATAACCGAAATGTAAGTGAATAATTTCAATCACTTGGGTAATTTGATTGGGCAATATTCTTAGCCTAGCATGACAAACGAGCAAAATCTACACTTTATAGGCTATCGGGTAAAGTAATGATAATAAATGGTTAAGCTTGTATTTTTCCTGTGTATTATACTTTATATCAATAAAATAGCATTAGGAAATGTTATAAAGAATTGACTGACTAGACAAAAAGATGCCTTGAATAGTACTAGCTTCACGTAAACATTATTCATAATGAATATATCTCATGAATAATCTCAATTAATAAGGATTAATTGACTTCGAAATCTTTTTCACTTTGGTCTCAACATCTTCAGGGTTATAATCAAAGTTAAATTTATTGCACTGGGTTTGGAGTCCCAGAGTGAACATCAACTCTGAGAGGCAGGTACATCCAGCTGACCAGACACAAATAGGATGAAAAGCACGTCCTGAATTCCACTTCTAGCCACTATCCATCTTTGCTTACAATGCTTGTGAATTAAGGCAATATCGAGGCAATATGCACATATGGCCAATAGGAGACTGATCGATTGCACTGTTGAACGTCAATGGGAAGATTCAAACAAACAATACCAAGTGAATTTATTGTAGAAATAGTTTGAGAAATAAATTGTCATGAAAACTTTACATTTCTGATTTAATTGCAAATGAGGTGAACTCCTTGAAACAGTAAAATAAAGTTTAGAGAACTGTCATTACGAAGATATAGAAAAAGATTACCACTCATTATATGATTATATCAGATTATAATAAAGTAACTAAACAATTTGTTCAAGATTGACCCTATGAAAAAGTTAAAGAAGCTAAATGACATGCTCTATTAACCGAAATGAAGACTGAAATAACCAGACTTTTTGGTACTATTAGTTCAAATTTTGACCAATGTTCATGATAAAGTAAGATTTCTATGAAATAATTCTATTGTAGTAAACAAGAACACAAGTGGGAACAGTCAAATTTATTCGAATATGAAGTTATAGAATCTCTTAGTAAAATCTGAGAACAATTCAGTAAATACATCGTTTCCAAAATATCCATGAGTTGTCTTAGACTTTGTTGTCCCTTCGTTTTTATACCAATCACTCTATGTTCTCATTCTCTTCTCTTTGATTTCCTTAACTTTCTGCCGCCAGATATTCCACTTTCGATCAGTGACATATGCTACTTAAATTTACTTACATGAGTAGCATACACCTCACAATGTTTATAGCACACGAAAAATCACTGTATTCTACTTCTTTTCATATATTTCATGCAGATCATGAAGCAGACAATCACATGAACAATGATCAAGTTTTTCTAAGTTGTAGCTACTTATTAACAACCTCAGCAGCAGTAGGTTTCAACATACACAAAGGAAGAAGCTAGATTCTCCGATATAACACAACATGCATCAGTCGAATCAAACTTGACGGAAAAGCTCTGATGGATATTAAAAACATTTACAAATCAGGACAGCATCATTGGTGAACACGGCGAATCTGATGCAAATGTGAAGGTGCGGATCGGTAAAGCAAGAGCAGCATATTTACAATTGAAGAACATCTGGAACTCAAAACAACTACCTGTCAACCAACACCAAAATCAGAATTTTGAATACAATACACTTCTACTGAGAAAGTCGTCATCCAGAAGATTCAAGTGTTTGTTTGTAGTTGTCTAGGAAATATACTTCTGATCCGTTGGTTAGACACTATCAGCAACAACCTACTGTGAGAGAGAACAAACCAGATTTCAGCAAAGGAAGAAATCAGGAAGAAGCGATGTAAGTTGATAAGACACACATTGAGGGGAGCACTCAACTTCGTCACAAGGCAAGCACTCACATGAAATCCTGAAGGTCAAAGGAGCAGAGAAATGGAGACAGATATGAGAAGAATGAACAAAAGTTGGATAGAAATAGAAAGAAAGGCCCATGACAGAGTGGGTTGGAGAATGCTGGTCAGTGGCCTATGCTCCATTGGAGGTAAGTAGTAGCTATTCAGTAGTTAGAAATAATTTATACTTTCTAATATTACATAATATCATTTTGTATAAACAAATCAATTAATCAATTAATTAATCAATATTAATATAACTTACATCAATAATTTTTTTATTGAATAACCATTGAAAATTTTGCACAAAAATATTATTTTTTAATTCAACTGCTAATTTCATTGTTTCACTTTGTTTACAAATATATTTGGATAATAATTTTTTAGAAAAAATTTTTTCATTTTTATTCTCATTTTCATTTTTTTCTTTTTTATTATCATCTATAATTGGTGATAAATAAATTGTATCATTATTATATTGAACTGGTTTATTTTGCTCATTGAAAATTTCTTGTTTTTCATTATTATTTAAGTTGAATTTTATTTTTAAAAAATTAAAAAATTAAAAAAATAAAATAAAGATAATTTAAGATTTGAGATCATGAGTAAATTAAAGCTGTACCGTTTCATCCTATTGTGGGACTCCTCAACAGTGCACATACATGACCTATCAGTCTCGCGCTCAAGCGCTTAACCTTTAAACAATTGAGCCAGCCGGCTTCCAACAATTCAATTTCTACCTTCAACCGATCTACGAAATCAAGCGATACATCTACCATTGTTTTCCGTGAGTTATTAGCTAACAGAAAAATACTTTTTAGACTAGAAACAAAACATGATAGCATTTTTAGGATTCATTGTATGACAAAATAGTGATGAAACTTTATGTTTTATAAAGTATAAAGAATTGTTATATCCGAGTGAAGAAATAAATACGGGTAACTTCCGGGACCGATTAATGGAGTATTATTCTATGCATATTCTTATTGTTTAATTATTGTGTAATTAGATTGTGTAAATCTATATTTATTTTGTTATAAGCTTCAGTTTGTCCTATAAATTATTATTATACGAAATACTGTCCCTAAATTATATTCCGTTTATTGATTATTGTATCCCACGTTCATCGCCACATTTGTCTTGATCTTGTACAAATATTATTTTCTATTTTATGGTGTGATGTGGTCTGTCTGTCCAGTATGTAAACGGAGTATGCTTGAAATAAATGATTCGCATAACAGAAGCTGCAATTGATGTTCTGGACTCAATTGGAAGGGCTAGGCAGACAAGGGACTAATAAGGACGCTAGACTACTCATACTGGTCGAACGTCATTGATTTGTCACAGTGTTAAGATTAGACAATTCGTATTTCGATTGGTAGATAATTCACGAGATAAAAGCCGGACATAATACCACAACGAATTAGCATAACAAGAATGAACTACTAAGTTAAACAAATCTATTGTATTATTCAAAGTTAATCTTATTCTGTTTATTAATGAAAAGCAACGACATATTACAAGATATTAAATATTTTCAGAAGGTTTCTGATTTGGTCATTACCTATATTGCTACTAAGTTTAGTAGAGTTCCATAATTTTCAGAAAGCCCAAGGCCATTTAAGATGCTATAAAAACCCTAGATTTTTTGTACATAAACTAACCTTCGAGTAAAGCATTCTTTTTCTTTCGTATTCAAGTTACCGTGTGGATTTAGCCCGGGAGGTACTATAAGAGCTTGCGGAACCAAATCTAGCGTTCAGTGAGAAGTTTTATCACTTTTTCGATCTAATGCACAATGACCGTAATTAAGTTGAATAGCAAAACGTTTTTTCCTCATCAAAATCTTAATATCGTCAGGTCATCACTTATGATTCACTTCATGTGCACATTCTACTTACTCGCTGTTGTTACATCGTAGCGGGAAAGTTGAAACTTGTGAGACTATTTTTCGGATTATTATCATCTATATTTTTCAGAAGGGGATTTGTGAAGATTTCAGTATATTTCAAAGTTGAAATCATCAGTCAATTGAAGCCAGACCACCATCGAACACTTGGAAGCCCTAGACGGCCGTTTCTTCCTATTATGGGACTCCTCAGCAGTGCGCACCCACGATCCCGCACTCGCGAGATTCGAACTCAGGACCTACCAGTTACGAGCCAGAGCCCACAAATCTCCACAAATCCCCATCTGATTATCATCATATGCTCACTAGTGACTGACTTGAAGATACATGTCCTGGAGTTCTAGTGGGAAGCAGTGTCCAGTGGAGATCAACAAGGTCTGTTGGGAGATATCAACTCACTGATGACATTGGTGAATGGTTGCTCAATTTCGTGAATCAGTTGAAGTTAGACATTAACACCGTTGGATGCCAGCTCAGTGGTCTATCGGTTAAGGGCTTCAGCTCGAGACTGGTAGGTCCTGGGTTCGAATCTCGCTCGCGAGAGCAGGTTCGTGGATGCGCACTGCTGAGGAGTCCCATAATGGGGCGAAATGGCCGTCCAGTGCTTCCAGGTTCTCCATGGTGGTCTATCTTTAATTGACTCATGATTTCGATCTATATTTTTGTTGTATAATTAGTTAATAACTGTATCACTGTGTTACTAAATTCTCCTCATTTCAAGCTTCCAATGGGTATATTAACTATTATAATACGTCTAACTGTTCCTTAATTACTGCTAATTAATTATATGTACCCTGCCTCATGTGGTGTGATTGTGTTTCAAGTATTTTTTATGTGGTGTATTGTGCTGTTTCATAATTCCTTTATATAAGCCAATGAGTGTTTGAGGTATTTATTTGCTGGGCTATGTTTATTAGTTTGCGTAATTGCATTCAGTAGGAGCTGACTGCTGACATTTGTTTGGACTCAAGGCAAAAGATAAGTAAAAGCTCGTGAATAAACGGATTAGTAGGAGTGCAGCTTGCGTTAATTCAAGGTTCACTGTACCGGTCAGGACGTACAATGAGTCAAGTACAGAATCCTAGGGTATCAACGAAGCAGGATAGAAAAAATCACAGTCAAAATTCTTATTGATGCATTGGGCATGCGATGTCGATTAGCATCACAAGTCATGACAGTAAACAAATCGAACTCTGATGACTTGTTTTAAAATCTTGGCACAGTCGTTATCATAATGTGTAACATTTAGCCTCAGTCATATCTAAAATTTTGTAGGCATCTTACAACGATTATTTTTTCTTTAAGATTTTGATAATGACTACATGAAATTGCTCAGTTTACCAAAACGAGAAAACTAGTCGGGAGTGGAAAAGATTATTATTTCAGATATCATACGTACACTAATCAATTAGGTTCAGTTTTACAAAATAAAAAGAATTTCTAGATGTCCATCGTCCACTAAAATGCATTTAAAATTAATAAGGTTGTTGATGCTTAAAGTATTCTAGTGAGTTTCTTAATATTAAATTTCGGCTTGTTGAGCCGAGAGTATACGGTCAACACCACTTATTCTGACAGCAATTCGATTTTATAGGCTACAATTCATTTTATCTCACACGATATGAAAATCAATCTGTTACACACCTACGTGATTTATTCTGACATTTGGATTGATGAGCTGGATCTAATCTTTCCGTATTTTCTGTCACCCATATTTTCGGCCTCGTCGATTACTCGCGTGAGACCTTGAGTACGTTTTATACATGTGTGTATGGTACTACTTATGTGTCTATCCACTCCCTATATTTCTTACGTAAATGAATCGCCTTGCTACTCTCCAAGTAAGCTGGATCTTTTATTTGCTAGCATTTGTTAGCATATCTGAAGTATACGTGCCCTAAATGCAATATGTATTAAACATTGATGTATTGCTGTTTTAAACATATAAATTAGACAGAACATATATGAAATCAAGTAGGAACCATATTTCATTAACACTATCATTGTTCAGTCTTATTGGAGTCAGATAAGGGAGACACCGAAATATTATGCTAACAATGGAGAGAAAAATCGCACTTAGTACTAAACATGTGATATCAATAGGTGAGTCACACGAATTTATTTGAATGAAATGTAACAAGTGACCGATATTCTTAATGTCAAGTAATAGATTAATTAATACACACATTGAGCTAATTAAAATTCTTTGGTCGGTTAATATACAAATTGAAGATCAATTATGTTAGAATTTGTAACTTACCTGCTTTTATGCATTTATGTTGTTCTTTAGGTTTTTCCTCTTTACTTTGGTCATCATTCATACCGTTAGTTTCCATATATTTTTCTTCACCTTTTAATGATTCAAACTCTACATCATTTTTACCAACTTCTGTAGTTGATTCTCGATGCTTCTTACGTTTTTCTACTTGTTTCTGATCCTCAATCAGTTCTGTTTTGTTTGAATCTTGCTCACTGACCATTGATTGCCTCCTAGTGCTAACATAATTGTCGTCATTTTCCCAATCAACATTTTTCGATTTTTCTCTTTTCTTTTTCTTTTCCTCTTTTCGTTGTTTTTCCTTACTTTCCGCTTCATTCTGTAAGGCATCAGTTGTTGATATCGTATCAAGTACTTCCTGACTGTTTTTGCCAATTTCTACTTCAACCAGGTTCATCTGTGTTTTCGGTTCGTTTTTCTGTTTATTTTTGATGTAATCTTTAGTTAAGTCTTCATCATTTCCTGTAGTAGTAGTGTCAGTGACTGATCTATTCTTTTTTGTATCTTTTCCATGCTTTTTTGTTTTACTTTCTCTACGTTGTGGCTTCTGAACTGATTCCGTAATAATTTGTTGAAAATCTTCAAATGATTCTGGTTTGTTGTTCACTTGATTTTCTGTTGAATATTCTGTACTAACAATAGATTCAATTTTATCAATTCCTATCTTTTCGTCATCTTTCGTCTGCTTACTAGTCTCTTGACCAGTTTCATCATTTCTCTCTTTTTTTTAGCTTTTTTAACCGATTTCAGTTCTAATTCACTGTTCGTTTCCTGATCAATCAAATTTTGTTTATTTTGAGATTCTGTGCTTTCTGAATTGTTAACATCTATTGTAAATTGATTATCTACTACTTTCACTGTCTCGATCTCATTCTTTTCTTTTTCACCATTGTGTTCCAGAAATTCGTCTGCTTCACTCTTGTTTCCTTCCTTTTGATACTGATCATCTAACTTCTTTTCTTTTTTCAACCTTTGTTTTGTTTTATTCATTTCATTTTCCACTTTGATTTGATCAACTAGCTTTTCGATGTTCTTATCATCATCCTTCGGGGACGATTTACTTCCCCTTCTCTTCTTTCCTTTCTCCTCACTTTGTTTCTCTTCTGATTTCGTCACTTTTTTCTTTCTTTTTCCTTGCTTATCGTCACTAGGTGGCTCAGATGTTTCACTTGACCTGACAACTGCTTCGTTTTCTTCACTATCTTTTTCTCCCCTACTTACTTCACCTACTGTGCTCATTTCGGAATCAGTTTCAATGATCGTTTTGATTTCTTTCTTTTTTCTTGTTTCTTTTATTTGTTCTCTTGCGCTTCTGGTATTTTTTTTCCGAGATGTTTCTGATTCAGGTTTTAATTCAGCATCTTCGTCTAGTTTCGTTTTCATTCCTTTTTGCGTCTGGCCCTTCGTTGGTATTAATTTTTTTATCCTCATCTTTCCCTTCTTTATATCCTTCTCCATCTCTCTTATTCATGCTCATTTCTTTACCTTCTGTGTCATATTTTATTGTTTTTGTTAGTGGTCATTCTTTGTCTGACTTATGGTTAGCCATATCCTCATCTACCTCCATTTTATGCTGTTTTTTTTCTGCCTCGTACTACTCTTTCTTTATCTTGGCAATCTATTTATCCTTTCACTTCGTTTCGGTCTCCGCCTTTTCTTTCTTCATTTTGGAAACCTCAATTTCCTTTCGTCTAAATTCGACAACTTCTAATAGTGTGCTCTCGGTTTCTTCTTCATCTTTTCGTTTCCTTTCAACTTCTTCTTCTTCCTTCTTGACAGTTTCTTCTTCCTTTCGTTTCGTTTCAACTTTCTCTCCTCGTGTGCTCTCAGCTTTTTCTTCATCTTTTCGTTTCCTTTCAACTTCTTCTTCTTCCTTCTTGACAGTTTCTTCTTCCTTTCGTTTCGTTTCAACTTTCAATCCTCGTGTGCTCTCAGCTTTTTCTTCATCTTTTCGTTTCCTTTCAACTTCTTCTTCTTCCTTCTTGACAGTTTCTTCTTCCTTTCGTTTCGTTTCAACTTTCTCTCCTCGTGTGCTCTCAGCTTTTTCTTCATCTTTTCGTTTCCTTTCAACTTCTTCTTCTTCCTTCTTGACAGTTTCTTCTTCCTTTCGTTTCGTTTCAACTTTCTCTCCTCGTGTGCTCTCAGCTTTTTCTTCATCTTTTCGTTTCCTTTCAACTTCTTCTTCTTCCTTCTTGACAGTTTCTTCTTCCTTTCGTTTCGTTTCAACTTTCTCTCCTCGTGTGCTCTCAGCTTTTTCTTCATCTTTTCGTTTCATTTCAGTCTCCTCCTCTTCTTCTTTGTCCTTTCCTTTCTCTTCCACTTGTTTCTTTGGAGTTTCTTCTTCATCCCGTGTCAGTCTAACGATTTCTTCTTTTCTTTTCATTACATCGCTTCCCCTCTTCTTCAAATCTTCTTCCTTCCCATTAAAACTTTTCTCTTCTCTCCTCTCCTCTTCTTCCCCCTCCTTTTTCATTGAGGGCACCCCTTTGTTTATTTCTACGTCTTTCTTACTTAGATGGTTTGTTTCAACTCCATCGATCATACTGATCTTATCTTCCTGCAACTTCTCTCCTTCTTCCTTCTTTTTGTCATTTAACTTTTCACTCAGTCTAGCTTCCTCTTGTCTCACTTTTACTCTAACATTTGTACACTTAACGGCATTATCTTTCAACGATTGTGAGACAGTCCAACATTTATATATCCCAGAATCGGTAGTTCCTGTCGAAGTTTTAGAAAGTTTGGTCATCATTTCATTCGATTGTTTATTGAGCTCAAATGAACAATTATATTCCCTTTCGTTTGACGTTAAATGATTACCTGTCAAAAGTTCATCTTCATGTGTCCACCATACAACAAAATCTTGATTCTGAGAACCATTGTGAATAGGTATTTTTAACTGAAATGCATCATCCTCTTCTAATTCGACTTCAAAAACTGGATTATTTTCGACTGTTACCTTATTCTTGTCGATACAATTCTTGAATTCAGTTTCTAATTCTTTAACCGTTGGACAATGAAAACTTACTGGTATGGTTATACTAGGTGCTGGAGACATAGAAGAATTTTCAGGTAGTCTCAATATACATGTGTAATTATATAACTTATCAGGTTGTAAATGATTTGTAGTTGATCGTAAAATAAACTGGTCATTAATTTTAAGCATTTCACATGTTGAACTAGGTTCAATTAGTGTTGAGTTTTGATACCAATTAACTTGAATATTTTCCTTACTATTATTCATCAGTTTCAATGCAGTTTCTTCATCAATCTTAACTTGAATTTCTAAAAGTTTACCTATTGGTAAATCTAATTCTTTGGTAATTGGATTAAATACATTAGTCTGCATAAAATTTGTTAGTTTCAGTTGATCTGATTCATTGTCGTTTGTATTATTTTGATCTAGTTTAGCTGTTAGTATATTAACACAAAAATAAACAGCAGTTTCAGTGCCCTCAAAAAGACGACAACGACATGAATATGTTCCTGAATGTATCAAAGGATCAGCATTTGATATAAGTAAACGTGTATCACGATCTGACAATATCATTTCAGCGCCTATATCAGGTTTCATTGGTGCACCATTCATATACCAGGTTGTTTCATAAGCAACTGGACCAGTTATAGTAAATGATGCATTGAACTGAATTTGTTCACCAGCATTAACTGTTAATTGTTTAGCACAGGTATCAGTACCTGTCGAATTGGTAGATGTGGTTGTTATTTGTTGAGTTTGGTTTCCCCGATCTAGTCAGGTAATAGAAATAAAATATAATTAACTATTAAATCTACGAATTTCAAATGAGTATGACTATAAAATTGTATCGTCTTGATAACTTATAAACTATAAGTAGTGAAAATGTTGCTCATCTGACGCGTTTGGCCAACAAATCCCTTCCACAAAATAGGTGAAAAAGTGTCTAGATGTAGGACAATTTTAAATGGTTTCACAGAAATATGACAGTTTATACTAAAATGATCAAAAAATATGTTTAAAATCAAACTCACTATTCTATTTGATCAAATGGAAGGGTTTAAATGCATAGGCTTCCTAACAAAGATAAACCAACAGTTTCATTGGAATCGTCTCAGAGATTAAACGAAATATAGAATATGGATTTACTATCAAGAATATCCATAGGAATATAAGCATTTAAAGAGAATTTTAGGATAGTTTGTAACATTTGACTAATACTCCTACCATAAAGGAAATAGAATGGTCTGAATTTATTGATCAGGTTTTAAATACAGAAATGGTTTTGATCTAATTTATCATTGATATTTTATTTAGTTTCTTAAAGATGCTGTGGATAAATCCCCCAGTAAAACTCTGGAACTAGTTGAATTTCAATCACTGAGGTCATTACACACACATGTAATGTCTATTTATCTATGGATCAATCTCTGCGAAAATATTATTCAAAGCATAACAAACGTCCACATTATTCTTGGGATTTTTTTTTTAACTCACTGAAAAAAGACTAGACTTCTTAAATAAGCCTAATGACCCCAACTATACTGATCTTTACTAGTAGTGTCGTTTTAAATTGTGCTTAGTTATTGTATCCGAAAAATATCTCAGAGATTACATCTATGTTGTTGGAGCGTCATAAGCGAAATCCACCTCCATTCTTTTTTGTGCAAACTGAAAGATGTAATGACAAGGAAAAACAAACCGAATATTCTTTATGTAATCAACTTTCACAACAGAGAAAACATACCTTCCCAATTAATGATAAACCTTTTCGTTTACGCGAATATCTATTACTGTGTTTCTAAACTCAAGGCATATCTGAGTTCACAATAATTCATGTAAACATTTTTAGACACGAATCAGGCTCAAGAAATGTTCAAACCTTAATCGGAGGCTAATTAAAGAAAACCGAACAGGCATCTAGGTCACCTAGCAATCATTATTAAAATGCAAAAGATCGGTTCAGTGAATTCATTTTCGAAACTATACAATCGCAAATATATACTTAATTTTCAAGCTGATAATAGCTACAATAATAGAAATAATAAAATTCTGTTAAACATGGTAACAGTGAGGTAGAATAAACAAAGGCATTAAAACGTTATTTTTATCTGGGAAACTAATAATAGCTTTATTGTTGAGGGTTTCAATATTCCTTATGAAGATAGATATGGACATTATATTTGCGAAAGAAAGGTTCAGTATGATAAGATAAAATGTCAAAATCGAGAATGAAATGTAATCAGGAGGATCATAAAAACAGAAACAGACCAGTTGGGGGGTGAAAGGCCTATAGAGTAGTTGGGTGTGAAGGAATAGGAGTATGAAGAAGAAAAAAAGCTTAGAGGAAATAAAATCATGCTAGAAGAAAAGGTTGCATCAGTTTCTTTTGGATACAATTGTGGTTCTTCTAGACATTAAAATAAACACAATCTACCAGCGTATGAACAAAATAATCATTGTACAGAGGTAAAAGGTCAATCGGGTAAAAGGGTGATGGATATATATATATATAAAGTTTGTGAAGCAAATGTAACTTGTCCCACAGGAGCAAGTAAATTTGTGGATGTAAATCGATGCAGCCCAAAGCAAAATTTCATCCTTCGCACATACATGAATGATAGGCCAACTTCTATTCGGTTAAGCTCCGTATTGTCTTTTCGTATGATACTTTTCAAACGCATCTCAGACATTACCCGACGTGGTTTTTAAAAGGAAAATGCAAATCAGTTGTCAGTTCAATATGGGAGCTTTTAATAAACTTTGGACTCATAGCTCCAAAGGAGTCTTCCTTTAAAATAATCTACACAGTCAAAGGAACTAGATCGAAGGGAGTTTGAATAAATAACTTATGCACTGCTGAGACGCTGGCTATCCACTAATTCATGCCCGAACTCTGAATGCGAAGACTACACGTCCAATCTATCATGCTTTCTTGGTCCTGGTTCCCTTTTATAGTATGTTTTGGACCTGTTTTTTTCTTTTAATTACTGTTTAGTAATTTTACACCGTAGTCAGTTATTATTATGACCTTTATGTTTTTCACCTTACTTCATATCTGTCAAGCGGACAATTATCTTTCCTGAATCTGACCCGTAAATTATTTTCATCTTTCTGTTCCTTTCTAACCCTTTGAATACTGCACAACCTCATTTGATATTTAGAGTCTTGAATCACTTTATGATGCAATATTTTCCATCATTCTATAGACATACATTTACCATACAACAATATATACTAATGTACAGCTTAAGTAAATAATTTCGTCGAAATGAAAAATTTTTTCTCTTCACTCTATATTTATTCTATAACACATTGGATTATTTTAGTTATTCAGGTTTAAATTTAGCCAAAAGTTAAACAATTATCGTTTTTATCGATGTTCATCAAAAAACTAATAGTTCGGCGTCTCGACTTTTAAAAAATTATTCAGTATAGTCTAGGGAACCGAATTAACTTAGTTCTAGCAATCTACTGAAGTACATGTGAATGGGATACTTTCATTTTATCCAGGCATCTGGCGTTAAACAGTTTGACAGTCTAACGTTTAGTTTTCAGTTGGTAGAAACAATAAAAAATATATGATTTCAAGATAATAAAGTCGTAACTTACTTTCAGGAGACATTTGGAAGTCTGCAAGAGATTGTTGATCCTCTGAAAAAGGTGTCTGTACACCATCCAATGTTGAATAAGATTCTTAATAATGAAAAAAAGAAAATATAGTGAAAATTATATGATTTAAAGTTACAAGTAATTAAGATGATGTCATGATTGTTCTCTGAACGGTGATAACCATAAAAATAATAAGTTAGCTCAATAAGTTCCTACATTATTCCACATGATTAAAATAAGTGTATTGTATCAATCTACGTTTAATGGTTGGATAACTGTTATATTTCATAAGATTACTAGTACCAGCCAAGAGATTCGAGATCTAATTGAACCAATGTAGCGAATAATTTCAAACAAATGTACACCAGATCTTATGTTTAATTTCACCCTACTAACTAATAGCAGAAAAATTATTCAAAATGAACATAAAGTGGACAGCCTTTACTTATTGTTAAAAAGGAATTTTAGCAAAACTATAATTTATGGATGAACCAATAAAATTTAAATTAACACGTCTTGGATTTAGACACTAAATTCATTCGTCCATACTGCTGAATAGGTATGAGGAGAAATTCCACTCTCGTTCTCAGTTTTGACCTTGCGCATGGAAAACAACCAAAATAAAACCGGAATTATTATTTACACTACCGTAATCCATGATGAAGGGCGTTTCGTATTCCATCTATCTTGCTACCATGCATGAAAAATCTAATGTTTTCTACAACGGAAATAGCAATATCAACTTGGAGTCCAGCCATTTTTAGGGTTTTTTGCCACACATAATGTACAGTAGATAAGAAATATTTTATTTTTACGACTAAGAAATGGTTTGAGACCGAATGAAAGATCACCAGTTTTTATTCTTGTTAGTGAAATCGGGTACGATTAAGTATAAAGTACTTAAAACTAACTTTTACTTCAGCTTTTTATGAAGCTGACCTAAGATGGATAATATCTTTTGCATAAAATAGTCATCGTCAATTCTACAAGTAGAATCTTTTGACAATGTCGTTGTAAACCAATTTAAAATTATAACTGTGATATAAATATCACAACTGAAAAACTGTTAAAATCAATCGTTATATAAAAATATCATTTAACTTTCAGATTGTTACCATGGCAACTCTAAATTCTAGGCTTTCAATGAATTCGAATGCCATACACAAAACAAAGGTACTTTACATTTATATATTTAAATTTTTTTATTTTGTATGTTTTAAAGCTAAATTGTTTACGAACACCTTAACATTAAGTATAAAATTATTTCAAATAAAATTTAAATTTATAAGCAAAGATGGATAGCAGCTAGCAGTGAAATTCAGGACGCGCGTTTCGTCCTATTTAGGACTCGTTATATTAAATCACTGAAACAACTTACCGAACAGTTTTGTAGATGGTGATTGATCTTTTTCATTCTCATCTATTGGTTCCTCAGCAGTATAATACGATGAGGATGAAGTAGATTTTTGATTGAATGAAGCTGTAAATTAAATAAGGTTCAAGTAATCTTTTTTATGAAGGTATTTAATTCAACAGTTAAACACATTAGTATGATGACTTATGTGATTTTGATTTCAATACTTGGTTAATACAATTTATTCATGTGTTTTCGTAAACTATTCCTCATTACTAAACAGTAAATAACGAGAGAGACCATTTACGTTATTGAAGAAGAAAAAAGACAGTTCAACAAAGAAGAGTAAGTAAATAAATTCATATTAGCTTGCTATAAATTAAAAAGAATAACTCAATGATTAAATATGAAGATTCATTAATATTAATATTAATATATTAATATATTAACCAAATATTCTGGATTCGATTTCTGCTTGCGGGTTCGCGTATGTATGCTGCTGAGGAGCTCATCACTAGTACGAAAAGCTAGTCTAGTGGTCCTAGGTTCTCAATGGTTTATGAACCTATATTGGTGGGAAAAATCAAACGGTCTATTAAGTTTATCCTCTAGATGCCAATAATCAAAATGACGTATGTTAGATGGTCTCAAAACTTCTGTATTAGACAAGTAAGTTTGATTCTGATTACCTGGTTTTCACTGAAGTTCTATGATTTTAAATGGTATACTCTAATATCAGAGTAAGATGGTCACGTGAATTTTTTCAGTCTGCACGGTTAGAAATCTGTTGTAGTTATTCAATAGAAACTTACTTTTTGATGAAGCGTTTTCATCGCTCACATTTTAGATATACAGTTAGGGAAAAAGCATTTAGAAATGTTTAACAAAGATGGTTTAAAGAACAAGTTTAATCTTGTAGGCTAAAACCTCTGTAAAGGAAAGAGGAGAAGAGGTTTATCTATAAAACCTTGTGAGATGAATGTTTATATTAGAAGAGCTAATAAAAATTCTGTTCACGAAATACTTTTCTACATATTGGCTTTTCACTGTTAGGAAACTGATTTCCTAACTTTTTTATTATGGTTATGATTCAAAAAAGTAATGATAGCAAACGTTTATTGCATATTATATGTAAGAAGAATCTGTTGCATAACAAAATGTTAAAATTAAACGAAATAAACATGAAGTGTGAACGTCTCAATTTTCAAAGATAGCATTTCTGTAAGGAAAATGAAGTGAAGAATAAGTGATTATCTATACATTTTCTAACAATCAAGTCGAGTTCTTTATTGAAATAATCAATCCGGTCTTGATGATGACGGGCATGGAACAATAGAAGTCTAATCGAGTATTTCACGAAGTTCTAGCATATCATAGAGTAGAGTATATGACATGTAAATCAGACCAAGCACAATTTATGAAAGAAAATAACTTGTTCGTTCTCTTATATGCTATTCTACGTAATATATTCTAAATAAATCAAACGAATATATTGAATGTAAAAACTTATTGAACATTTCAATCTTATCAAAGAACAGTTTATTATGGGAATATACTCATAAAGATTAAGGTAGATCTCATAAAAGGTTTACATTTGTAATATTCAAAACATGAATGGATATTACAAAAAATGGATAATTACTACTGATAGGTTTTTTATAATCTGTCTTGATTGGTTTAATAACTTCATATATGCGTATCAATATTATTGTCTATTAGATCTAATTAAAATAAGTCTTCTTTGCTCATATATGTTATTCTGATTAACAAGGGGAGAATCTTTAGAATTTTGCTAAATAAAATAAAATGCCTATTACACCTTGCAAACTGTTGTCCAAGGTAAATTTCTCCAAGTTACTACGGTCGATGTAATTATGATCCATTTTAGCTTGGTTAAAACAACATACCAATCATTAATAATATTGATATCTATTTATATACATTCAAGATATCAAGATCGTTACTAAAATTAAGGGAGAAATTTGACTGTTATAACTAAACTAATCTTGCTCGTGGTAGAGCTTTAGTGATTGTTCCACTTTATTTTTTTTTGGTTCACATATATTATTAAGGCTGAAATTTTAGAGTTTGTATATGAAGCAACATTTGCAGGGAGGTCATATTTCAGTTCGAATGAGATACAGTTAAACATTAGATTCACAATATGACTTGACATTATTTAATCCAGTTTTTATAGATTTAGAATCATCACAGAATAATAAGTATCCACTAAGCTGAGGTTTACGCTAACCCATTTCATGAAGTACATGAAAAGAAAAATACCTAGGAAACTGTCTGAAATATTCAAGAATATTCATATTCCATTGTTTCATTGATAGAATCATTAATTAAATAAACAAAAGGGGTACTTACTTTTAATCACTTCACATTTCTCTATATGTGATAGTTGTGTTGTATGAATATTTTGAGAATTAATTTGTTGAATATTTTCTATTGCATCAAAATACATTTCATTGATAGATTCACTAGGACATGGAGATAGTTCCATTATTCCACTGAAACGTTTCTTTGAATTCCAATATGCTTCAATATGTGATTCAACAATTGATTTTGATATATTTGCACTTTCTATAGAATTATGAACTATGAATGGGAAATTTTTGTTTTAATGAACGAAAAATTAAAAAAATTATGCTGCAAAATAACCATGAAAATCATTGAAGTGAACTAGGGTTTTCTAGATACATCATTTTTTGTTTAATTAGATAATTCTGAAGGAACGGGAAAAAAAATCATTCAAGATCTCTACTTCCTAAAATCTCCTCAGAATTCGTCATTTGGTTTGCTTTCAATGAAATGGCCTTGTTTTTGTTTGATATCGAAATAAAGATACTAATACTAAAACTGTTAATAATAACAACAATTGTGGAATCGATTGTGTAGGTGGTATATTGAACAAAAGATACACACTTTCTAACTAGATTTCCATATCTATGTGCCTATTTAGTATAATCTGTGTGTATGTGTATAATAGGACTGAGGAAAAATTGAATGTATTCACAATAATGTAGGCAAAAAATATTTTCTGTGCACCACTTATAAACATGGACATTTGTGCAGCCTGACACCGATACACTTCAATGTGCAAACAGAAAAGGGCAGAAGAATTGAATATCGAATCTTGAATTTTGTCCAGAAGAAAAAATAAAGAAACTGTAATAAAGTATTTCAACTTATTTTAAGATATCAGAAAGTGGTATTTACTTGGAAATTAACTTACACATTCACAATTTATGACAATTATATATCTTTATATAACATTATTTAGACGAGAGCGAATGTGCAACAGATATGAAAGCTATTCGACCTGGTTATGGTTAGTTAAATTATTACAACCATGTTAGATTGAATAGCTTTCACTGATATTTGCAGCAAATTTGATTAATGGACATTGATTTCTTTTATTCATCAGAAGCAAGAAAACATTTTGATAAACGTTCAATGAATCAGTTAACAAGACATAATTCTATATGATATCGCAATTTGATATGCAATTTACCAGTTTACCCATATTAATCAATGTCTGTTCTAGTGCTATCTTACAAAATGATCATTCTGTCACAAAAATTTAACTCAGAGTCACGTTGAAAGATCATTAGGCTTTATGTATTGAACTAGTGGTGAAGCCATTGAAGGGATAGGTTAAGTCAGTATAGCCATAGTTACCATCAACTATTCGTTTTATTTCCATAGTATAAATAACTGTCAATAATTAATTTGGAAAAAAAGTCAAAAATTTAAACCATCCATTCTCTTATGAAATTAAGTATTGTGTGGTGGTAATACATTTTTTTATTTAGATATTATACAGAATGACAAAAGAAACATCAATAAAGCGTCTATATCATGTAACGCTACATCATCAAAACTGTTCATCGGTGTTAAATGCTGTTTTATCGTTTCTAGGTAGTGTTTCATTAATCAGCGTAAGTAGAATGCTAGTTTGATCCGATAAAAAACGGGTTGTTTTTATTGGGTGACAAATACTGCACTATCTTAGTAGACTAGGGATTTGCTAGGGATTCTGTGTTTAAGTTTTAAAGTAGTAGACTTAATAATCATATGAGAGTAAATTATCGATATTGTTATGATATTTTAAAGAAATGTCGAGTGTCAAACATATTTTATATCTTGCAAATATTTCATCCAAAAAAGTGTTCTTTAAAGTAATTCCATAAACTATGTAATTTCATTTATAAGAAATGAATATTGTGATGAACGAGTTTGTTTGTTTGTTTGCATACCCTATACATGATAAGTAGAACATACGATGTAAAGTAAAATTTGTTATTTAGCAAATCATAATGTTGAACTGAAGGTACATTTTACCAAGATCAGAATTTTTAATACAAATGTCATGACAGTTCTACTGTATGGGGCGGAGACGTGGAGAACTACGAAAGCCATCATTCAGAAGATACAGCTGTTTACCAACAGTTGTCTACACAAAATATTTCGGATCCGTTGGCCAGACACTACCAGCAACAAGTTACTGTGCGAGAGAACAAACCAGATTCCATCCAGTGAATGAAGAAATCGGGAAGAAGCGCTGTGGGTGGATAGGACATACATTGAAGAAATCACCCAACCGCGTCACAAGGCAAGCCCTCATATGGAATTCTGAAGGCCAAAGGAGAAGAGGAAGACCAAAGAACACATTACACCGAGAAATGGAGACAGACATGAGAAGGGTGAAAAAAACTGAATAGAGCTAGATATTAAGGCCCAGGACAGATCGGGTTGGAGAATACCGGTCAGCGGCCTATGCTCCATTGGGAGTAACAGGCGTAAGTAAAGTAAGTAAAGACGGTACATTTTATATTTCTAGCATCCATCATTTTATATCTATTGATGATGACAAGTCAATATTGTTGATAAAATTTAAAAGTATTTCGATGTGAAAATATTTATGAACAGATTAATGAAAATAAAGATAACAAATCTTGGATTTTGGCGCTAAATTGATCCACCCATATAGTTAGATAGCGTTTTGAGATTATAAATAACATCAGTTAGTGATGAAAACTCTAAATCCGAATCCTAGTTCTTCACACTAATTTATAATGCTTTTTTGACTTTAGTAAGCAGGTGAACGTTTTAAAGGTCACTTTAGGACCCCGAAATGATCATTCATAAATTATAGTCTAAACAATTTTTATTTTTGAAACTACTGATGAGGTTTACTTCTTTAAATCTTTATATGGCATAAAAATAGATTAAACGTACTTTAAAATAGCAGACATGAAGCTTTGAATTCATGGAAATGTTTAGTTGCTAATAGAATCCAACCGATGAAAGTAGTTTATTAGGTTACAAGTAATTTCTTCTATTTTAAAACTTAGCTCTTAAGTTCTCTTTCTGTTGATGTCAATTACTTAAAATTAAACAAAATACCCCATATAGTCAATGTAGTAATCATAAATAATCTTTTGATCTAGTTTATTTTTACCTACATTATGAACATGATAACATGATGTTGATTAGTCGTTTAACAGTTGATATGAATCAAGTAAACCATGAGGATTGAATAGTTAACAAATAATCAGTTCAATCAGCTATTTATAATTGAATTACCTAAGCTTTAATTAACTATGAGATTATTTGTTCATACATTAATTAAGTATATAATTTAGGCGGCCTATGTTCCTCCACGAGGGGTAACAGACGTAAGTAAGTAAGTAATATAATTACTTTTATTATGGTGGTAATTAATACACTTCTAACGTATTCCTTACAACAACTGTTTTAATTATTATTTATGTTCAATTCTTAACAATAATTCTTAGTAGTAATGTACCATTTGAAATAAATTGCCTAAATTCTGAAAAAGATTATCATTTATATAAATCATATTCAAATAAAAGTTACATTATATTATGAGGATTTAAAGATAAGATTGAGTAAGCTCTAAAGATTTATGTATAAATCCAATACACCATGATGATGATGATGATGATGAGTATTGAACGTGGTGCTGATCATTTCAAGTAAGTTACTCTATTCTACCTTCTATTCTATATTCATTTTCTTCACAATGTACGGGTTTATGTATTCTACTTTGAAACCAACTTTAGTTGCATATAGTCTAGTGCCATTATTCAACTTTCTTAACTGAAATAGTCAAATTGGTGTTTTTAAAAGTTACTTACCGGTTAATTTCTTGGATTACATCTTATTATTCTGATTAGAGAGTGATTGAATATGACAAATATAATAGCACTATCATTTACATAATATTATTTACATTACTATTTAAAGGCTAATTATTCTACTTTTAACAAAAATGAATGATAAACACTGATCTAATCTCTAGTCTATATTAAAATTTATTCATTTCACTCTGTATAATAATTGTAATGATATAATTATACTATAATGATAACTGAGTCTTCATCCATCATCAGGAAGGTACAATTATTTATAAACAGTTGTCTACGCAAAATACTCAACATTCACTGGCCGGATACTATCAGCAACAGCGTTTTAAGGGAGAGGACAAACCAGCTTCCAGCTGAAGAAATTAGGAAAGGACGTTGTAAGTGGAACGGACCTACATTAAGGTAATGAACAAACTGCATCACGAGGCAAGCGCTAACTTGCAATCCTGAAGGGAAGCGGAAAAGTGGAAGGCTGAAGAACACATTACTTCGGAAAATAGAAGCAGATATGAAAAGGATGAATGATGACTGGAAAGAACTGGAAAGGATTGCCCAGGACAGGGTTGAATGGAGAATACTGGTGAGTGACCTATACTCCTCAAGAAGGGGTGACAGGCGTAAGTGGATTTATTTAACTTTTATATTTTTTGAATTATTCATTATAGTAAAAGAAAAGACATCAAGTTTATTTATCAGGAGTCAGGCTAGAGTTTTAGAATAAGTTGATAACCCTATGTCGTTTTCTTTACCAATTGATATCAACTGTAATGAAAAGGATTAGTATTAGAAATTAGGAGTTTAGCTAAATCTATGAGTTAAGATTGCGGATTAGGATTTGATTACTTACTGACCTCAGCTTCAATACTACAATGAAACCTTGTTACCCTTCTGTTTAATAACTGAAAAAATTAAAGATGAGGTAAGAGTAAGGGGTTGGAGATGGAGAATATTAATTAACTACATAAACGTCTTTCACAATGCGTTGAATTGAACTCATCAAATAATCTAACATACAATTTGTAATGGATGCAGGTACTCTTTGTAATTTAGTTTAGAAACTATGTCGTATCTACTATTTGGCTGCATTATAGATATATATCTTTAATGAACTTTAAGCATTTCAGGGTATAGATATAGTCAATTTACACTTAGTTTATGATAACGTTCTAACTATCTTTCACTGAGCTTTCAGTTTCACACAAAAATCTATAAGTTTCTATATTAACTGTGATTGGTTTACTCAAGTCCATCAGCACAATATAGTGCTATCACCTAATATCACTTAGAAAATAAACTTTCTACTACACTTTGTTCAACCGAATAAAGGCCAAATCAATGATAATGGGAAACAAAGCAAATATTTTCACAACCTAATTAGTGCTAGAAATTCATAAACGATTTCTAGAGGTATTTTAGGTATCTCATTGTTTGTAATAGGTACCGAATTTCGATCAGTTTTTGTTGGGTTATATGTACACTGTGCGGACTGGATCGTTACAGTTAGGTATTTCTAGATTAAGAATTCCAAATAAGATGAACCAGCTATTACAAACTGCACACGAAATCACAATCCGTCGATCATAAATTTCAAAAATAATCGTATGCACAATATAAACTTCTAATTTTCTAAATTTAACTATGAATATAAGTGCTAAGACAAGAATTTAATGCGATTAATTATATTTCTTGACAAATCCTTTGTAGAAGTAGTCAACAAAATCATAATTTACTGAATCATTTAATAAGCACTGTATGCCGAAGTTCAACAACTCACGTTTTTCTTTGATTGCATATCTTATATCTTCAACCCATGCATTACGACTTATAATATTAGGACAAGTGATACGAAAAATTAATTTAATTGGAGCTTCGCCTGATATATTCCATAATTCAAATGATGTTTCATCATTTCCATCGTTGCCATATTCACCAACACGAAGTTCATCAAGCTTTAAAAGACAAAATAATAAATTTCTTAAACAGAAAACATTCATTAGAAATAAGGGTATATTGTAGATTTAAACTAAGAGAAATCAAATATCAGGATGTGATGATTAATTAATTAAGTAGATAAAATTTATATGGCATGATTGAATGTCATTGAAAAAAACTGATATATTACGAGATAATAGTAGTTTAATGGCCTAGAAGTTTCAGCGTTCTTGCTCGAGACCGAAGTCTCAAGGTTCGATTTCCTGTTGCTGTATCGTGGATGTTTACTGCTGAGTGGTCCCATGCGTAACAGCTGTTCAGTGCGTTTTTGTTCTCATTAGTTGTTTAAATAAGATCATCTGTTGATGCTAATTACGAAATTGAAAAATTTCTATAAACTCATTTCGTAAAATGATATATGCTGTGAGTCAAGGCACTGTATGGACGATCTACCCATTGACAGTTAGTATTATTTGTCATAAATTGCTAAACTATTTTTTAGTGATTTAGATTTAAAAGCTGATTATCTTCTCCACTAAATTGAAAATGTTCATAAGTGAACTTATTATTTTCAAGATGATTATAGAAAAGCAATAATCCTACAATCAATAGGTTTTCCATTGTGATCTATCATTGATCGTTTCATGATTTCAATGAAAGAACCAAGCATTTAACCGTTACACTACTCAGCTGGTGTTAGAGGGTTTATACATCTAACTTCAACAACTTTATGCGAAGGTATGTGACAAACAGTTGTTACCATAGATACTACATATCTCATCATCGATACTTATGTATTGTCTGAAAATTTGAATTCACTATATGGAATAATATAAACATAAGTTGCATTCAAAATCATTGAAGTTGAATTTCAGTCTTGATTCTCCGTCTTACACAAGATTTCATTTCAAGAAATAAACATATTTCTTTAAAAATTATAAGGCTAAAATATTCACTCAGCCTAACCATATATATACTTTATATGTAACAAAATATGAAAGCTAAGGGAAGTATCACAAAGAATCTGAAGTACTTTGACTAGGAAAAAACAGTTGGAGGGAATCATTATGAATTAGATCAATAAAAAATGGAATATCATATAGGTTATATGTGGGCTTACATTAATTACTCTAGTCACCTTCCAACAATAAACTGAATTCTCTTCATTGACATTTTTAAGTGATAATAAATGATCAGGTAAAAGAATTAATCTTTCCATTTTCATTTCATTTTGATCTAGTTGAATATTTTTGTGTTGACCAATTTTAATATCCGTCTTTTGTTAAAAACAAGGATGTTCATATGAAATGAAAGAAAGTAAAGATGTAGACAGTTAAGAGTTGGTAAAATTAATATGAGAATATCATACATTAGAACTTACAGTTGAAAGTAGTTCCTAGTAGAGGAGTTTTGGAAAAGTTATACAGTATATGATTGTCACAAGGGGGTTTTGTGGATATTTTAGTAGATTGATATAGACAAGATCATGAGTCAAATAAAGATAGACCACCGTGGAAAACCTGGAAGCACTGGAAAACCGTTCCATCCTATTGTGAGACTCCACTATCCCGCCTCGCGGGATTCGAACCCAGGACCTACCAGCCTAACGACAGAGCACTTAACCTCTAGACCACTGAGCTGGCCGGCATTCAACGGTGTTAATGTCTAACCTGACCCAATCCACGAAATTGCACGACCAACTTCCATTGTACTGAGGTAGATACCTGTCTCTACCTGACAATGATTAGCTCCACTGGCCACGACTTCTCACTAGAACTCCGGGAGTTACTATATGGAACCAGTCACTAGTGAGCATATAATCATTATCACAAGGGGGTTTTGTTGAGATTTTAGTGATTATATATAGTTGAGATCATGAGTCAATTGAAGCTAGTTATGAAGTGAGTTTAGTTGTAGAAACATCAAAAACTATAGATAATCGAACAAATAATTGAGACCAGTTTGAAATACCTTACTAGTATCATTTCAAGATTACTTTTATAATCAGTTTTACAACTCACAAGTCTTATTGTCAGTATGAGTAGAATAAATTTAGTTTGGAAAATGTGAATTAGCAACTTTTGGCTTATTAGCTGAAGTTTATTTAATTAAATGGGAGATTCTAAAGTTCTATGTAAAATTCTTCTTTAAGGTTTGGAATGTGGGTGAAGTTCATGATAAGCTAATTAAACAATCTGGGGCTATCATATATCCTTTTTATTTGTATCTATTTAACGCACATGGTTGCTCATTCATTGGAGTCGAATTTTTTAGTGTATTGATATACAAAGCTCAATCTTCCAAAATCTCTATTTCTATTTTATAGAGATCAGTTTTGCTTTGATTTTCTTTGAATAAAATTTACTCATTTAAATCTGAGGCGCAGGTATATCCATCTGACGAGTTCCAAATAGAATGAGAGGCGTGTAAAACTGGATTCCTGATTTCCTGATTTTACCACGTTATCATTAAAATAAATTTTTCATTAATTAAATTGACTCTTATCAACTGTGTTAAAAACTATCATAACTGGTTATGGTGTGGCGTTTGCTACTGATGTCAACAGATAGAAGTAGTATGTATCATAAGTCAAAAAAGAAATGCCTGGTGGCAGAAGAAGATCGAAGAAAAGAGAATGAGAACAGAGAATGATTGTTGTGGAAAAAAATGAACAATGAAGTTTGAGCCGATTGATTAACATTTTGCAAATGAATTATTTCCTGTATGGTTCTCAGATTTTACTAAAATGTTCTGTAATTTTGCATCTATATATATTTCATTATCCCCGTTCGCTTTCTCGTTCACTACACCGGTAGCTTGAAATAAATACGTAACATTGCTTGAATTTTATGTTAAAAATATTCTTTTCCATAAATGCTAACCTTTATATTTATAAATCCATACACTATCGATTACTAATTTATTTCAGTGTAATGATAACATTTTAAGCAATGAATAGTGATTAGTAGTGGAATCCAGTTTGACGCGCGTTCTGTTGTATTCGGAAGTTGTCAGATAGATGCATAACCTGAATCTCATAATTCATGTTCACTCTGGGATTCAAATACAGTACCGTTAACTTCAAACACCATCACATTATTCACTCAACTAGCTATGGGGTCCTCATAGCCATTTGCTTGTGCAATCGAGTGAATTTTAAGTTCCTTTTGTATTATTTCCTTTAATCTTCCTATTGATGTTTAGCACTGCAATTGATCAGTCTCATATTGATATATGTACATACTGTGCTTAGTGTCTCATTACTACTTTAATTCACAAGTATTCTAAGGAAAGATAGATACTGGTTAGTAGTGGAATCCAATTTAATGCACGTTTCGTCCTCTCTCGAGACTCATCAGCCGAATGTAACTGAAATGATAATATATTTAGTACAAACTTCATTAATTCTATTTATTTTTTTTAAAAAAAACACACACGTCATAAATATTCATTAATAATTCAATTTAACTTACTATTCGTATAATTGGCGGTGGAATACAATCATCAAATAATAATAATCTATTCTCATTTAAATTGTTTATATTAAATAATTCATTGAAATTTACATCAACTTTTAACCAGAAATGTATAAATTCTTCTGAACATCTTTGTGCTCTATTTATATAAATCATAGCTAATTCAAGATTATTCAATGATGAAGAATGATCATTTGTAATATATCTTATTAGATCTTTTAATAATCCATTATAAATATTTAAACGTTTTCTTGGAAGATTTAAAAATTCTAATAAATTTCTTATAGAAATAGAATTAAATTGATTAAATGATGAACAATCTATTGAATTATTCATTAAAATTGTTGATGTTTCTATAGAATTTGTATTAGATAAACTAAATAAGATTTCAATATTTTGTGTAGTAATTTGTAAAAGATCATTTATGAAATAATTTAAATGTATAAAGAATATTGTATAATCATACCAACGATAAGGCTAGATAAAAATTATAAAAGAAATAAACAAATAAACAATAATTTTCATAGTTGAAAGCATGAGTCAATTAAAGTTAGACCACCAAAGAAAATCTGGAAGTACTGAACGGCTGTTTCTTCTTATTGTGGGACTCCTCAATGGTAGTGCGTATCCACGACCTCGCCTCGGGAGATTCGAAATTAATGATGCTTTTATTTTTTGTATTAGATTATTGTAGAATAATTTGAAGTATTCGAATGCATCTTTATGCTAACTGCTTTGATTATGAGACTAGATATATTTTACAACTTTGTTTTACAATAAATTATATTATGTAACATCATTTTAAAATAAAACTAAGATGAATACTGAATGGGTATTATTATCATTATAGTACGAGTTTATTATCAATGAATTGAAAATGATTACGTCTACAGTGTAAAAGTGTTCAATCTAACGTAATTTATCTATTGAGTGATACTTTAGTTAATATAAAATTATGTATTATTCTTTTGGAATTATCAATAGAAATAAAATATAACCATGAGATATGAGGATATAAGAGGAAATTAATCACTTCATTTGTAAGAAATATTCTGAAAGATAAACTTCTTGGTTATTACTAACAGTTTTGAACTATTCACAATCTTTGATAATCCTACCAGTCAGTATTTATTCTTGTATCTGTATAGGATATGATAAGAAGTACGCTAACCATATATATGTGCTCATTAGAAACTACGAAGAATTGTTCAAGTTGTACTAAATTTCATAATATTACCAATTAACGATGAACGGAAATAACATTAATTTTCTGGATATTTTACATGCAATAGATCAATAAACGTTGTTTGTGAGGTAAAATATTGCAAGTCGACATAATATTAACATTTGTGTCTATTGCATTAAAACAATAATGTCTGATAATTTTAAGATGAATATATTACACAAAGGTTAAGTAGAATATTTATCAATCATGAGTTGATGTAAAAAGGATGTTATTAAAACTTCGTTGAATAAATCTATATAGAAAGGCATATTTTTAAGGCTTGCGAGAATCAAAATCTAACTGTAAAGGTAACTGTATGGTGAATTGAACTTGACAATGATAAAATGGAAAAGGACCGTTTTATAATATTTTGTTCATGTTGATAATCCACTGAATTTACCTCTTCAACAGACAATTATCTGGATAAACGATCTACTTGCTCTTAAAACGCTATTCACCGACAAGCGAATAGGATGTTTTTATGTGTATAAGAGTGTACATGCAATCGAATTTCATTAGGAATCAACTGTTTGTATTTGGAAAATCTTTTACTTTTATCGTCCTACCTACCAATGTTTCATTAAAGACAAGCTTCAAATATCACAAAACTTTTGCGTATGATAATATACTACTTTTTATCCTATTTAGTAGCTCATTTTGTGATAAAACATTTTAGAGCCTCTGGCTGAGGTGTTTCAATCACCACAGCTTGATAATGTTAGTTAAGGTTTAAACATAAGCGTAACGCACCATTTAGTGTATGGTCAGATTTACATTCTTTACAATTTCTGGATACTTTCATCTCAGATCAATAGCCATAAAGTGGAATTAATTCGATATATTCTGGAAATAGTTTTGTTTAAAGATATTGTCTGCTGATTATATTCGATATGTTTATTTTTTATAGATAGCCTATTCATCGGTTCAACTGTGTAAGTTTATTAATTTTATAATCTATCAAAATTCCTTCGACATATATATATATATAATAAATAGGCTACAACAAAGAATTTAAATTATGATTAACTAGAATAAGCTTATTGATCCCCGAAGGTTAAGAGAGAAAAACAGAGTTGTTGTATTCCAATCAATACATTGACTGTATTAAAATAACAAGACCTATTTTATAAATTTTATCAAGTTTCTGGAAATATAATTCAAATCTTTTAGGCTTTAGTTTGTTTGAAGTTTCAATAACTTTCAATGAATTGAATGTAAAATTTCAGGATGACAATTTAATTAATCAAATAAAAAGATTTAATTCTGTTATCAAATAAAGAATTGAAGTAACTAAAATACAACTAATGTACATTACTGTAATCAATGCACTAAAACTATGTTCATAAATAGACAATTACTCTCCAAAGAACTATTCGATAATATAATTTCTCAATAAATATAAGTAATTTTTTTATATATAGTTGAAATCATGAGTCAATTGAAGCTAGACAACCATGGAAAACATGGAAGCACTGAACGGCCGTTTCGTTCTATTTTGGGGCTCCTCAGCAGTGCGCATCCATGATAAAGTCTCGCAAGATTCGAACCCTAGACCTACCAGTTTCACGAGCGAGCATATAACCTTTAGACCACTGAGACATCATCCAGTAGTGTTTATGTCTAGCTTCAACCAATATAAGTAAATAAATAATTGTTTTACAGTTAATTTATTTGAATGTAATTTTCTCATTGAATTAAAGTCTCTAATTGAAATTTCAATCAAATTAGAACAGATTCCAAATTGAATTCACACTATCATTAAGGAAATTCAATAATGTATAGTTCTTGTGAATGTTTGTACAAATTCTTCAAGGACAAGAAATTATTTGAAAAATCGTTTATTCCAATAGAGAATGCAGATGTTAAATTAATATGAAATCTACAATAATAAGTTACTTATTTCTGTATGGATACTTGAAAACCATCTTGATTTTTTTCGAGTCTTTTTTATGAAGTTCAATACAAGTAGAAGTAATGGTTATTTTTCAGTATATTATGCGTTTTTAGTCGATAAACATCATTTATTGTTCAACTTGTTGAGACAAGTTTGTTTAACGGGTACTTGTTATGATGGATACTTTCATGGTAACTAATAAATATTAGGTCACTACATTTTCGATAAGTTAATTTCACTTTTTTTGATCACTTCACCGTTTTAAAATGGATTTTTATTACAATGATCTGTCATTAACTAGATAACTACTTGGAAGCTGGGTATTGTGAATACTTATTCTTCCTAAAAGTATTTTGAAACCTTAAGAACTTTAAGAACATATAGTAAGTATAAAACCACTAAACTTCAATCTGAACTTATTCAGTTTTAACTATATCCCATTCAGGATATAGAAGAGTCATTGTAATTTACTACCTATGATATCTGTCTATTTTGTTATCTAGGGTTCTCTAACAAAAGTCAATAACAAAATTACTATCTTAATATTCAATATTACATCTAACAAATCTCATCTGTTTGTACTAAATTTATTATATCCATCTTTTGTATTGAATCATTTCCAAGAGATATCAGTCAGTTAACATTTTAAGGTCACTATCACAATATCTGGTTGTATATTCAACAACTATCCTTTTACATAAATCTTACTTCGATATTCATCCATCATTATGTTGTAATCATTTCATATTATTGGATACAAAAACACAGTTATACAAAACGAAGAATATTGAAAAGAATATTCTTTAGTAATTTAGATAAGACTTTTCTTTTCCTTTTTCACTAGTTGACCTTAATTGTCAGCATGATGTCATTAAGTCAACCAACCAAAATGAAACTCTACATGAATAAATGAAGTTAAAGTTATCCAAGTAAAACATTGTAGAATTTACATAAGCTGACTATATTATACTCTCAATATATATAATTTAATTATTTATTTAATCTATAGACATAAATCTAATAAAAGATGAAAATGTCGAGGGAAAATGTTAAGCACAAAAAAAAGAAGAAAAAAAACTACACTAACAAATTATCAATCGAAATGTTGAAAGTTTAAAAATATCTCGTGAGAGCGGGTTCGTGGATGCGAACAGCTGAGGAGTCCCATAATAGGACGAAACGGCCGTCCAGTGCTTCCAGGTTTTCGATGGTGGTCTAGCTTCAATTGACTCATGATTTCAACTTTGAAAAAATAATTGTCATTATATGTATTTTATTGCTTTGAATATTGATTTATATGTGAATATGAATGACTTTTATTGATAATGAACAAATAAATAGTATAGGAATAAAAGAAGTTTCTTTCAAAAAATTATTTTCAATTTTTAGATTTATGTGAAATAAAAGTGTTTACTTTATAAGCAAAGATGGATAATGGCTAGTAGTGGAATCCAGTTTGATGTGCGTTTCGTTCTGTTCGGAACTCGTCAGCTGGATTTATCTGAATCTATGAGTTGATATTCACTCAGCATCTCAAAGTCAATACCGTTTGCTTCAAAATTCATCGCATTATCCACTCAACTACTGAGCCCTGATAGCCACTTGCTTGTACAATCGGGTGAAGTCGAATTCCCATTGTATTGTTTCTTTTTATATTCTCATTGATGTTTAGGATTGCAATTGATCAGTCTCTTATTGGCATATGTACATACTGTGCGTATTGCCTCGATATTACCTTAATTCACAAGCATTATAAAGAGAGATGGATAGTGGCTAGCATTAGAATCCAGTTTGACACACGTTTCGTCCTACTTGGAACTCTTCAGCTGAATGTACCTGCATCCATGAGTTGATGTTCACTTTAGGATTTCAGCCAACATCGAGGCAGTCCGCATAGGATGCACATATGTCAACAAGAGACTGATCAATTGCAGTACAATATAACAAAGGGAAGATACATGTAAAACAACAACCAGTGAAAATTGTTTATTTATTAAATAATATCACATTGTGAAAATGTAGTTGTAATCTGTATGTAATGTATCGGTATGTGATAGACTTCTCAACGTGATGTTTGTGCTATTGATGTCATTCAGAAGAACGCTGACAGCTCCATAATCAAACCGTCCAGTTCAGAGAATAAAACTTTATCGAGATAGTCTCTATATAATATTATCTTCCCTTTTACATACTTATCCTAAAATAATTTGTTTTGCCGTGGTTTTTGAAATGTCCACTGATCATTTTGAATTCTACATACTTCTTCAATATGAATATACACTTCGAAATAGAACTTTTTAACTTATCTATGCTATGATTTACAAATGAAAAGTATAAAGTCAAACACTAAAAGTTCTA